GATCCTCTTTTGAGAATTCTCAAAAGTGATTTCCGCCGGTCTGCACTAGTCTGACTTCCCTCTGATCCTCTTTTGAGAATTCTCAAAAGTGATTTCCGCCGGTCTGCACTAGTCTGACTTCCCTCTGATCCTCTTTTGAGAATTCTCAAAAGTGATTTCCGCCGGTCTGCACTAGTCTGACTTCCCTCTGATCCTCTTTTGAGAATTCTCAAAAGTGATTTCCGCCGGTCTGCACTAGTCTGACTTCCCTCTGATCCTCTTTTGAGAATTCTCAAAAGTGATTTCCGCCGGTCTGCACTAGTCTGACTTCCCTCTGATCCTCTTTTGAGAATTCTCAAAAGTGATTTCCGCCGGTCTGCACTAGTCTGACTTCCCTCTGATCCTCTTTTGAGAATTCTCAAAAGTGATTTCCGCCGGTCTGCACTAGTCTGACTTCCCTCTGATCCTCTTTTGAGAATTCTCAAAAGTGATTTCCGCCGGTCTGCACTAGTCTGACTTCCCTCTGATCCTCTTTTGAGAATTCTCAAAACTGATTTCCGCCGGTCTGCACTAGTCTGACTTCCCTCTGATCCTCTTTTGAGAATTCTCAAAAGTGATTTCCGCCGGTCTGCACTAGTCTGACTTCCCTCTGATCCTCTTTTGAGAATTCTCAAAAGTGATTTCCGCCGGTCTGCACTAGTCTGACTTCCCTCTGATCCTCTTTTGAGAATTCTCAAAAGTGATTTCCGCCGGTCTGCACTAGTCTGACTTCCCTCTGATCCTCTTTTGAGAATTCTCAAAAGTGATTTCCGCCGGTCTGCACTAGTCTGACTTCCCTCTGATCCTCTTTTGAGAATTCTCAAAAGTGATTTCCGCCGGTCTGCACTAGTCTGACTTCCCTCTGATCCTCTTTTGAGAATTCTCAAAAGTGATTTCCGCCGGTCTGCACTAGTCTGACTTCCCTCTGATCCTCTTTTGAGAATTCTCAAAAGTGATTTCCGCCGGTCTGCACTAGTCTGACTTCCCTCTGATCGTCTTTTGAGAATTGAGAATTCTCAAAAGTGATTTCCGCCGGTCTGCACTAGTCTGACTTCCCTCTGATCCTCTTTTGAGAATTCTCAAAAGTGATTTCCGCCGGTCTGCACTAGTCTGACTTCCCTCTGATCCTCTTTTGAGAATTCTCAAAAGTGATTTCCGCCGGTCTGCACTAGTCTGACTTCCCTCTGATCCTCTTTTGAGAATTCTCAAAAGTGATTTCCGCCGGTCTGCACTAGTCTGACTTCCCTCTGATCCTCTTTTGAGAATTCTCAAAAGTGATTTCCGCCGGTCTGCACTAGTCTGACTTCCCTCTGATCCTCTTTTGAGAATTCTCAAAAGTGATTTCCGCCGGTCTGCACTAGTCTGACTTCCCTCTGATCCTCTTTTGAGAATTCTCAAAAGTGATTTCCGCCGGTCTGCACTAGTCTGACTTCCCTCTGATCCTCTTTTGAGAATTCTCAAAAGTGATTTCCGCCGGTCTGCACTAGTCTGACTTCCCTCTGATCCTCTTTTGAGAATTCTCAAAAGTGATTTCCGCCGGTCTGCACTAGTCTGACTTCCCTCTGATCCTCTTTTGAGAATTCTCAAAAGTGATTTCCGCCGGTCTGCACTAGTCTGACTTCCCTCTGATCTTCTTTTGAGAATTCTCAAAAGTGATTTCTGCCGGTCTGCACTAGTCTGACTTCCCTCTGATCCTCTTTTGAGAATTCTCAAAAGTGATTTCCGCCGGTCTGCACTAGTCTGACTTCCCTCTGATCGTCTTTTGAGAATTGAGAATTCTCAAAAGTGATTTCCGCCGGTCTGCACTAGTCTGACTTCCCTCTGATCCTCTTTTGAGAATTCTCAAAAGTGATTTCCGCCGGTCTGCACTAGTCTGACTTCCCTCTGATCCTCTTTTGAGAATTCTCAAAAGTGATTTCCGCCGGTCTGCACTAGTCTGACTTCCCTCTGATCCTCTTTTGAGAATTCTCAAAAGTGATTTCCGCCGGTCTGCACAAGTCTGACTTCCCTCTGATCCTCTTTTGAGAATTCTCAAAAGTGATTTCCGCCGGTCTGCACTAGTCTGACTTCCCTCTGATCTTCTTTTGAGAATTCTCAAAAGTGATTTCCGCCGGTCTGCACTAGTCTGACTTCCCTCTGATCCTCTTTTGAGAATTCTCAAAAGTGATTTCCGCCGGTCTGCACTTGTCTGACTTCCCTCTGATCTTCTTTTGAGAATTCTCAAAAGTGATTTCCGCCGGTCTGCACTAGTCTGACTTCCCTCTGATCCTCTTTTGAGAATTCTCAAAAGTGATTTCCGCCGGTCTGCACAAGTCTGACTTCCCTCTGATCCTCTTTTGAGAATTCTCAAAAGTGATTTCCGCCGGTCTGCACTAGTCTGACTTCCCTCTGATCCTCTTTTGAGAATTCTCAAAAGTGATTTCCGCCGGTCTGCACTAGTCTGACTTCCCTCTGATCCTCTTTTGAGAATTCTCAAAAGTGATTTCCGCCGGTCTGCACTAGTCTGACTTCCCTCTGATCCTCTTTTGAGAATTCTCAAAAGTGATTTCCGCCGGTCTGCACTAGTCTGACTTCCCTCTGATCCTCTTTTGAGAATTCTCAAAAGTGATTTCCGCCGGTCTGCACTAGTCTGACTTCCCTCTGATCCTCTTTTGAGAATTCTCAAAAGTGATTTCCGCCGGTCTGCACTAGTCTGACTTCCCTCTGATCGTCTTTTGAGAATTGAGAATTCTCAAAAGTGATTTCCGCCGGTCTGCACTAGTCTGACTTCCCTCTGATCCTCTTTTGAGAATTCTCAAAAGTGATTTCCGCCGGTCTGCACTAGTCTGACTTCCCTCTGATCCTCTTTTGAGAATTCTCAAAAGTGATTTCCGCCGGTCTGCACTAGTCTGACTTCCCTCTGATCCTCTTTTGAGAATTCTCAAAAGTGATTTCCGCCGGTCTGCACTAGTCTGACTTCCCTCTGATCCTCTTTTGAGAATTCTCAAAAGTGATTTCCGCCGGTCTGCACTAGTCTGACTTCCCTCTGATCCTCTTTTGAGAATTCTCAAAAGTGATTTCCGCCGGTCTGCACTAGTCTGACTTCCCTCTGATCCTCTTTTGAGAATTCTCAAAAGTGATTTCCGTCGGTCTGCACTAGTCTGACTTCCCTCTGATCCTCTTTTGAGAATTCTCAAAAGTGATTTCCGCCGGTCTGCACAAGTCTGACTTCCCTCTGATCCTCTTTTGAGAATTCTCAAAAGTGATTTCCGCCGGTCTGCACTAGTCTGACTTCCCTCTGATCCTCTTTTGAGAATTCTCAAAAGTGATTTCCGCCGGTCTGCACTAGTCTGACTTCCCTCTGATCCTCTTTTGAGAATTCTCAAAAGTGATTTCCGCCGGTCTGCACTAGTCTGACTTCCCTCTGATCCTCTTTTGAGAATTCTCAAAAGTGATTTCCGCCGGTCTGCACTAGTCTGACTTCCCTCTGATCCTCTTTTGAGAATTCTCAAAAGTGATTTCCGTCGGTCTGCACTAGTCTGACTTCCCTCTGATCCTCTTTTGAGAATTCTCAAAAGTGATTTCCGCCGGTCTGCACTAGTCTGACTTCCCTCTGATCCTCTTTTGAGAATTCTCAAAAGTGATTTCCGCCGGTCTGCACTAGTCTGACTTCCCTCTGATCCTCTTTTGAGAATTCTCAAAAGTGATTTCCGCCGGTCTGCACAAGTCTGACTTCCCTCTGATCCTCTTTTGAGAATTCTCAAAAGTGATTTCCGCCGGTCTGCACTAGTCTGACTTCCCTCTGATCCTCTTTTGAGAATTCTCAAAAGTGATTTCCGCCGGTCTGCACTAGTCTGACTTCCCTCTGATCCTCTTTTGAGAATTCTCAAAAGTGATTTCCGCCGGTCTGCACTAGTCTGACTTCCCTCTGATCCTCTTTTGAGAATTCTCAAAAGTGATTTCCGCCGGTCTGCACTAGTCTGACTTCCCTCTGATCCTCTTTTGAGAATTCTCAAAAGTGATTTCCGCCGGTCTGCACAAGTCTGACTTCCCTCTGATCCTCTTTTGAGAATTCTCAAAAGTGATTTCCGCCGGTCTGCACAAGTCTGACTTCCCTCTGATCCTCTTTTGAGAATTCTCAAAAGTGATTTCCGCCGGTCTGCACTTGTCTGACTTCCCTCTGATCCTCTTTTGAGAATTCTCAAAAGTGATTTCCGCCGGTCTGCACTAGTCTGACTTCCCTCTGATCCTCTTTTGAGAATTCTCAAAAGTGATTTCCGCCGGTCTGCACTAGTCTGACTTCCCTCTGATCCTCTTTTGAGAATTCTCAAAAGTGATTTCCGCCGGTCTGCACTAGTCTGACTTCCCTCTGATCTTCTTTTGAGAATTCTCAAAAGTGATTTCCGCCGGTCTGCACTAGTCTGACTAGGGATGAGCAAAATCCCGAACGCCTGTTCGGTTCGCCTCGAACATGTTCGAGGCGAACCGAACAGGCATTTATTTTTTTGCCAAATTGTTCGGGGCGAACATGTTCGGTGTTCGGCCGAACATGTTCGCCGTTCGGCTCCGTCATCTGGGGCCCCCAAGTCGAACACGAACATGTTCGTGTTCGAAATGGGGGTGACGCGAACCCCAAATGTGTTCGCATCGAATTCGAGGTTGAGCTCATTTCGTGAGCTCAACCTCAGAACGCTTTTACAGCCTAGCCTAGGGTTCCCTCTCACACCCGCCCTAGCCCTACAACTTGTAGCATACATGCAGTTACTACCACTACTAATATCCACGCACATTAGCTCTACGGTTTTCCTAGAGCCAAGTGTGTGTAGGGTGATTATAAGGTAGAGTAGCACCACGATCAGAGAGCGCGTTGTCAACTCCGTAGGGTTGGGGACGGGCATTTCAGAAAGCTATCCGTGCTCGAAAACGTTTAGGACCGTGGTTCTACTCGGCACGTGACCGTTGGTTCGGGGGGGGTTTAGGGTTTTAGGGCCGAGGGTGGACTTATGGCTTCCGGACATGGTAGATCCGTAGGGTTAGGTGCAGGCAGCACTCGGGGCGGCGCACCAGGTTCTCCACCACGACCTATGGAGGGGCGAGTAGGGGATGGACCTGGAGGAGCCGGCGCTTGCTTCATTGGGGGGTTTCTTTCCGTTGCGGCGCCGACATCTCGTCAGTCTTTCCGTTACGACGGCCCTCGACCCCCTCCTTCGGGGCAGACGCTGCCAGAGAGTGTCAGTGAGGAGGAGGATGAGGATGAGGCGGGTGAGGGCGAGGAGGGTGAGGAGAATGAGGGGAGCGGGGATGACAGTGAGGAGGGGTGGGATCCCGAGAAGCATGGTGGTGGGGAAGGGAGGGATGATGATGAGGATCATGAGATGGATGATTTAGAGCCAGAAGAGGTGCAGGAGGCGGTGGGGGAGGAGGTGGGAGAGGGGGGTGGAGTAGGGGCGGCGACAGAGGCGGGATCACAGCATGTGGCTGAAGGTGGAGGGAGCGTGGGGGTTAAGGTGGGAAGAAAGCCCGCGTCCTTGGCGGGTCCGAGGGTTAGGAAGAAGGCCAACAAAGTGAGGGAGCGGGCGTATCCCGCCACGTTCACTGGGGAGCCCTTGGGGGATGGTGTGATCGCTCCGGAGTTCCTAGACGAGGACGGAGGGTCAGAGAGTAGTAAGGGGACTGGCAAGGGGACTAAGAAACCGGGGTGGCAAGTTATTATGTTCGGACCGAAAGGGGCAGACGAGAAGCGCCCGTGCAAAATTTGCACAGACAGGATTTCGTGGAAGCAATCCACAACCACACCCGGCGAGCGGCACTTCGCGAGCTTTCACACCGCGCACATGCACGTGTGGTTTCACCGTTACCACACGCCGTCCATTCAGTTGCCAGGGGAGACGTTTCCGCGTGGGGGCTACAAGGGTGTGCCGGATGGCTACGTCGAACGGTGGCCGCATGCCAAGACTTGGCCGCACCTGGCCAAGCAGAAAGGGAAGGCGTTTGGTGGAGGTCAGGGGTCAGGCGGGATCGAGCGGTTCATGACAACCAAGCTGACCTCTGTGGAGCTACGGCAGGCGATCGCCAAGCTCGTGGTCACCTGCGACCTCCCCTTCCGCATCGTCGAGGCCGAGGCTGTGAGTGCCCCATCCCAAGCATGATTGGCAGTATGTGGACAGTGGAAGTGTCTGGCCGTTGTGTTTTGATCATTAGCGTGTGGCCCTGCGCCATATTATGTCAAACCCATCCCCCATACGTTGACTCCCCTCACCCTCGGTGTCTTTACCCGTCACCAGTTTCGGGAGCTTTTGATCCTCCTAAACCACAACTGCGCGCAGAAGAACTTCATCCCCTCGCGCTGGACGGTTTCCCGCGACACTGTGGTCTATGCAGCTGCCGCACTCCAGTCAGCCATTGCGGAGATGCTGGCGAAGGAGGGGGAGTTGGGGTGCAGGGTGTCGTTCACCATCGACATGTGGACGGCACCCAACAACAGGGCATGGCTAGTGGTGACTGGTCACTGGGTAGACGAGAACTTCCAGCTGCGCACAATGGTGTTTGAGTTCCGCGAGATTCACGGGCGGCACACGGGCAAGCAGATGGCGAGGGTGGTAGAGGAGACGGTGGTGCATTGGGGGTTGGAGGGGCGCTGTCTTGGTTTCACCTCAGACAACGCCTCTAGCAACGTTGCTGCATTCAGGTGGATGTCGGAGGAGGGAGGTGGTCAGTGCTTCTTCAACTCGCGCATGCACTTCCGGTAAGAATGGGAGTGTGCGTGGGCTGGCTATGTGGGAGTTTGGGTGTGTCGTTCCCGCGTGAACAACTTCTGGTTGTATGAGTGGGTGGGCCCTAGCGGTTTGAGTTGTAGGGTGTGTGGGGCTTGGTATCCGTTTGTGGCTCGCTATGCCCAGGTGTACTCACACTCCCCCTTCTCTCCGCCATTAATATTGTGTGCCGTGCGCAGGTGCTTGGCACACGTGATCAACCTTGCAGTGAAGGCAGCTCTCGCAGTGGCTGCCATCCGCAAGTTGTTGCGGATTCTGAGAGAGATGGCGTCGTGGATTGGCTTCTCTCCGCAGCGCTCAGGGAAGTTCTTGGGCCTTCAGCGGACCCTGAACGCGCAGGCCAACCCCGCCAAACCGAAGCCGGCGTTGAAGCTGGTGCAGGACAGTCCCACGCGCTGGGGGTCGACCCACGACATGGTCGAGCGAGCTGGGGTTCTGCAGGAACCCATCACTGTCTTCTTTGCCCAGACAAAGGTGTGTGTGACAGGTGTTGTGCATGCGGGCAGCAGTCTAATGTGTGGGTATGTCGTGGGGTGTTGAGTTCTATCACGTCCACCACTGTTGGCCATGCTTTATGTATGTTATCGGACCCCAACAACCTCAATAACCCTACTTTCCATCTTAACACCCGCCAACCCCTACCCTCTACCCGACAGGGACTGTCGAAGGCTGACAAGGCGAAGGTGGATAGCCTGCGCCTAACGGACGCAGACTGGGAGACTCTGCATGCTGTCAAGACGTTCCTCAGCCCATTCGCAAAAGTCTCAAAGGCGGCGGAGGGTCCGGCGTACCCTACAGTGGCGATGGTGCTGCCGTACTACAACGGCCTGATCGACGCTATGGAGTCGCGCCTTGCCAAGGGGCCATCGGCTACGCTGAAGCCGATGATTGAGGCAGCGCTGGGTCTCTTGAAGAAGTATGAACTGATGTCCAGCAACGAGTTGTGGATCGCCACCTTCCTGGACCCTTCCATGAAGGCGGCGTGGTTCGACGACCCGCACTGGGAGACGCTGCATCCCGAGACCGACCGGAGGGCGAGGCCGCGTCCCTCGTCAGGCGAGGTGATCCAGCTGGTACGCGACCGCGTGACCGAGTACCAGGCCCGGGCTGCAGCGCTTGCACCTCGGCCGACCCCACTTGCCACTGTGACGGAGGAGGAGGGGGACGCGGCGGATGACGACGAAGACGCGCAGTTTCTCCCGAGTCGCCGACGACTAGCGGCGCGTCTGTCAGCGAGCCAGGAGGCGGGGAGGGGTGGGATGGTGCAGGATGACGAGGTTAGCAGGTACTTATCTGAGAGGGTGCGGTGCGACGTGTCAGCGCTGGAGTATTGGCGCACCGCCACCAACATGCAGACGCTGAGGCGCATGGCCCGGGATTATCTCGCCATCCCTGCCACGTCCGCTTCGAGCGAGCGCGTGTTCTCCCTCGGCCGCAACCTCATTTCCTGGAAGCGGCACCGCCTGGCCTCTCAGAGGACGCGAGCTGTCATGATTCTCAAATCATGGTACAGTTCACACCCTGGACAGAGGATAGGCGAGGGCCGCCGTGCAAAGGGCGTCGCACCGCCAGAGTTCGCCATTGAAGGCGAGGGGGAGGAGGAGGACGACGAGGAGGAGGAGGAGGGGGAGGAGGAGTGGGAGGAGGAGCATGAGGGGGTGGGTGCTGGCGACACCGCTGGCGGGGAGCAGGCTGTTGTTGGTAGTAGCAGTGGAGTTCAGTCGTAGGATTTTATTTGACATTGACTTGACTTTTACATTCACAGAACATGATGCCTTCGTATGCTTTTGTGCGTTGCATGAACACAGAGACACCCTCCACACCCCTATCTATCTACCCGACCCTCCAAATCCCCTGTCTGACCACTGTGACTATAACGAAGTTCCCCCTGGGCGAACTCGAACATGTTCGAAGCGAACATGTTCGAGTTCGCCCTCAGAAACAAAATGTTCGCCCCCTGGGGCGAACGGCGAACACCTGCCGTAGGCCAATTAGTTCGCCGAACCGAACACTGTTCGGTTCGGGAAATGGCCCTGTTCGAGGGGGGGCGAACCCGAACGTGTTCGAGTTCGCCCTCTGCTCATCCCTAAGTCTGACTTCCCTCTGATCCTCTTTTGAGAATTCTCAAAAGTGATTTCCGCCGGTCTGCACTAGTCTGACTTCCCTCTGATCCTCTTTTGAGAATTCTCAAAAGTGATTTCCGCCGGTCTGCACAAGTCTGACTTCCCTCTGATCCTCTTTTGAGAATTCTCAAAAGTGATTTCCGCCGGTCTGCACGAGTCTGAATTCCCTCTAATCCTCTTTTGAGAATTCTCAAAAGTGATTTCCGCCGGTCTGCACGAGTCTGACTTCCCTCTGATCCTCTTTTGAGAATTCTCAAAAGTGATTACCACAGGTCTGCACGAGTCTGACTTCCCTCTGGTCCTCTTTGGCCTCCTGGGTGCCGGAGTGGAAACCACATCGTCCACCCTGGCTTTACTCTCATTGTCCCCCGGACCCCCTCCCCTCCCCTCTGCCTCCCAGCTTCCAAGAGAAAGGCACAGGGGCAGGATTGCATCCGACTTCCCTCTGATCCATGTGGCCTCCTGGGCGCGGGATTGGAACCACATCATCCACCCTGGCTTTACTCTGATTGTCCCCCGGACCCCCTCCCCTCCCCTCTGCCTTCTAGCTTCCGAGACAAGGGCACAGGAGCAAGACTGGCCGATTCCGACCTGCCTCTGATTCTCTTTGGCCTCCTGGGCGCCGGAGTGGGGACCACATCGTCCACGCTGGCATTTGCCGTCCACATGCTGACTCAGCACCCGGACGTTTCACGGAAGCTTCAGGCTGAAATCGACAGGTACTTCGAGGAAAGGGAGCAGGCGGGAGAGGTAAAAGGGGAGGGGAAAGGGGAGGAAGAGGGGGAGGGAGAGGGGGAGGGGGAAGAGGAGGGAGAGGAGGGAGAGGGGAAGGGGGAGAGGGGGCCAGGGGAGATTGGGCGAAGAAGGTTCGATGACTCACCCCCTGTTTTTTAAAATAGGTCTTTATTTAAAGGCTTAGAAGTGCTTAAGTATCTTGATATGGTTGTAAAAGAAACACTTAGGCTGTACCCTGCTGCCCCTATAGCTGCCCGGCTGCCCGTCCATGCAACGACTCTGGCTGGTTACCACATCCCTGCGAATACACCCGTTGTGGTCCCGATTTTCGCTGCCCACCGCTGCCCGGATTTCTTCCCCCGGCCGCTTTCTTTTCTGCCCGAACGTTTCGGTCAGCGGGCAGCAGGTGAGAAGGGAGTTGGGTGGAAGGAGGGAGGGAGGGAAGAGGAGGCAGAAGGGCAAGTGGGGGAAGGATGGGGCGAGGAGGGTGCAGAATCGATCAAGAGTGAAGAGAGAGGAGAAGGAAAGGAACACGAGGAGGTGCTGTGGACGGCCGAGTCAGAAGCCATGTATTTGCCTTTCGGTGCCGGTCCCCGCATGTGCATCGGGGCACGATTCGCAATGATGGAAATCAAGCTCTGCCTTGCGCTGCTGCTGCGGGTATTTGACATCACATCAGTATCTGACACCCCATATGCTTCCAGACGTCTCAACGCAAGTGAGACTGACGCTGAAGAAAGGGGAAGGAAACGGGGAGGGAGTGAGGATGCGGAGGAGGGAAGCAAATGGGGCAGTGCGAGCAGCAAGACAAGGGTGGATAGCAGCAAGTTGCCTTTGGAATCTGGGTTGAACCTTTGGCCGAAAGACGGCAGAGGAGAGGAGGGCATCAGACAGAGTGCAAGCAGCAAGACAAGGGAGGATAGCAGCAAGCTGCCTTTGTAATCTGGGCTGAACCTTCGGCCGAAAGATGGTGTGCGGGTGAGAATTCGAAGGAGAGGCAATGGTATTCCATTGTGAAGCGGGAGAGGGATAGACAGCAGCAAGTTGCCGCTGGAATCTGGGTTGAACCTCCGACCAAAGCACGGGGTGCGGGTGAGGATTCGGAGGAGGGGCAATCATATTTCGTCGTGAGGAGGCAGAGGAGAGGAGAGGAGAGGATGGCAGCAGATGGTGGGGTTTGGGAGCAGCGGAGGATGGAGCAGCAGCAAGATGAGGGAGGGTAGCAGCAAGCTGCTGTTGGAATGGGGTGCGGGTAAGGATTCGCAGGAGGGGCAATGGTGCAGGGCCTCAGATTGGTTTTGAGCTAGGCTGAACCAATCAGAGTTGGTACAAAAAATTATGCTAAAAAACAGAAAAATCTGCCATTATATGCCAGTTTACACTACAAATCACATAAATTTTCATGTTTTTTCACAAAAAAAACGCTGAATAATCAGCCACAGTTCTAAAAAAGGTCTGAAATCTCAGCCTTTTTTACCCAAATCAGCCTTTTTTTCGCTGACTTCTGAGGCCCAATGGTGTTACTTTTACGGTATGCCGATGTGACCTGATTGTATGGTGGCGATGTACTATTTGGTTCCTAGTGAAATTCTTTGATATGGTTAATCTTCATTTCCTCTTTTTTTGGCAGTGTGACGCACCCCAGAATCAGCACACCCGTCAGATGGTGTTGAAATGGGGTTGACGCTACAAATGCTTTAGTGCTTCTTCACAGGGCAGACAGACAGACACTGATACAGTTAAGAAAGTTCCTGTACACGGGTCCTATTATGCAAGGTACACATGCGAGCTGAGGTACCCTGTATAAGCAAAGCACACTGTCACTGACCCTGACAACCTCTTATAAACCGGTATCACCTGTCCTCCTCCGTGCTGCCTCCGGAAGAGCCTATCCTGCTAGGAGTGAGTTCAGAGACCCTCAAGGCAGGCACCTTGCTTCTTGAACTCTTGCTTCCACCGCTGCTGCTACCGGCAATAGCGCGCATTGTGGCATGCCCATCTGTGGCATGCGCATCTGTGACCGCACCTCCCATCTCACCCCACCCACCCTATTCTCCCCACCCACCAGGACCCTAGGTACGGCAGGAGGCAGTGCGGTTCTACACCTGATGGTGGTGTGGCATTTGAGTCGACTCTTAAGTCACCGCACCTCCCATCTCACCCCACCCACCCTCTTCTCCCCACCTACCAGCACTCCGAGGTACTGCAGGATGCAGTGCGGTTCTACCACCTGCCTTTGCGGGTCAGGAGGTCCTGGTGGGTGGTAGAACCGCCCACCTGATGGTGGTGTGGTTGGTGCGCTCTGTGGGGGGCTTTCACCTGCCGCTGCCCGCGCCTGCGCCCGTCGGCTGGGCTGATGGAAGTGCTGTATGACAGGAGGCAGTGCGGTTCTACCCGCTACCTTTGCGGGTCAGGAGGCCCGCCCACCTGATTGTGGTGTGGCCGGTGCGCTCTGTGGGGGGCTTTCACCTGCCGCTGCCCGTGCCTGCGCCCAAGGACTGAGCTGATGGAACTGCTGTACGACAGGAGACAGCATGGTGTTTTTAAAACCTCTGGCTGGTGCAGATTCAGAAAGAGGCAACTGCATCCTTCTGTATGTATATATGGCGTTTGCTTCCTTCTGTATGTATATATGGGTTGAAAGGTGTTTGCTTCTTAGTGAGGTTAAGTGTTGCAATGAAAGGTATATCTCTATTGCCCAGAAGCTGTCCATGCACCAGGATATGGACACTGGGTCGTGAGGAACTAATATCAAGGTGAAATGTGCATAATCAGAACATGTGTAATGCTGTGCAAGGCACACAGCTTGGCCGTAATGTATATATATGCGAATTTTCCTACCACACATGCGCCTTAGTGTCACTACATGCCACCTACAGCATACATGGACACTACATGGATGGAGAGTGTACAGGCCATCATTATTTTATGTGTTGTTAGCAGCCCGTGAATGGGCTGTCCTTGTGTTACGGTAGATTGCCAAGCTGCATCCATGCTGCATCGACCAGCCAAGTGACCTTGCTGGTTGCACTCTCTTGCTTCCGGCAAGGTGCTTCTGCTGCTACCAGCACTTGTGTTTGTGCAACAAGGAAGCAGTTAAGCGATATCTCACAGCGCAGTCCAAATGTGTCAAGCTGCACGTATAAGGCCTATCTGCCTCCATGCTGCTTCAGAAAGAGCCTGTTCAGCGACTTCCTGACTTCGCTGCTTGCACTCTTGCTTCCGCTGCTGCTACTACCGGCACTGTTGCCTGAGCTGCTGCTGCTGCTGCTGCTGCCAGCGCCGATGCTGGTGCTCCCACTCCCGCTCCCATCCACCAACCTTGTCCCATTCCTGCTCCCAACCTTCTCTCCAAACGGCTTCCCCGGCCGTCCCTTTTTCGGCCACGGCAGCTTCCTACCAAGCTTCTTCCAAATGCTATCCGAAAGCAGCGGGTCGGGGCCGTATCCCCCGAACGGGTGTACAATCTTGTGGAAAAACACGTCGACCCACGCGTCTGGCACCCCCGGAAGGCACCATTTCACGCAATCCATCTCGCTTGCATCTGGAGGGGGTCCGTATGCTGCCATGTGGCCATCCGCTCGGTACATCGACATTTGTAACACATCCAGGAGTTTGATTTTCGATTTGGATAACGCTTGCCGTTGCACTGCTGTCCAGCCAGTGGCGTCGCTCCGAGCCTCTGCGTAGCGCATCGCGTCAGCTTGTAAAGGGGATGCGAACAGCCCGCATGTGGTAGCCGCATATCGAAACATATTCGGGTTGTGAGACGGCGGCATGGTGAGAAAAAACGGCCGAACCAGCTGGAAATTCTTATCAAAATAACTTGATACCGCTTTAAGCGCAGTTGATAACGCGTCTTGAGGTGTAGGCTGAGGCGAAAGCGGCTTTCCCTGGGAGTAATAAATCCTCTGATTGCTGATATAGCTGCTGTACGCGCTGTTGTTGACGCTGCTGGTGGTAGTGGCTGGCTGGGATAAAAAGTAATTGCTGGCAACGAGAATCAGGGATTTAAGCTGGGGGATTTTAGGCAGCATCTCGAGAATCTTGTGGTTGATTGTGCCCAGCTGCACGTGCCAGAGGTGAGAGGCCTTGGACTCGCCCTGAGGGACGGGAGGAGTAGAGAGAAGAGCAGAGGAGAGAGGATGCTTAAGCCTGGAAACAAGGGGGGAGCATCTCGAGGATCTTGAGGCTGATGGTGCCCAGCTGCACGTGCCAGAAGTGCGAGGCTTTAGATTCGCCCTGAGGGACGGGAGGAGTAGAGAGAGAGAGAGAGCAATAGAAGAGAAGAGAGGAGGAGAGGCTTTAAGCTGGGGGATATTGGACAGCATCTCGAGGATCTTGTGGTTGATTGTGCCCAGTTGCATGTGCCAGAGGTGAGAGGACTTGGACTCACCCTGTGGAGAAGAGGGGAGAGAGGGGGGAGTGGGAAGAGGGGGATATATCAGAGGGCAGAGGGCAGAGGGCACAGGGGAGAGGGCAGGGGTCAGAGAGCCTACATATCCGGCCATGCCCCGACATGAGAAGCGGAGCACCATGGCAGCCATACCATACCATTGCTGCAGTACTCCATACCATCGGCCGAGAGGATATCATCTACTAAGAGCTTACCATCAGTATGGAGATGTCCACCCGGCCGCAGCACTTATAATATACCATCGGTATGGTGTATTACGGCAGGCTAGAGAGCTGAGCGGCTCTGAGCTGGCCGCCATACTACGTGCTGCAGTGCTCCATACCCATCACGCCGCTCATTCATTCCATAGGAGACTTTTGAGTCGACTCAAAAGGCAGCTGGCAGCCAGCCATACGTGCTGCAGTGCTCCATACCCATCACGCCGCACCATAGCAACGCTCATTCCATAGGAACGTCCTGCAACGCTCACCTCCACATCCGGCCATGCCTCCATGAGGAACGGAGCATGCCCACATGCCATGTGGCATGCTGCTTCACGCCCCGTAGGAGCACTGGAGCACCATGCACCATGCAACGCTCACCTCCACATCCGGCCATGCCTCCATGAGGAAGGGAGTGTCCACCAGAATGACCCACACACCGTGTGCCCTGCTCCTTTATGCGCCATGCCATTCACCATGCGCCATAGCAGAAAATCCATGCGTCATGCACTATACCATTCACCATGCTCCACAGCAGCAATTCTCACCTCCACATCCGGCCATGCCTCCATGAGGAAGGGAGTGTCCACCAGAATGACTCGTGTGCCCAGCAGCTTCACCTTAAAGCCCTGGCCCGTCCACCCAGCTAGTTTCGGATCCCAGTCCTGCAATTGAATATAGGATTATAAACAGGGTAACATGTAGGATTACCACGACACCCTTTCTCGAACAAAGCATGACGATTTACAGTCGCTCTCTGTACAGTGTACACTTTTTGATGGATGTGGATTGCTTTTTAGAGATTCGATGGTTGTTACTATTTGGGGTTTGTTTCTATACGTTCAACACTTACCTCTGTAGTGTAGTGTTGGCTAATGCGGCATCGCAGTGATTGGTAAAGGTACTGTCCGGTGCTGTCACCCGCTATAGCAACCGCTTGGCCCACAAACCGAGCCGCAAACGACTTGGGATTGAATCTGCGGGTAAGCACGAGAAGGATACGAGAGAAAGAGGGGTGAGAAAGGAAGAGGAACAAATTAAGAACGAGAGAAGCGATAGAGGTAAAAGAAGGAGGGATGGGGAATGAAAGGAAGAGGTAAGAGGGAGAAGAGAGAGGAAGAGGTATGAGTGAGAAACGTGAGAGAGAGGTGTGAGAGAGGAAGAGATGTGGGTTTGAGGGAGAAAGAGGATTTATGAAGCAGCATTGGAAGAAGACTATTGAAGTAGAGGTCGGAGCTTCAAGCAGTCTTCGGTTGAGCCTTACATGGTCAGATCACAACCGTTGGGTTTCCAGATGAGGTGCTGGAAGTCGCCATCCGGCCGTCCGTTCTTGATGCAGTTGAAGTTATCCGTGATGTACGGACAGTCGTTCTGATACTGCGGATACTTCGACGAAGGAACCCATCTGAAAAGGGGAAGAGGAGGAGGGTATAAGTGGTGGAAACGAAAAGAGATAGTTGCGAGGAAGAGGGCACTAGTGGCAAATACTTCATTTTCGACAGTAAAAAATTGAGGTGGTAAAACCGCGAGAGAGATTACGGTAACAACCGGCATTCCGGTCGTTCTAACAATAACGAGGATGAGAGGACACTAGTAGAAAAACAATATATGACTCTGGGGTGAGAAGGTAACGGTAACGCACGATCCGACAGTGATGTCGCATTTCTTGCCGGACGACGCCGCCGTCGCATGCGACAGGAGCGATAGGCTGGCGAAAAGGGCGGCGACGACTGCGACTGGCTGGGCGAAGATCTGCCTCGACGTGCGGGGCCGCACTGGAACCATATCTTAAGGGCTGGACTTTTTTTTTCCTAGTCCGAAGCTACTTTCGAGTGGACGGAGGCGTATCGACGAGATTTGGCAGCGCGATTGAAGCGGACGTGATTGAAGTGGTTTGAGTTACGATGAAGGAATTGCAGTGGTTCGTGACGCGTGAGGGCGTGGGTGAATAAAGAAGAGTTTTGAGACGTCTCAAAACTCTTCTTTATTCAAGCGGACGTGATTGAAGTGGTTTGAGTTACGATGAAGGAATTGCAGTGGTTCGTGACGCGTGAGGGCGAGGGTGAGATTGGATTGGACTCAAGCAACCGAAGTAGCTGCTTTACTTTGGCTATCGTGCCAAAAGTAGAGAGTAGTAGGTTGGATGACGTGTCGTGATAGAGTGACGCGAAGGTCAAAAGCTCACCACGGTAATCTGCATGAGTAGCTGACTTGCTACTTGATATGAGCTGCTAGTTTATATGAGCTGTCATGGTACCACTATAGGAAGCTCGAAGTAATACGCTCGTGGTACGAACTAGCTACTTCTTCCGAAGGGATTCGCGAATAGAAACGATAACTACCTAATGAGCATCGATAATGTTCGGCGCTCGCCTTTCGTCGAATGAGGTGGCAACAGGCGAGAATACTCGGAGCAAATTATGAAGAAGGGGATTCCCGTGCGGATTGTGGGAAAGGGGAAGCTGACGCAGATTCTAGAAAGAAAGCTGAGATGTCCTGGGCGCCTCGCGCCGACACATAGGCGCATGGCGTGCCTTGGGATGCGCACTGCGCAGACAGCAGCAGTTTATGGTGGGACTGGTTCTCCGTAGAAGCGCATAAAGGTCTCGCAACTATGTCTTAGTCGGTCATGATCGTCCCGTATAAAACCGTCGCTCGGCGTGACGGCGCGCATTTCATCACACGGCCTCTAGTACCCTGCGAATGCCCTTAGGCTCTCGCCTTGAAATGGGGGAAACGGTCGTTGAAATGAGGGGTGGATGCGTTGTCGCCGTTGTGGTTCCCGGAAGCTGTGCTATCAAGTCCAAGATGACGGTGGAAATCCGACGACTGACCATTGCCATGGTCAATTGCCGTCGGTTTGCGCGGTGGAACCGACGGTTGGTTGGAACCGCGGCTTTCGAGTCTCGACACTTCATCATTAAGGCTGGGAGGGGGGCTGGCTTTTGTACCTCTCCCATCCCCATTCGAGAATACAGGGCGTCGAGTGATGATGGGTGGAACGATAGAAGGTGAGGTGTGTGATAGATGAGATGGGTTCACCTAGGCTCGTTTCGCTCCGGAGTCTGGAACATAATGAACAGCCAAGACCGCTGAATGCCTCAACCTAGATGTGCGTGTGTTGCGCGCGCTGTAGTCGCTGAGACACCTAAGAAAAGGGGCGTCGGAAGGAACTCGGAAGTGAACAAATGGAGGGAGAAATTGATAGCAGAGGGGTGTGTGCCCTCGGGTCGAGTCGAGTCTCTCTCCCTCTGTCCTCTCGGCTCCATCCAAGCCAACCAAGCGCGCAGGCGTTTGTTCAGGTTTCACACAATCACGGCGCAGCACAAACAAATGGTGAATTTTGTTAGCAGTCGCGGGGCCGTTCAGCAGGCGCCTAGTTGTGCCCGCATTTCCGCCCCACAAAATGTAGAGATGTCGGCGCACGGTTTGACATTTCCGACGAGGCGCGCTTGCAATGGACAAAGCGCAAAATTCCTCCGTGAAGTGCGGCGATGCATTCGCTCTCGGCACCGTTGTGATGCCACGTCCGACTTGTTTTCTTGCACAACAGAATAGTGAGCTGAGCTTTTTTGCTATAGCATTATCTTCACAAAGAAGGCCTTTTATATTTTAGCCTTAGTTGGCCTAAGTCAGGCATACAGTCATGAATATGTGACAAGTCTGGATATGACCACATATACAATTGTGATAAACGGTTGATCGTTCTCAATAGCCTTCTTTAAAAATACCACACCAGCCAAAAACATATTGCCCTGGTACTCGCATTTATTTTTACAGGAAAAAGCGAATCCATAGTACGAAACCGAAGTTCAACAAAAAAAGACCCAGGATATTTAGTATCAATTTGAAGATACGTATCTATGGTTGTATGAAACCTATACGAAACAACACACACAAATCACAGATTTATTGCTCTAAACTAAGCCCAATCCATTCATAATAATATTCTATGAAGGGCTTATGCTGTACGCAAGCATTTGCCTGGTAAGCATACGTACAACAGTTCGTGTATGTGCCTATAGCGAGGCAAGAGAGAGCTTTCATTGCATTACTATGCTCCTATCAAAACCTTTTGTGGTTTGCTACAGTTTAGCCCGCAGCTGATCCCGCTGCTCCTGCTCCTGCTCCTACTCCTTTGCTCCTGCACCCGCTTGTTTGTCTGCTCGGCCATTCGCCCCACCTCCTTCTGCTCTTGTAGGTCACGTAGGTGGGACTGCGACTGCTGCTGCGCTCTCATCCCCATTCTTAACCATGTCAACACTCTTCTCCTGCAGCTCTTGCACTCGGCACCGCTGCTGCGGCGGCGTCAGTCATCCCAATACATGCCCTCACTCGTTAATGGCCAAATCTGAAAGGCGTCTCAACACTCGCCTCCCTCTTCTCTTGCTGCTCCCACACTGGGCACTGCTGCAGCAGATGATTCAATCCCATACATGGCCCCGTCACCAGAAATCGTCGAGCTGTGCGTTGCATTGGGAGAGGACGAGAGGGAAGAAGCCTCGATGTCCTTCAGCTGCTCCTGCAGGGCCACCATCTCTTTCTGTTTGACACAATGGGGAAGGGGGGCAAGAGGGGAAACAATGGGGATGAGCAATGAGGGAAGAAACCTAGAGGTCCCCTTGGGTCATGGGGAAAAAGGAAGTGGAAAGGGAAGTGGGGAGCAAGGAGAGAGGTCGAGGGGCGTTGATGAGGTTGGTGACATGGGGCAGAAGGATTCAGAGCAGGGGGGTTCAGGGCAGGAGGATTCAGGGCAGGAGGATTCAGGGCAGGAGGATTCAGGGCAGGAGGATTCAGGGCAGGAGGATTCAGGGCAGGAGGGTTCAGGGTAGGAGGATTCAGGGCAGGAGGATTCAGGGCAGGAGGATTCAGGGCAGGAGGATTCAGGGCAGGAGGACTCAGGGCAGGAGGATTCAGGGCAGGAGGATTCAGGGCAGGAGGATTCAGGGCAGGAGGATTCAGGGCAGGGAGTTTCGGGGCAAGGGAACTCAGATACGGAATGACTTTTGAGTCGACTCATAATTCAGGTACGGAATGACTTTTGAGTCGACTCAGAATTCAGGTACGGAATGACTTTTGAGTCGACTCAGAATTCAGGTACGGAATCTCAAGGCAGGGAGATTCAGGACAGGAAGATTCAGGGCAAGGGGATTGATTTAGGGCCGAAGGGCGGCTAAGTGAAAGACGAGGTTTGCCAGAGGATGGAGGTACCTGGAGCAGCCAGATGACCCCCACGAAGCCTTATACCGGGTCTCTGAGCTTTAGATTCGAGCTTTTGAGTCGAATCAAAGGCAGTTGACCCCCACGAAGCCTTATACCGGGTCTCGAAAGACAAAGAGGGGGGAGGGGGGAGGTGCCCATTTCTGAGGCACGAGGGGTTTCTAAGAGGTTTGTGAATACATATGGAGTAGAGGGAAGAGGGGTGTACCTGTAGCAGGCAGATAACTCCCACGCAGCCGTACACCGGATCTCTGAGCCTCGTGGTTGAGATGTCTCAGAGGAGCGGATAAGGGGGCTCATGACAGGGAGGTAGGTAGGGAGGGAGGAGCGAGAGTGGAGAGTGGGATGTACCTGCAGCAGGCAGATGACTCCCACGCAGCCGTACACCGGGTCTCTGAGCCTCGCCTGTGCCTCGTACTCCAAGCTTGCCACTGCATCCTCCCTCTGTGCCACCGGGATGTCCTGTAAGGGGAGCACAGTCGCACAACAGACAGTAGGAGCAGGAGGAGAAGAATGAGAGGAGAGGCAGGAAAATTTGTGAGATGGGTCTCTTTAAGCGTCGCCTGTGCCTCGTACTCCAGACTGGCCGCTGCATCCTCCCTCTGGGCCACCGGGATGTCCTGTAAGAGGGAGGGAGGGAGGGGAGGAAGACACAGGAGACAGGAGGAGAGGCAGGTGAGTGGGAGAAGCTGAGGGATATCAGGGCTTTTTCACGATTGAACGGGTCTCTTTAAGCGTCGCCTGTGCCTCGTACTCGAGACTGGCCGCTGCATCCTCCCTCTGGGCCACCGGGATGTCCTGTAAAGAGGGAGGGAGGGGCAGAGAATGGAAGGGGCAGGAGCGGCAGGATGATAGAGAGAGGCAGGAGTGTGGGATGAGCCTTTCTAAATTGAAGTGCAGCCCTATTTATTTAAAAATGTTGTCCATGTTACATAACAAGGATTACTTGCGATTCCATCAGGCTCGCCCGTCACTTCGTGATAAGGCTCAAGTGCTATGTTGTAAGGCCCAGGCTAACCTGTAATAATGTAGGGCTCACCTGCTAGGTTACTATATATTTCTGTAGTAATACAAACTAAATGTTCAAGCGCAAGTCAATCTCAGTAACACCTCAATGTGACTCACGTGTAGACTCTGATGACTTATGACCTTTCAGTATATCTCACCTTCAATGCTCACCTGTAAGATCGTTCACCTTTCTGAGTAGCGAGGATCTTCGCACATCGCATCTCACCCAGTCACGCCCTCCTTTCCCGACACCCACGAGGACAGCACGCTGCACAACTCGAGGGGGGCTTACCTGTAACATCTTGGAGTTCGTTGTTGGCGACGAAATCGGCGAAATATGATTGGGCGTTCGTTACTCCCAACCTTTACCAACACTTGCAACAGCCGCACCGCCCACCTCACCTGCAGCATCGTCACCTTGCAACTTTCTGCGGCAGCATCCGTACTTCCCGCTATATCACCTCACGAGAGGAAACACTATCCTCGCAGAGCCTCAACCGCAGCACCACGAAAATCTTCTCCTGCCGCTTGCATTTCCCCTCTCCCCTCTGTGAAACTCACGATAGGGCCCCACGCAAAGTACTCCTCGAAGCGTCACCGCAAGGGCGTTTCACCTTTCGTGACGTTACTGGCGCCGAACACTTGGTGCGCCACGCCACGAGGAGCTTCCCCTTCAAATACCCATTTCACGGTTCCCCTGTATTTCCCCCCCCTAACAAGGGACTCACTTGCAGCATCTTCGACACGTTGCTGGCACCGAACACCTTGTGCACCACGTGGAACTTCCACGTGGAACACTTTATGACATTTATTCCCTTTCCCGGTTTCTTCATGTTCCCCCGCACAAGGGACTCACCTGTAGCATTTTGGATACATTGCTCGCGCCGAACACCTTGTGCACCACGTGAAACTTCTCCGGCTGGTTGCGCGGGAAGTACGGCAGCAGCAGGCACTCGCGCGTGCACTTGCGCCGCAGCGACTTGCACGCCGCGCACGGCGGATCCTTCGCCGCCGCCGCCGCCGCCGCCGCTTCTGGCGCCGCTGACGCCGCTGCTGGTGCGGTTGCTCCTTCTTCTGCTGCTGCTGACGCTTGTGCTGCTGGCGGCGCTGCTGCTGGCGGCGCTGCTGTTGGCGGCGCTGGAGATGATGCTGACGCGGGAACGGTCCAAGCCGGTACAGCAGGAGCAGCAGCAGCACCGCCGCCGCCGAAAGCAGGAGCAGCGGCAGAAGGGTGAGCAGGAGAAGCGGAAGGAGGAGGGGGAGGAGGGGCAGGTGAGCCGCTTGCAGCGCCGAATGGCACGGCGGTAGCAGCAGCTGTTGGCGTAACAGGGTGCGCGGCGCAGGGCGCGGCAGCTGGCGCGGCAGGTGGCGCAAACGGGGGAGTAGGAGAACCTACGGGGGTGGTCGTTCTTTGCGCCCCATAGTCATTCGCGGCCGGCGGAAAACTCATACCGTTCCAGGAAGATTGGCGGGCCGCCGCGGGGGAATAGTCTCCGCTGGCAGGCGCGCGGGAAAGGTCTCCGCCAGCCAGAGGCGAGCCACCCCCGCTAGGCGAGGGGGAAATGCCGCCGCTGTATCCAGCGCTGCTGAATGGCGGGGCGGCACCGGCGCTACTAGTCATTTGCGCCGTCCCGGGAGGCGGGCCCCCTGGCGCAGCTGTGCCGTGCCACGTGTTGCTGTTCGTCTGAGCCGTGCTGGATGCACCCTGCCACGAGGTGGTACAGGGGGAGGGCGTATTCGGCCAGTTGCTGCTGGGGGAGGGCGTATTCGGCCAGTTGCTGCTGGGGGAGGGCGTATTCGGCCAGGTGCTATTCATCTGAGGAATTGACAGAAGCTTTTGCTGTGGCTGCTGCTGAGGCGGCTGAACCTGCTGCTGCTGCTGATAATGCTTATTCTGTTGTTGCTGATGCGGCGGTGCTGGCAGTGGTTGAGAACGGTTCTGCTGTTGCTGCTGCTGCTGCTGCCATGGCTGTGACTGCTGCGGCGGCGGTTGCGGCTCATAAATCGGCGCGTACTGCGGCGGTTGTTGCGGCTGGAACGACGGCGTAGTCGCAAAAGCAGCAGTGGCGCCGCTGCTGTGAGTCATAGCGGTAGATGACGAAGGGAACGCTGACGTGGAATGCGGGAACTGTGACGTGGACTGCGGGGAGAATGCTGCCGATGTGGCACACGCGCTGTGATTCGGATAAGCAGTGTTCGCGCTTGTACCGAGGGACGCATTGCCGGTGCTTAAATCGAAAGGTACAGTACTCGAAATAGGCTGGGGAGACGATGATAACGGAGCAGAGCCGGACGAGTAACCAGTCGAGTAATCAGCGGAGGAGTTACCACCCATGGAGTAACCAGACGAGTAACCAGTCGAGTAACCAGTTGAATACGTGACGACTGAAGACGAAGACCCCAATGACTGCTGTTGACCAGGGAACTGCGGCGCGTACTCCTGCTGCTGCTGCTGCTGCTGCGGCTGCTGCTGCTGCTGCTGCGGCTGTAGCTGTTGTTGCTGCAGCTGATGCTGCTGATGCTGCTGCTGCGGCTGGGATTGAAGTTGTTGCTGCTGGGGGTGCAGCTGTTGCGGCTGGGATTGCTGTTGCACCCAGTACCCCTGGTTTCCACTGGTCGAGCTTTGCACACCATATCCGCCTCCACCGTCGCAAGTCTCGCCGGTATGGCCGCCAATACCGCTACAGGAACGCACTCGCCTGGAAGGTTCCTCGTACGGTGCGGAGTGCTCGTGATCCTGGCGCATTTGATTCGGAGCTGGTTGACTTGGTTGGCCTGGTTGAATCTGCTGAATTGATTGCATCTCCATGCGTGGTGGAGTGTAATCTTGTTGACTGATAGTCGACGTAGCTGTGGCGGAGAGATGTTGACTCGGCTGAGTTTGTTCAATCGGTTGAACCCGTTGCGTTTGAGGTGTTTCGAGAGCCGAGTAGAATGAAGAGTCATCAATGGCCGTCTTAGGCGATGGCAAAGCGACGAAGCCCCAGGATGGCGAAAGAGGGTAATCGATGGCCGGCTTTTCGAAGGTGTTCGCTAACGGATCGTTCGCCAATGGAGCTCCATTGCACGAGCTGTAGTGTCCGCTGGATGCATCTCCGTTGAACGCGCCGTACTCCGCGGATTGAGTGCCGCGTGGAGGGATTTGGAGCGCAGGCTGAAATAGCTGCTGTTGGTACTGCTGTGGCTGATGCGTTAGCAGCGAAACCGTCATTTTCGCCGCTTTATACTCGTTTCAAAGGTGGGACTTCACCGTTTTTACTTTGTGGCAGTTTCAGTTCGTGGAAAGCTGTGTTCACCGAATACGGCGCCAAGAAGAGAGCTCCTGGGAACACAGGAGCTTTGAGACGTCTCAAAACTCATGCGACCGCAGGAGGAGTCTCCAGCGGCGAGCAGCGACGCGTTACTAATTCGTCTACGACATTCCTTGGCCGCCGCTTTCCGGAATCTCTATACTTTACTGCAAATCTGTCAACTAGAACTCCCGACTCATTCCACACATTACGAAGCCGCAGCTCCAAGCTGTTTCGGAAGCGAAGGAGATCACGGAAAGATTGAAGGATGACTTTGGTGGTTGTGGTGGGAAGAATTCCGACTGGAAAAAGGGGCGAATAAGTGGGGTGAAGAAGAGCAAGGGCCAGGACCTGGGGCAAACCCGGGAGCCCACCACGCCATGGCCCCACCTTCGGATGGGGCTGGTAGAACATGGGTCGTGGGGATGGCATACATGCGCTTCGCGGTGTAGATGGTGGAATCTTGCAAGCACGCACATGTTTGTGGGGAGAGGGGCGAAGCGAAAGCGTGTGCGAATGGGGACGTGTGGATGTGCGAAAGATGGGTCATGGAGTGCGGGCGCGGTACGGATGTATGGTGCACCCGCCCTTCCATTCGCGCGACGTGGCGGCGAATTCCAGAATGCTGGATTCGTCAAGCGGTTCGCAGCGGCCTTTTGCGAAGGAAAGCATGCGCGGCAGTGGAGGAATCCCCATGCGAGAACACAGCGGCGAAGGTTAGCGAGCCTTTCAGGGTTCGTGTTCCGTCGCTCGGTCATTGCCAGATCGGTTGGTCTTGTCAAATGCTGCGAATTCGTCCCTCTGATTGGTTGCGATGAAACGGCGACGATGATTCGTTCACTCTGCCAGCCCACAAAAATTCACAGGTTTTGGGAAAGGAAAAGTGGCGCACTCAATTCGCCGCCTTCGCACGAGCACGTGGCTTGAAGCTGGCGTGTCTCTCTCTCGCATGCCGCATCGCCACCCAACTACCTTGACTTTCCGATAGATATTATGTTTTGATTCGGTGGGTGTAGCTCATGGAGATTAACTCATAGTTGTATGTCCCTTACAATTTTAGACTTAGACATCACCATAAGTGTGCCAATATTCTGCTTCATAAACATTTCCGTTAGTAACATACACAACGGGGAAAACAAAGCCATGGTACGCAGTTCTATGCTTTCAAGAACTAGAGTGTCAAGAGCTGGACTTAGACCCCTGCTTCTGTTTATGTGCTTTGCGCCCAGCTTCAATCGCTTCTCTGCAAAACAAAAACAGACCGACCAAGGGAACATGTGTAAGAAACTAGGATACAAGCCAAAGGATGACGCTGCAGTGCTTATGTAACTTCAACACTTACTGAAATGCTGCCGTGAGATCCATGTTATTCGGATCGACTTGAACCCCTTCGAAGAACACATTCGCTGCATCCTCGTAACGCTGCAGCACACCGAACAGTAAAACTAAGAACACCATACAGTGCGGAAAAAAAAAAGGGGAACCCTTCTGGTTTGAATCTGTTCACTCTCTCCCAAATGCCCCCTGGACCACTGGCCCCTTCCCCCCCCCCCCCCCCCCCCCCCCCCCTCCCTCTCCCTAACTTCTCCCCATTCCCCAACGTGAAACCCCCTCTCATACCCTCCCCACCTCCATGACTCTGAACACACTCCCTTCTCAGAAGTAGGCCTTGGGCCAGTCGGGCCGCAGCGACCTACTCATCTGCCCGTCTGCCCATCTCCCCGGGCGCCTGTCCTAGTCCTCCCTTCTACTTCTACCTCTTCTCTCTCCTTCTCCCCCTCTTCTCCTCCCGAGCACTGCACCCATGGCTCCCGAGCACTGCACCCATGGCTCCAGACCCACTCACCTCCATCGCTTTGAAGGCAGTCCCTTCTCGGAAGAGACTTTTGAGTCGACTCAAAAGTCACCATGGCTCCAGACCCACTCACCTCCATGGCTCTGAAGGCAGTCCCTTCTCGGAAGTACGCCTTGGGCCAGTCGGGCCGCAGCGACAGACTCATTTGCCCGTCTGCCTACCCCTCCCTTCCCTCTCCCCACTCCCTGCTTCCTCCTCCCCTCTCAGCACTCACCTCCATGGCTCTGAAGGCAGTCCCTTCTCGGAAGTACGCCTTGGGCCAGTCGGGCCGCAGAGATCGACTCATCTGCCCGTCTGCCAGGGCGAGGGGCGCCTGTCCCAATCGCAGCCAGCAGATGCTGCGGTTGGCCAGGAGGGTGCCCTTCATCACCCTGTCATCCACTGGCGTTGCTGCCAGGTCCGCCTTGGGGTACAGATCCAATGCCTGGGGATGGGAGGTGAAAGGGTAGTGGAAGGAGGGGGTTGGGTGGGTGTTAGCATGTAATCGCCTGTCCCAATCGCAGCCAGCAGATGCTGCGGTTGGCCAGGAGGGTGCCCTTCATCACCCTGTCGTCCGCTGGTGTTGCTGCGAGCTCTGCTGCCTCTGGGTACATATCCAGTGCCTGGAGAGGGGGGTTTGGGGTGGTGGAGATGGGTGGAGGGAGTTTTTTGCTCATCTGTCTGTCTGCCAGGGCGAGGGGCGCCTGTCCCACTCGCAGCCAGCAGATGATGCTGCAGTTGGCCAGCAGAGTGCCTCTCATCACCCTGTCGTCCGCTGGGGTTGCTGGTAAGTCCGCCTTGGGGTACAAATCCAGTGCCTGGTGATGGGGCATGGGGGGTGGTGGAGGGGTGGAGAGGGGTGGAGGGAGGGACAAAGGGAGTTTTCTTTTGAGTCGACTCAAATCCAGTGCCTGGTCATGGGGCATGGGGGTGGTGGAGGGGTGGAGGGAGGGACAAAGGGAGTTTTCTTTTGAGTCGACTCAAAAGTCAACCAGTTTTCTTTTGAGTCGACTCAAATCCAGTGCCTGGTGATGGGGCATGGGGGTGGTGGAGGGGTGGACGGAGGGACAAAGGGAGTTTTTTGCTCATCTGTCCGTCTGCCAGGGCGAGGGGCGCCTGTCCCAGGCACAGCCAGCAGATGCTGCGGTTGGCCAGCAGAGTGCCTCTCATCACCCTGTCGTCTGCTGGAGTTGCTGGTAAGTCCGCCTTGGGGTACAAATCCAGTGCATAGAGAGGGGGGTTTGGGGTGGTGGAGAAGGGTGGAGGGGGTTATTTGCCTAACTGCTCATCTGCCCGTCTGCCAGGGCGAGGGGCGCCTGCCCCAGGACAGCCAACAGATGCTGCAGTTGGCCAGGAGGGTGCCATCCGCTGGTGTTGCTGCAAGGCCATCCGCTGGTGTTGCTGCAAGGCCATCCGCTGGTGTTGCTGCAAGGTCCTCCCCTGGAGATGCAGTGCTTGGAAAGGGTTTTGGATCCAGTTGGTTAGCAATAGCGCTTTTGAGGCGACTCAAAGACGACTTTTAAGGCGCATCAAAAGCCATCCGCTGGTGTTACTGCAAGGTCCTCCCCTGGTTACAAACAGATGCAGTGCTTGGAAAGGGTTTTGGAATCCAGTTGGTTAGCAATAGCGCTTTCGAGGCGACTCAAAGACGACTTTTAAGGCGCATCAAAAGCCATCCGCTGGTGTTGCTGCAAGGTCCTCCCCTGGTTACATACAGATGCAGTGCTTGGAAAGGGTTTTGGAATCCAGTTGGTTAGCAATAGCGCTTTCGAGGCGACTCAAAGACGACTTTTAAGGCGCATCAAAAGCCATCCGCTGGTGTTACTGCAAGGTCCTCCCCTGGTTACATACAGATGCAGTGCTTGGAAAGGGTTTTGGAATCCAGTTGGTTAGCAATAGCGCTTTCGAGGCGACTCAAAGACGACTTTTAAGGCGCATCAAAAGCCATCCGCTGGTGTTGCTGCAAGGTCCTCCCCTGGTTACATACAGATGCAGTGCTTGGAAAGGGTTTTGGAATCCAGTTGGTTAGCAATAGCGCTTTCGAGGCGACTCAAAGACGACTTTTAAGGCGCATCAAAAGCCATCCGCTGGTGTTGCTGCAAGGTCCTCCCCTGGAGATGCAGTGCTTGGAGAGGGTTTTGGAATCCGGTTGGTTAGCAATAGCGCTGGGCTTTAAGTTAGGCATGAAAGCAGAGCCTACCCCCTCCAAAACCCACACACACACACACACACACACACGCACGCACGCACGCACACACACACACACACACACACACGCACGCACGCACGCACACACGCACACACACACACACAAACACACGCACCTGAGTGTATGCATCATCAGCCTCTTGGAACTGCTGTGATCTGAACGGAGCATCAGCTCTCGCCTTCGCCTCTGCCACTGCTGCAGCCACGTCCCTCCATCCATGCACCATTGTAGCACACACACACACACCCAAAAAAAAATCACACACACCTGAGTGTATGCATCAACAGCCTCCTGGAACTGCTGTGATCTGAACGCTGCGTCTCCCCTTGCCTTGGCCTCGGCCACTGCTGCAGCCACATCCGAAGACAGAGCAGAACCAAGGGGTGGTGCCCCTACCCCCCCCGCTCCCCCTCCTCCTCCTGCAGATGCCTCTCCCTTCTTCCCTCCTCCTGCTCCTCCCCCTCCTGCTCCTCCCCCTCCTGCTCCTCCTGCTCCCGCCGCCCGTTTCATCACTCCATCGACCGTCCAATCGACTTCCGCCACGTCAGCGGGACGCTGAGTCACCGGCAGCAGCAACCCGACAACCTCTTTATTCCCCGCAGCAGCAGCAGCGTCTAGTGCCGTCATGCCATCCTCGTCCCGCCTGTCTGCATCAGCACCGGCAGCAAGGAGAGCGGAGACGGCGGGTGTGTTGCCCGCGTCGGCAGCGACAATGAGAGGCGTGGTGGAGGTGACACAGGGGAGAGGGGAGGACGGGGCAGCAGTGGTTCCATTGGCAGCGGCGGCAGCAGCAGCAGCGTTGGTGGGGAGAGGGGGGCCGCCAGGGTTGGGCTGAGCCCCGTGCTGTGGTGGGGGGGAGAGAACGGAACAGAGAGTAAGGAATTCAATCAAGCAGGTTAGGAAGGCTGGCGTCGGCACTGGCGTGGATGAGGAGGGCAATGATGAGAGGCGTGGTGTTGGTCGGTCACACAGGGGAGAGGGGAGGATGGGGCAGCAGCAGCACCATTGGTACTACTAGCTGCTACAGCAGCAGCGTTGGTGGGGAGAGTGGGGGCGCCTGGGTTGGGCTGGGCGTTTTTGAGAATTCTCAAAAACTCCCTGCAAGAGTGGGGGCGCCTGGGTTGGGCTGGGCCCTGTGCTGTGGTGATGGGGGAAGGGATCAGGGGACTGACTTTGAAACACCGTGCACCTCAAACTGCGTACATGAACCCTGAACGTCAAACCCAACCTCAAACCCTGAACGTCAAACCCAACCTCAAACCCTGAACCTCAAACCCTGAACCTCAAACCCTGAACCTCAAACCCTAAACCTCAAACCCTGAACCTCAAACCCTAAACCTCAACCCTGAACCTCAAACCCTGAACCTCAACCCTGAACCTCAAACCCTGAACCTCAAACCCTGAACCTCAAACCCTGAACCTCAAACCCTGAACCTCAAACCCTGAACAAAATGCCCTGTACGTACCTTGAGCAGCAGTTTCACAATCTCTGTCTCCCCGGCAGCAGTGGCGGTGAGCAGCGAGTTCACGCCATCCTCGCTGGGCGTGTCTGGATTGGCTCCCCTCGTTAGAAGCACACCCGCTGCAGCCACCTTGCCGTGTCCGCACGCCCACAGCAGCGGAGGCCCGGCGTCGCTCTGAGCGTTAGGGTCGGCGCCGTGGTCCAATAGGAGTTCGAGAATCTTCACCGAACCTGTGAGGGATTATGAGGTTGTCCGAGAGCATTCGAGTCGGCATTGTTGGCCAGTCAGAGCAAGGACTATCATCACGCATGAAGAAGCAAAAGAAAAGAAAAATACAAAACATGAATATCAATAACTTATGAAGCTTTTTATTTGCCTGTGCTTCTAAAGGATGTGACTACAAGAGTTGGTTTTCAACCCACCATGCCCCGCTGCGTGATGTATCGCCTGCGCGCCCGACTTCTCCGCTGACGTGGCAACAGCCGCCCCGTGCTCAACCAGCCACGTGGCAGCCTCTGAGTGGTCGTCCCTCGCTGCCAGCATGAGTGGCGTCTCCCCCTCGTCATCCTTCACATCCACCGGCACGCCTATCTCCTCCACCATGTACCTGCAGGCATTGAGATATGCACATACACATACACATACACATACACATACACATACACATACTCAATGGTTCAGAAAACAGCACAACACACGCATGGATCTCCCGCATCTCCCCCTCGTCATCCTTCACATCCACTGAAACGCCTATTTCATCCACCATGTACCTGCATGCGTCGTTTGATATATACACACACACATACTCAGAGTGAAAGAAACAAAACACACGCATGCACTCAGCTCCCCTGACTCCCCCTCGCCATCCTTCACGTCCACTGGCACGCCTATTTCATCCACCATGTACCTGCACATGCTGAAAATACTCCTATGGGTAGGTGCCTAATTTGAAAGAAAAAAAACAACACGCAACAAAACACACACGCACACACGCACACGCACGCACACACACACACAAACACACACACACACACACACACACACACACACATACACACACACACACACACAAAAGAACACCAACAGAAACGCCCATCGATCAAAACCCAATCACGTACCTGCACGCATCCACGTGGCCCTTGCTCGCTGCAAAGTGCAGGGCCGTGCGGCCGTTCGCGTCCCCCAGTTCCCTCGTTTCCTCGACTTTACAGTCTATCCAAATGTCACCTCTCAGTCACGTACCTGCACGCGTCCACGTGGTCCTTGCTCGCTGCAAAGTGCAGGGCTGTGCGGCCAATGGCTTCCCTCACCTTCTTCAGAACCTCCCTCGCTTCCTCCACTTTAAAGTCGACCCAAAACTCACCTCCTTAACCCAGCCACATACCTGCACGCGTCGACATGCCCCGTGCTGGCTGCAAAGTGCAGGGCCGTGCGGCCATTGGCGTCCCTCACCTCCTCCAGCACCTCCCTTGCTTCCTCTACTGCAAGCTTCCCCTCGTTACTGTCACCCGCACCACCATCACCACCACCAGCAGACGCGGCGGCAGCAGCTGCAGTATCACTACTGAGCTTCTCATCTACATCAAACTCTGAAAGCATTTCCACTCCCCCCTTCTTCCCCTTTACCTTCCCCTCCGCCTTCCCCTCCCCCTCCCCTTCCGCCTTCCCCTCCGCTTTCTCCTGCGCTTTCCCATCCGCAATCATCACAGCAACGGCTTGTTTCAGCCCATCCACGTCACCGTCTTGGGCAGCTTTCAGCAGCCGGTTGACTTTTTCCCGGGCAGCCCAAGCTGCCGCCCCGTCCTTCTTTTCACCTGCCCCATCCCCACCCTTCCCCTCCGCCTTTCCCGTTCCCCCCTTCGCCCCTCCCCCCGCCCCTGCCTGCTCCGCGCCTGCTTTGGCAGTTCCATTCCCCGCGGCTGCTGCCGAAGCTGATGCTGCTGACGAACCTGCAGCCTTGTTCGGGGAGGTTCGGATGGGTCCGAACCTCTTTTCCAAGGCTTCGGTGTCGGTTAGGGCGGGCCATTTCTGCGGGTGCTGCTTCGTCAGAGTCAGGACGAGTGTGGAGCCGTCGATGTACCAGGCTGAATCGGACGGTCGGATCTTCTCGTACAGATCAGGAGCGTTCAACAGTGGGGCGGCGGCACCTTCCTTCCATGCCACCTGGCAAGCAGGGGATAAGCGTGACTAAGTTGTGGAGGGAAATTTTCGATTACGTGACAATGTCGAAAGACAACCGGCCCGTAATACTACCACGTAGAATGTGACACAATGCAGTGGTTGAATGCAGCAAGGGAGATTGGTTATAAGCTTATGAGAAAGGCGTGCGACTAGCCACTACGGCAGCCAGTAGATAATGACGAACGGGTCTCGGGTAAACGTTTATTGCGGAGGGTACATGAAGAGAAAGGCAAGGAGAGATGTGTAGAGATGGATTCAGGAGTATCAAGGAGTGCCAGACGGTGCAATCCAGGTGAGAAGGGTACAAAGAGGGCAATGTAGGTAAATGGATGGGTACAGAGCGGTAACACACCTTGACGGAGCTCGCCTGTATGTCAATGGACAAGCGCTTTGCAACATCTGAAGCCTTGATTTCTGCTGGCAGCGGGATTCGAACCTCGACCTCTTCACTTCCGTCCTCGAAGGTGTGCATGGTTCTGGAGCGGGAAAAAAAAAACCGTAACTAACGATGACGGAATAGGTGTGGTAGCGATGGCGACGCGTTCGCTTGCGCTTTAAATGTGTAGCTGACGATCTCAGGATTGACGATTTAGCTTTCTAAAGCAACTAACTCGGAAGGAGCTGGAGGACAAAGATAAATCACGAATGAAGAATAGGTGATAAGGACAAAGATTAAGGACGTCTTATAAAGAGGCACCAAGGATAAACGCCTTCTCGATGATCCCAGAAGGCTCTGGTCTGGAGTGGACTGAAAGTTCCACCGGCTGGTCTGGAGGGGACTGAAAGTTCCCAACTCTGGCTAGCTTCTAGATGGTGCTGGAGCCTTCCAGATTTGCCTAGGTTGGATGCTGCACAAATGCATACGCATCAAAAGGCAGCGCACGTTGCATACAATAGTCAAAATCGTTCTCTGCTGTTGTTTGGTTACATTATTTCGTGTAGCTATCGTTCTTGGCTCCGTGAATTGCGCTCATTGAATGGTCGCGGGGGGCTTGCTTGGAGCTTGGGCGGTGTTCCCTTGTTCCAGCCTCGGATGGTGCGCAATGGGCATGATGGCTGACGGCTGAAATGGCCCCATTCTCCAATCAGAAACGACGAGACGCAACGTGTTCGGCTGTTCTAACCTCGATCGTCAATCAGCGGTTTGACGCCTGCCTTATGAGAGGCTAGTATTTTTTCAACCAGCCGACAGCCCGTCAATAACTTCGCACCAATCGGTTGCGAAGGTGCATCTTTTGTCGCCAAAGGCAGATTTGGCGGAAGTCATGAGTTGCCTGATTGGTTGACACCTGTAACGACTGAAGTCGTACAATCGGCTGGAGATGGCGGCCGATGGATCCAGCCGGCGCGTCGCTCCTTCATCAAGTCGAATCGACGGGGTGCTTCGATCAGGAAGGGCAGCCAAACAAACTGATGACTCCACCAAACAATTTCCGATGTCGTTCCAGCCACAAACTGCCTAAAGACAAAATTTCAAGTTCGGGCTAAACCCACTCGCTCTTCTCCATACCGTCAATGTTCTCATGACGTCCGATCCAACGGCAGATTTGAAGCGAGAATCCTTCCAAGTAGCCCGTATGTGCAACTTATTTTTTGTTTGTTCTCCTCGGGCCCCTCGTCTCCCTCGGGAAACGTGTTGTGCTCGATGAAACGTGAACAGGAGAGGAAGAGTACATAACTTCCTCAAACCAAGCACAATTCCTCTAGCTGTTGTTTCTCGGTCCGCCATAACTTCTCCACTCTGTTCCTCTTCTCAACCTCCGTTCCTTGACCGCCATTCTTCCTTCCGCCGTTCTGTTGATTATCACTGTTCGACAGACTGTTTCCGATCGCAACGCATCTGATTCTCCGCCACATTCAGAGCATCTTGCGAATCTGTTTCTCCCAGCTACGCTCCTCCGAAACGGAATTCTTTAGGTCTTTGTCGTTCCCTACACTACCCGGCCCAGACCCAGTATCATTCAACGTACGATCGGCTTACGGTTGCTCCGAATTAAGCCCTTGATTGTTCAGCAATTACACTCCCCGTCCTTCCATCGAGCAGCAATCACGCTGTTCGTCAATTGCCTCTCAGGTTCATCGCAGGACAATTTTCCCACTTCACAGCCTTCTTTCAAAGTGTCATCCAGTCCATTGCATCCGACAAAAGCGCCGCCATGTCTTCTCTCCAATCAGCTACTGCACTGCTTCACCACGCGGGATCCGCAACTGCCGGCGCTAGTAACGCTGTGGCCACTAGTAGCGCCGCGATTCGCGCCGGGAAATCCGCACACGATTCGTCGATTTCCTTGCCATCAAGCTTCCTTCCTCGCCTCGATTCGACGCTCACCACCACCACTTCCTCCACCTCATATTCGTCACTCCCTTCCCCTTCTCTTATCGCCGTCCGATCGGCATCTGCGAGTGCGGCGGGACCCGCCGCAATTTCCGGCGGCCAATCACAGAACGGTGCCGTCCGGGACCGGGTGATCGCGATCCCGGATCTCGAGGAGGATTTCGCGCCGGAGGTGAACGGGACGTACGGGAAGGGCGGCAGCGCGGAGGACGATGCGGCCGCCGTACGCGGCGGATTAATCGACGGCGGGCTCGTGTACAGGGAGCGGTTCGTCATCCGGTGCTACGAAGTCGGCGTTAATCGAAAGGCTTCTATGGAGACCATCGCGAATCTGCTGCAGGTAAATCCTCACTAGGAAATCTACTGAGTGATTCACTTTAGGGCACTTTCCCCTCTCAATTCTCACTCAGTCCTTCAACTCCCTTCACTCCGCGTCCCACTCTCTCCCAGGTTCCACCACCCCCCTCTCCCTCTGTTTATCCCCGTAGCTACTGGTTTCATATCCTTGTCCGTCCCTTAAACCTCGCTCTGTGCGTGTGTGTGTGTGCGTGTGCGTGTGCGTGTGTGAGTGTGTGTGCGTGTGCGTGTGCGTGTGCGTGTGTGTGTGTGTGTGTGTGTGCGTGTGTGTGTGTGTGTGCGTGTGTGCGTGTGTGTGTGTGTGTGTGTGTGTGTGTGTGTGTGTGTGTGTGTGTGTGTGTGTGTGTGTGTGTGTGTGCGCGCGCGTGTGTGTGTTTTCGTGTGTGTGTGCGTGTGTGTGTGTCTGTGTAACGCGGCCTTGCCAGGAAATAGGGTGCAACCACGCGCAGAGCGTGGGGTTCTCCAATGACGGTTTCGCCACCACGCCAGCGATGCTTGCGAATCGCCTCATCTGGGTTACCACTCGCATGCACATCGAGATGTACAAGTATCCCAAATGGTACGTGATTTCTGGGTGTATGCTGAATTATGCTCGCAAATGACCTCATCTGGGTTAACGCTCGCATGCACATCGAGATGTTCAAGTACCACTCGCAAATTACCTCATATTTGCCAAACCTTCCTGTTCCCGTTACAGACAGACAGAGCTTTCACCTCTTAGTAACGTTTCCCTGTTATCCCTGTTTCCTGTCTCCGCACGCAACTGACACCTCCTGATTTCTCCTTCCTGATTGGCTGCCATGCTGCCACGTGGCAGGGGTGACGTGGTGGAGATTGACACGTGGTTCCAGGATGGCACCATCATGTCGCGCCGTGATTGGATCATCCGCTTCGGCCACACAGGGGAGGTCATCGGTCGAGGCACCAGGTAACTCTCGGTATTGCTTGGTGGGGTTTGGTAACGCTCTGTGGGATGAGATTGGGCTATACCGGGTCAGGTGCGGCTTGGTGTGCCGTGATTGGATCATCATGTTCGGTCGGCCACACAGGGGAGGTCATCGGCCGGGGCACTAGGTAACGCTCGGTGTGGCTTGGTCTAATTCGGTGTGGCTCGGTGTGATTCGGTGTGGCTCGGTGTGATTCGGTGTGGCTCGGTGTTTCCCGGTGTGGCTCGGTGTGTCTCGGTGTGGCTTGGCATGGCTTGGTGGGACTCAGCGTGGCTAAGCAGGGTTCGGTGGGGCTCAGTGTGGCTCGGTGCGGTCTGTGTGGCTCAGTGTGGAGCGGTTGGGCTAGGTTGGGCGTGGTGGCACTCGGTACTCCGGCAATATCACACGACTTGACCCCGCCCTCCTGCCACCCCCGAATTCTCAAAAGCTCCTAGATCTGGCTCCCCCACTTGCCCTTCCCTACCATGACACCAGGTGCTAGCACCTCCTCGTCTCTCATCTCCAGTCCCCTCTTCCTCCCTTCCCTTTCCCCTGCAACCATCAGCTCATGGGCCATGATGAATCGCGACAAAAGGCGTCTCTCCAAGGTGCCTGCAGACGTGTGTGCCTCTTCCCCAACACTCTTCCCCTCACCTGCCTCTTCTCTACCCTCCTTCCCCCCCCTTACCATCAGCTCATGGGCCATGATGAATCGCGACACAAGGCGCCTCTCCAAAGTGCCACCCTTCTGCTCATGTGCGCGCCCCTTCCTCCCTGCCCCCTCGCTCCCCCTTCCCTGCTCTCCCCAAGGCGCCTCTCCAAGGTGCCTGCCGGAATGCGTGCCACGCTCGACTTTTGAGGCGCCTCAAAAGTCGCCACGCTCGTAGTGCGCTGCTCCCCCCAACCTGCCTCTTCCCGTCTACCCTCCCCTCTTCCCGCCTCATCAGTTCATGGGCCATGATGAAGGTGCCTGCTGACGTGCGCGCCTCACTTCCCTCACCCCATACCTTCTCCTCACCGTACCTTCTCCCTCCTCTTCCTTTTCCCCTCCACAACCATCAGCTCATGGGCCATGATGAATCGCGACACCAGGCGTCTCTCCAAGTTGCCTGTTGACGTTTGTGCCTCTTACTTCCCCTCCACTCTCTCCCCCACGTGCCCCTTCCCTGCCTCTTCTCTAATCTCCTCTCTCCCTCATCAGTTCATGGGCCATGATGAATCGCGACACAAGGCGCCTCTCCAAGGTGCCTGCTGACGTGCGCGCCGAGCTCACAGTGCATTGCCCCAACCCTGAGAGGTTAGTGGAGTGGGTTTATATCGAGTGGGACTATATTGGGACTATATTGAGCTCATAGTGCACTGCCCCAATCCTGGGAGGTGGGACTATACCAAGTAGGATTATGAGACCATATCGAGTGGGAAGTTGGGATCGTATCAAGCTCATAGTGCACTGCTGCAACCCTGGGAAGTGGGACTATATTGCGTGTGACTACATCGAGTGGGAAGTTGGAATTATAGCGAGCTCAGAGTGCACTACCCTAACGCTGAAAGGTGGGACCAGTGTCTAAATGGGGTGAGCTTTAGACTTGGCTCTCCTCGCCAGGTTTTCTATTCCAAAGGATTATGTCCCAAGCTTCGCTTGTTGCGATGACTTTTGAGGCGCCTTAAAAACAACAGTCTTGCGAGGACCAACAAGCTTGAAGAATAATCAGAGAAGACTGCAGCGGGGATAGCCTCAATGACTGTTCAGGCACCTCACACACCCCGTTCCTCCCGTCCCTCCCCACCCCATGCTCCCCCTCTCCTGGCTCTCTAATCCAAAGAACATCGTTGCGAGGGTCAACAAACTGAAAGAGCCAGCAGAGGAGACTTGTTCAGGCACACGGCGACTCGCCCAAGTGACTGTTGGCATGCGTTACACATGCTTCCCTCCCCTCCCCTCCCTGCATCCCTGTGCTCTGCTGCTGCTCCCCTTCTCCAGGTTCTCTATTCCAAAGAGCAGCGTTGCGAAAATCAACAAACTGGAAGAGCCAGCAGACCACGTGCGGCCATACCTCCGGGTAAGGCCTTTACCCCCTGTTGGACACACTACATGCCACATGCCACATGCCACATGCCACATGCCACATGCCACATGCCACATGCCACATGCCACATGCCACATGCCACATGCCACATGCCACATGCCACATGCCACATGCCACATGCCACATGCCACATGCCACATGCCACATGCCACATGCCACATGCCACATGCCACATGCCACATGCCACATGCCACATGCCACATGCCACATGCCACATGCCACATGCCACATGCCACATGCCACATGCCACATGCCACATGGCCACATGCCACATGCCACATGCCACATGCCACATGCCACATGCCACATGCCACATGCCACATGCCACATGCCACATGCCACATGCCACATGCCACATGCCACATGCCACATGCCACATGCCACATGCCACATGCCACATGCCACATGCCACATGCCACATGCCACATGCCACATGCCACATGCCACATGCCACATGCCACATGCCACATGCCACATGCCACATGCCACATGCCACATGCCACATGCCACATGCCACATGCCACATGCCACATGCCACATGCCACATGCCACATGCCACATGCCACATGCCACATGCCACATGCCACATGCCACATGCCACATGCCACATGCCACATGCCACATGCCACATGCCACATGCCACATGCCACATGCCACATGCCACATGCCACATGCCACATGCCACATGCCACATGCCACATGCCACATGCCACATGCCACATGCCACATGCCACATGCCACATGCCACATGCCACATGCCACATGCCACATGCCACATGCCACATGCCACATGCCACATGCCACATGCCACATGCCACATGCCACATGCCACATGCCACATGCCACATGCCACATGCCACATGCCACATGCCACATGCCACATGCCACATGCCACATGCCACATGCCACATGCCACATGCCACATGCCACATGCCACATGCCACATGCCACATGCCACATGCCACATGCCACATGCCACATGCCACATGCCACATGCCACATGCCACATGCCACATGCCACATGCCACATGCCACATGCCACATGCCACATGCCACATGCCACATGCCACATGCCACATGCCACATGCCACATGCCACATGCCACATGCCACATGCCACATGCCACATGCCACATGCCACATGCCACATGCCACATGCCACATGCCACATGCCACATGCCACATGCCACATGCCACATGCCACATGCCACATGCCACATGCCACATGCCACATGCCACATGCCACATGCCACATGCCACATGCCACATGCCACATGCCACATGCCACATGCCACATGCCACATGCCACATGCCACATGCCACATGCCACATGCCACATGCCACATGCCACATGCCACATGCCACATGCCACATGCCACATGCCACATGCCACATGCCACATGCCACATGCCACATGCCACATGCCACATGCCACATGCCACATGCCACATGCCACATGCCACATGCCACATGCCACATGCCACATGCCACATGCCACATGCCACATGCCACATGCCACATGCCACATGCCACATGCCACATGCCACATGCCACATGCCACATGCCACATGCCACATGCCACATGCCACATAGCCCACATGCCACATGCCACATGCCACATGCCACATGCCACATGCCACATGCCACATGCCACATGCCACATGCCACATGCCACATGCCACATGCCACATGCCACATACCCCACATGCCACATGCCACATGCCACATGCCACATGCCACATGCCACATGCCACATGCCACATGCCACATGCCACATGCCACATGCCACATGCCACATGCCACATGCCACATGCCACATGCCACATGCCACATGCCACATGCCACATGCCACATGCCACATGCCACATGCCACATGCCACATGCCACATGCCACATGCCACATGCCACATGCCACATGCCACATGCCACATGCCACATGCCACATGCCACATACCCCACATGCCACATGCCACATGCCACAAGCCACATGCCACATGCCACATGCCACATACCCCACATGCCACATGCCACATGCCACATACCCCACATGCCACATGCCACAAGCCACATGCCACATGCCACAGATCCCATCCATGCACTAAGAGCCAGCAGACCACATACGGCCATTTCCTAGGTAACCCCCTTGTGTTTCTCGCCCTCATGCCCATTTTCTGTCAAGGTCCGATTCCCCATACCCGGCAAACGATGCCCCATGCCCCATATTCCGTGTTTGTTCTCATCGTGTGACTCTCATTCACCACCAGCCGAGGCGCAGCGATTTGGTCATGAACCACCACGTCAACAACGAGGTGCCTTAACAGGTGGTGGTTCATGGTGGTTCAGGAAGAGTTTCTCCTTCCCCTTCTCTTCTCTCCCTCTCATGACTTGCATTCCCCACCAGCCTAGGCGCAGCGATTTGGACATGAATCATCACGTCAACAACGTCACTTACATTGCATGGATGCTTGAGGTGCGTTGCTTGTGTGCTTGAGCTAGCTGGGCTTCTTGGGGTTTCTTGAGTTATTCAAATGAGTTTTGGACTTGAACCACCATGTCAACAACGTGACCTACATCGCACTCATGGATCCTCGAGGTGCGTTGAGAGGTTGCATGCTACTGCTTGAGATCTGGTTACCGTAAAATCACCATTGGATATCACTGGGAGCGTGGGCAGGAGGAGGGGGCAGTCAGACCAACATAGACCGATGCGATGTTAAAAATCCAGAGCTCTGATGGGGAAGGAGGGTGTTAAAATCTCTTTCCATCACCCTCCTTCCCCATCAGAGCCTGCCCCAGTCCCTACTGGGTTCATCAGAGCTGGCTGAAATCACCATCGAGTATTGCGGGCAGGACAGCGAGGCCATCAGACCACCATAGTCACGATTCGCTCCTTGTCGTCTCCTCACTCCCACTTGTCCCCCACTTGTCCCCCACATACTCCCATGCTTCCTTTGCAACTCTTCCCTTCCCCACCAGAGCCTGCCGCAGTCCCTTTTGTGATCATACGAGCTGGCTGAAATCACCATTGATAATCGCCGGGAATGTGGGCAGGGCAATGCGGCAATCAGACCATCATAGACCCATGCGGTATAACAACTCTGTCTTCTCGTATCACCCCCCCTCCTCTTACCCACCAGAGCCTGCCGCAGTCCCTCTTGGGATCATACGAGCTGGCTGAAATCACCATCGATGGGTTGATCCCAGTACGCGGGCCCATTCTCATTCATAGTTTCCTTTCCCTTCACCTCTCTCTCTTCCCTCTGCTTACACTCTCTTGCTTCCCTTCCCCACCAGAGCCTGCCGCAGTCCCTCTTGGGATCATACGAGCTGGCTGAAATCACCATTGATTATTGCCGGGAATGTGGGCAGGGCAATGCGGCAATCAGACCATCATAGACCCATGCGGTATAACAACTCTGTCTTCTCGTATCACCCCCCCTCCTCTTACCCACCAGAGCCTGCCGCAGTCCCTTTTGGGATCATACGAGCTCGCTGAAATCACCATCGATGGGTTGATCCCAGTACGCGGGCCCATTCTCATTCATAGTTTCCTTTCCCTTCACCTCACTTCCCTCTGCTTACACTCTCTTGCTTCCCTTCCCAACCAGAGCCTGCCGCAGTCCCTCTTGGGATCATATGAGCTGGCTGAAATCACCATTGATTATCGCCGGGAGTGCGGGCAGGACGACGTGGTTGAGACACTTGCCAAGAAAATCGTTTCGCCTGATATTTCACCTGAAGTTTCACCTGGGGAGGGTGCAGCTGAGAAGGTGGTGTCCTGTGCTGGTGCTACTGCTGCAGCTGCTTCTGTTGCTGGTAGCAGTGGTGGGAGTGTGAATGGGACTGCTGTGCTGGAAATGGAAAGAGGAAATGGGAGTGTCGCTGCTGTTGCTGCTGTTGCTGCTGCTGTCGCTGCTGCTGCTGCTGTTGCTGCTGTTGCTGCTGCTGCTGCTGCTGCTGCTGGGGCTGCCCCTGCTGCTGCTGCTGCTGGGGCTGAGGGGTTGGTGGAAGGCGTTCAGCAGCAGCAGATGCAGCAATTTCTGCACCTGTTGCGATCGCAGGAGTGCAAAAAGGAAATCAACAAGGGAAGGACGATCTGGAGGAAAAAGAGCCACTCAGACCTGTAACGGCTTTTGAGGGTCTAATAAAAAGGAGCAGCAACTTCTGCACCTGTTGCGGTCACAGGAGTGCAAGAAGGAAGTCAACAAGGGAAGGACGATCTGGAGGAGAAAGAGCCACGCAGACCTTTTAATGCCCGACGAAGGGCCTGTGGTATCCTCATTATAGGATGTGATCAGTAGCTTACAACAAGAAAATGAGTAAAATGTGCTGGAAATCGAATGAGGGAAAGCATTGCTGCCTACATAACGAGAGGGAGCAATGGTTATGTGGGGTGGGGTACATGTTGTTGTGATTGTTGCTGAGGTGTATATAATTGAGAGCTTCTATTGTCGTACACAATATTTCAACCTCTGAACGACGTGTGTGGTAACAATTCTCACACTGCTATTGCATTGCCCTTGTGAGAGCTTCTATTGTGGTGACACAAGCCGTGTGCCTACACGCAGAGTTCCTAACTGACAATTTGTGACATTTGCATCCCCAATGATCACTAAGCCACAAAACAGCATGTGGCTCATTCACAAGACCGGAGCTACATACACACCATCTCAAACAGACAGAACCAATGCTCTATCCACAAGATAGCCACTATACGCCACCTCAACGAGCTTTGAGGTGCCTCAAAAGTTGTCCATTACACCGAAGCTACACCCTGAACAGACAGAAGCAATGCACCGTCCCGTCCCACAAGTTTGTCACTGCACACCATCTCAACAATCTCCTTCCGAATTGCAATGTGAGGTGCAACATCCATCAAGATCCTGCTAATGCCCCTTTTGTCCCTCATCCCTCCTATTGCACCAGATCAGCAACGAGGCTCTGCTGGCCACTTCTGAGTCGACTCAAAAGTCACCTCTTCCGCAACTGTCCCTTTTGTGCCTCGTCCCTCTTACTGCACCAGCTCAGCAATGAGGCTCTGCTGTCCATTGAGGCGGAGCAGGAGGGAGAGAGGCGTGGAGGAGGAGGAGATGTGTGCGAGCAGAGGGGCAGCAAGGGAGGAAGACAGCTGCATCTCCCCAGCCATTGCAAACGCGGTGTTTGCAGCCCTGGCTGCTGTAGCAGCAGCACCGCCAGCACTGCCAGCAGCAGCAGCAGTAACAGTAGTAGCACCAATGGTGGCCGCAGTAGCAGCACCAGCAGCAGCACGAGCAGCAGCGGCACCAACAGCAGTGGCGGCAGCATTGACGTTGCCTGCTGTAGTCACCCAAGCACCAGGCAGCACCACCAGAGGGGTCAGAACCGAAGGCACCGAGCCAGCCACCGAACCTGCAAGGTTAGCCGCCGAGCCTGCTGCCTTGCCTGCTGCGCCTGCTGCTTTCCTTGCGGCACCAACTGCATTTCCTGCCGTGCTAACGAGTGAACCTGCAGTGTCGCCAACTAAGCCTGCGGCCGAGCCTGCAGCCTTACCAGCAGTGCCAGTCGCCAAACCTGCAGTATTCCCTACCAAGCCTGTTGCCGAGCCTGCAAGGTTCCCCGCCGCACCTGATGCCCTCCCTGCAGTGCCAACCGCCGCGCTTGCAGTAGTGCCGACCAAGCCAGCTGCCGAACCAGATGAGTTGCTGACCAATCCGGCTGCCGAGCCTGCAAGCCTCCCAGCAGAGCCTGCCGCCTTACCTGCAGTGCCAGCGGTGGAGCCTGCAATGGTGCTGACCAACCCTGCTGCCGAACCTGCCACCTTCCCTGCAGTTCCAACCGCCGAGCCTGTAGCATTGGTTGCCAAGCCTGCTGCCGAGCTTGCAAGATTGCCTGCGGATCCTGCTGCCTTTCCTGCAGTTCCGATTGCCAAACCTGCAAGGTTGGTTGCCAAGCCGGCTGCCGAGCCTGCGAGGTTCCCTGCAGATCCTCCCACCTTTCCTGCAGCGCCCACAGCTGAACCTGCAGCGCTGCCCACCAAGCCTACTCCCGAACCTGCAAGGCTTCCCACCGAACCTGCCGCCTTCCCTGCAGTTCCTACCGCCGAACCTGCAACACTACCCACCAAGCCTGCCGCCGAGCCTGCCACCTTCCCCGCAGAGCCTGCCACACTCCCCGCTGCCCTCCCCACACCAAAAACATCTCCGGCGACATCCGAAATCAACCCAGCTGGAGCCACATTGAGGTTTGGCGAGCCTCCAAAACTGGCTCGGGCGCCTGCCGAGCCTATGTTGGCACCCGCACCGGCGGCCAAACCAGTCGAGGCAGTGATGGGAGTGGAGGAGAGGGGGCCTCTGGTGCAGGGGTTGCGAGGGAGGATGGCTGGAGGAGTGGAGGGCTGCAGGGCTATGCCCTGTGCTCTGATCTTGTAGGCAAGGTACACTGACGCTCCCCTAAGAGATTATGCAAACGGGAGAGATAAGAAGAAAAACAAGATATTATTATTTATCTAGAAAAACTTACTACTCAAGGTGGCGGAAGAGAGAGGGGGGGTTGGGGGGGGGAAGGGAAGGAGGTTCTGGAAAAAATAGGATACAATCCCAATGCAGGTTCGCAGTACCTTCGGAGGATGCTGATATCAGCCGTGCCATCAGCGTTGGACCTGATCTCAGCGCTCGTCCCACCACAAGGGGCTAGGGTCCCATGGAGAGAAGCTGGTGAAACAGAAACAGAACAGAATAGCAGAAGATCTAGGAGCATCAGGATCTGGAGTTTAATATTTGCTGCAAGATAGAACGCTATTGGATTATATATATATAATTGTTTCTTGCGGATCATGCTTGTAAAGGGCTTTGCAGTAACGGAACTCACCCAGAATCTTGGAGCCGATGCTAGGACCAGTGCGAGCAGCGAGGGCAGATGGAGGGAGAACGGCTGCTGAAACAATAAGCGGACACAAGAAATAGAAGGCGAAAAGGGTATGATGTGTCGAGGAACATTCAATTGGTAATGGAAATTCCTGTGTTATGACTGAAGTTTGCATATTCAATGAGTACATCTAGGGAAATCGTTGCGACCTGGCTGTTATGCAGAATAACTAACCTGCAAGTGCGACGGTGAGGAGAAGTGTCACAGCTGCACGAGGGGAGAAACGAGTCATGCTGAAAGGTTGGAAATCGTTCCGTGGTAAAGCAAAGCAGTGGGGTGGCTCCTGAACTCAGGCTTGGGAATACCAGTGTTGAGAAGTTGAGCTGATTGATTTTGAGTCTGTGGTGCAAAATGTTGGAAATGTGGGCATTTATCAACCCTGCTTTCGGGCCGCGCATTCAACATCACGAGTCGCGACAGAATGGAGGTGAAAGGAGTAGCTGCAGAACATCTGGGTTGGCCTTGCTGTCGGGCAGGCCACGTGGCGGTGATGTTTGACCTACAAAGCGGTGGGGCAGGCTGCCTGCCGAAACCCGCTGCCCACCGAACACATTTTGCGTTGAAAGTAGTCTACGGTCAGGGTAGCCAATCGCACCACTAATTTATCCGATATAAGAAATGTTCATCTTGTGCGGACCGTTTATCGATTTGAAACAATCGCATATATGTGGGCCCTGTTCAAAGAGCTTGCGGAGCCACACTTTGTGGCATTTGGTGTAGCGCGGATATAAAGCTGGTTTGCTGACTCCCTCGCACCTTCAGACTTTTACCGAGCCAACACACAAGCTGACGAAGGTGTGTCGTGGCCTAGGCCAAACTAGTTACCTGCCGAACCTCCCCGTGTGGCAAATGCCTTGCAACTTGAACCAGCCACGTGGGTCCAGCTCGCAGGGCAAGCCTAGTGAAGCACCAAAAGCTAGGCTCGTCTAATCCAAACCAGAACAGGTTTGCACATCAGCACGCATTTTTCTTTGCGCCAATCTCGCCCCTCCCGTTGTGCATATCAAGGTTGAACCGCATCGCATTCTCGTGCAGAGGAACGAAAGGGGCTCCTCATTTGTTAGGTTCGAATCACCCTTCCCCTGAGTATTGACTGTCGAGGCTCTCCCAGCTGTAGGGCGTGCAAAAAAATATTTCCCAGCATCTTCAGCTTAGCAACAGCCCCAATCAACCAGTAGGAATCCGTAATGCGGCTGGTTGGAAGAGTACACTGATGCATTTCTTCGTAACCAGACATTTTTCTCAACTTCCTCTTGTTTCGGGTAGTTTCGATCTGTTGGTGCACCATAGTTACGCCACATTTGTTGCGCCCGAACCCATCACCTCGTCAATCCCACAATCATCACACGAGTCGCTTACTTCCAGAGGCCATGCATCGTGGGATATCGTAGCTTGAGCTCTCATCTGTGGAGGTGCGAGTTTAGTTACGTAAGACGACGATCCCGATAGAACCCAACGAACCTCCATGGCGCGACGAGTAAACTTGACGGCAGGACAGCAGCAGTAACTAGCAGTGCACGACATGTGGTTGCGAGAGGCATGTTCGAATCGGATAGCAGGCAGGACACATGAGCTTCTCCCAAAGCACGACCGAGTTTCCTACGTCCCCCACCTTTTCCGAGAAGAGAAGCTGCAAAGCCCCCGAAAGGCGTCAGGGTATCCTGAGGCGCCTCAGAAGTTTAGGATTACGAGAGTTCGCGATGTGCGAAAATGGATGGCGACGACGTGACCGACTTCTCGCGAATCTTATCCGCGAAAACTTCTGCGCTCTTCTGTCTTTACATAGGATAACAAAGCTGACTTCAGTCTTTTGGAACGTAAAGCGGACGTAACCAGCTGCAGGCGTAGGCTCAGCACACATAGAAGCCCCCACGAGGCAAGGTAGTGTTTTTGGGACATGGGTTCCCGCCTCTGACGTAGAAACAACCCTTAGAAGCATCCTGCGCAGCGATGTCACCTAAGAACTCAAGTATACGCCTTATTTTTCTCCTCACCTGGGCGTTCATTTGAACAACGGTTAGGCGTCGCCTTGGCTCTTAGATAATCGAGTGACTGATAGTCGAATACTCTGATAGCCGCGCAATTGCGAATACTAGGTACTATTCAGTCATGGCGACTCCGTCATTCTACTAGGTAGACTTTGGGAGCTGCGGGGTTACGTGGTAACAACATGGATACCGCGCTTGGCCACATGATCGGGACGTGGGATCGACTCCGCAACACCTCCCCCATTCTTAGCGCCAGCCGTCCCCCTCTTTTCCCCGCCCCTCCGCCTGTTGCGCAATTCGCCGACTCCCGTCGAGTGAGCCCCTTGCCTCCAGCCAATACGAATACTAATAGCATTAGTACGAATACTAGTGGTGCTACTAGTGGAATAAGGAGCACGAATCCAGAGACGTCTCAAAACGAGAACTCGACTCCAGGAAGTAATATTCTCAACGCTGGTGATGCTAGTCGCGCCCGGCAAGCGAGTTGGAGCCGTGGCGGTTCGGACAGGCGAGAGGAGGGAGGCAGGAGGTATTTCAACGCTTTAGGCGGGAAAGAAGCTTTGCATGTCAGGGAAGCTCCAGTCGCGGCGCGTAATAACGGCTTAGTGGACGATTTCTCCCGTGGGCGCCTCGCTCAAGCCGCGAAAGACTTAGCGAGCGCTTCTCCTGTGGGAGGGCCGTCTGGCCCGTCCGTCAAAAGCGGCGGAAGGTGCGGCAGGGAGAGCGGCGATAGGTACGGAGGGGGAAACGATCATAAAACCAGAGCGGAGAGTAACGGAGAGGTTGCGGCTGACAGACGGGGAGGCGGCAGCATCGGAGGTGATAAAAGCGGGGGTGATAGAAGCGGAGCGTCCGCGGAGTCGGCGTTTTACCGTGCCATGCCTGATCCTTACGCGCGGCCGCAGCCCCGGCAGCACGGAACGGCGTTTCGCCGAGGCATCGGCGATGGCGCTCGCGACGGCGCTGGCGACGGCGATACTGGTAGTAACCGGGATAACGGCAGGGGTAACAGCGGGGATAGCGGTGGGTATAACAGCGTGAATATCGGCGCCAATAAAGACCGGAATAACGGCGGCAATACGGGGGGGAATAAAGTCGGGAATTTCGGCGGCAATAATGGGGGAAATAATTGCGGGAATAGCGGCGGTAACAACGGCGGCAATCACGGCACTGCAAGCGATGGAAGAAGGCGCGTGGGTTCAGACCTCCTGGCTGAACCCGCGGGGCAAAGCCCAAGGTTTCTGGGAGCAAGAGATAACCAGATGATGGAAGGCGGCAGCCGGCTGAACAGCCTGGGAAGCGGCCGGCCAGTTGAGCAGTCGACGGCAGAGATGACGGCTAACCGTCAGGCAGGTGTCCGGCCGGCTTATGTGTTCACGGAAAGTGGATGGAAGCCGGTAGAAGAGGTGGGAGGTGGGATTGGTAGGGGAAGTGTGGGGGTGGGACGGGGAGCCGGGAGGGGAGCGGGGAGGGGGATGGGGAGGGGGGCGGGGACGGAGGCAGGGACAGGGGTGGGGAGGGGGGTTGGGGAGACGGGAGGCGGAAGAAACGCGTTCGGTGGGGGATGGGGGAGAGGAGTCGGGGGAGGGAGGGGGATCGGGGCGGGGGAAGCGCGGAGGGAGGTCGGGGCAACGAGAGGAGAATCAGAAAGTAGAGGAGGGGAAGGGGCAACGTCAGCTTACAGTCACACTCCTACTCCCCTTTGTCCGAACGCTCCTGTCCTGGAAGAAATAGAAACGGCGTTGGGAGTGGGGGGAAAAGGGGGAGGGGAGGAGATGGGGGAAGAGGAGGAGGAAGAGGAGGAGTTGGAGGAGATTGAGATGGAACAACCGCCGCTGCTGTCTAGTTCCTGGAGTTTGAGTCACGGGATCGGTAGAGGGAACGGGCTTCTGGAAATAAATGCAGCACCAGTTGCAGCAACGAGGCTTGAGACGCCTCAAAAGCCGCCGCTGCTGGCTAGTTCGTGGAGTGGGATTGGAAGAGGGAACGGGTTTCCGGATACACGAGCAGCACTGGCTGCAGCAGCAAGCTTTGAGACGTCTCATAAGCCGCCGCTGGGGGCTAGTTTGTGGAGTGGGATTGGAAGAGGAAAGGGAGGGAATGGTTACCTGGATTTGAAAGAACCACCTGCTGCTGCAGCAAGTGTAGCAGCAGAAGGAGCAAGAGCAGCAGCAACAGCGTCGGTTGCATCACCAGCAGCACCCGCAGCAGCGAGAGCAGTAGTAGCATCGGCTTCAGGATCAGCAGCAACAGCAGTAGGAACGGCAGCAAAACCAGCAGCAGCAGCAGGAGTAACGGCCAGAACGCACAGGTTCAGGCCGAGGATACTATCACCCGTGCACGGTGGTCGAAACCCCCTCGCCTCGCCTAAAGCAGCCAGTGGTAACCATGCGAGGCAATGGACGTCAGCTGGTAACCACATGCGCGAAGCTCGTTCATGTGGTAACTACTTGCAAGAAACTGCTCCCAGTGGTAACATTGCAAGGCAAAACGGGGGGATTAACGGGAGGGGGGAAGATGAGGCGGTAAGCAGAGTGGTTGTGCCACTTGAGGCTGGAAATTACAGCAGAGAGCGGGAGGAGGAGGAAGAGGAGGAGGAGGAAGAAGAAGAGGAGGAGGAGGAGGAAGAAGAAGAGGAGGAGGAGGAGCAGCGTTGGTGCAAGGCGGAGGAAGCCAGACTACCCGCCTTAGCCAGAAGCCTTGACGTTGCCCAACCCGTTGAAGACTTGCCGGTCTTCCAGCAGAGAGAGGAGGAAGAGGGGCGGTGGTGCAAAGAGGAAGAAGCGATTCTGCCTGCCTTAGCCAGAAGCCTTGGCGTTTCCCAACCCGTTGATCACCTTCCGCTCTTTCAGCAGAGGGAAGAGGAAGAAGATGAGGAGGAAGAGGAGGAGAGAGAAGGGTGGTGGTGCAAGGAGGAGAAACGGTGCAGGGAAGAGGAGGAGAGAGAAGGGTGGTGGTGCAAGGAGGAGGAGGAGAAACGGTGCAGGGAAGAGGAGGAGAGGCGGCTCAAGGAGGAAGAGGAAGAGGAGGAGCAACGGTGGTGCAGGGCACAGGAAGCAAGACTACCAGCCCTAGCCAAAAGCATTGCCGAACATCTTGACGAACCTCTTACCGAACCTTTTGACGACCTTTGGGACCCACACGGCTTGTATGCAAACCAGAGCTTGTCTGGAGGTTCGTATGCCAACCCTGTTACTGCCGCCACTGCCACTGCTGCTTCTGGTCTCTTCGGTGTGGCTGGTCGCTTCAGCCCCCACTCTGGTGCTGCAGCTAGCAGCAGCAGGAGCAACAGCGGCGGCAGCAGCGACGGCAGCAGCAGGAGAAGGAGAAGGAGGAGGGGGTTACAGCACAGCAGCTTACCCCCATCGGCTGGTGCAGTGGCAATGGAGGGCTATAGCAGAGGCTCCATCCCACGTGATGCTTCCACAAGCAGCATCAGCAGTGACATTGGCAGCAGCAGCAGACGGAGAGGCTTACAACAGAGCCGCTTACCTCCATTGGCCGGTGCATTTGCTAAGAACGGCTATAGCAGAGGCTCCATCCCGCATGCTGCTTCTACGAGCAGCAGCAGTAGCTGTGGCGGTAGCAGTAAGAGAGGCTTGCAACACAGTGACTTACACCCATCGGCCGGTGCAGTGGAAATCGGGGGCTATAGCAGAGGCTCCATCCCGCATGCTGTTTCTACTAGCAGCAGCAGTAGCTGTGGCGGTAGCAGAAGCGTCAGGGGCAGCGGTAGCAGCAGCATCGGCGGCAGCGGCGGCAGCAGGGGTGACAGGGGCAATGGTAGAGGCTCAAACCAATGTCTCGCTTCTATGGAAGGGGTTTCCGACAGGGATGATTACACAAGGAGTAGGAGGGTGGCTGACAGTTATGCCATTGGTGATAGTGGAGGGAGTGGTGTTTGGTACGGTTCTGGTGACACTGGAGGGAGTGGGACTCGGTGCAGGAATGGTGGTAGAGATGGGAGTGCTGATGGGTATGGTACGGTTGACAGTAGCGGTATTGCCAGGGCCAACGACATTGCGAGTTATGATAGAGATGGGTACAGACGTGGATACCAGGGTGGTTACCAGAGTAGGAGGGACTGTGGCAGTGGAAGCAGGGAGGAAGCAGAGTTAGGGAACAGTGGGGGTGGGAGAATAAGCGAGGAGGGTGATTGTGGTGATAACTGGGAAAGGATCCGCAGCAGCAGTAGCAGGGACAGAGGCAGCGCGAGCAGGGGCAATGCGCCAGGGCTAGGGGACAGTGGGGGTGGGAGAATGAATGAGGAGGATGATTCAGATAATAACTGGGAGAGGATCTGCAGCAGCAGTGGCAGGGACAGCGGCAGCGTGAACAGGGGAGAACCGGCAGAGTTAGGGAACGGTGGTAATAACTGGGAGAGGATAAACGGCAGCAATAGCAGAGGCAGAGGCAGCTTTAGCAGGGGAGAAGCGCAAGAAACAGGCAACAGGGGAGGCGGGAGCATGAGCAGGCAAAGTGGGAGCATGAACAAGGGCGTTGCGCAGGGGAGCAGCAGCACGAGAAGCTGTGATCGCATGAATGAGGCTATCAGGAGCAGCGCTAGCAGCAGCCTGAGAGGTTATTTTCTCAAAATCAGAGGCAACAGCAACGACAACGGAGGGGAGGGCAGCAGCACGAGAAGCAGTGATAGCAGACCAGATGCTATAAGGAGCAGCGCTAGCAGCAGCACGAGAGACAACGTTCTCAGGAGCACCGGTAACAGCAACAGCACGGACAACGGAAGAGTGGCCAACAGAAGCAGCAGTGGCAGAAGCGGCAATGACCTGTACACAAGTGACACGATTGGTAACACAAGGAGTGGTAACACAAACAGTGGTAACATGAGGAGCGGTAACGGCAACAGTGACAGCAGCGACGGTAGCAGCAGCCGACGCAGCAGAGGAAGCAGCAGAGGGAGCAGAGGGAGCAGCAGCAGCAAGAGCCAGAGCAGCGGAACGTCTAGGTCAAGAGGCATCACCAGCAGACGGGTTGCTCTCCCCTCTCCCGCCTCCTCCTGTGCCTCCTCTCTTTCCTCTCCCTCCCCCCCCTCGTCTCCCTCCATCCCCTCCACTCCCTCTTCCCCCTCTCCCGCCTCTCCCCCCGCCCCTTCCCCCGTCCCTCCCTGCCCTCCTTCTGTTCATGCTGCGCCTCCCCCCTGCCTCTCCCCCACTCCTTCCGCCTCCGGCCCCCAAGAGTCCCCCCAGGCCTCCCACCAAACCTCTTTCCGAGCCTCTTCATCCGGTTCTCCCAGCGCATCTCCCAGGGTCACGTCTGGCAGGTCCGCCTCTTCAGGCTCGGCATTCTCCCGAGCCTACTCTTCCGGTTCGGCAAGGTCTCCCAAGCAGGTTCGGCCCAGCAGAAGCGCCACCAGCAGCAGCACGGGAAGAAGCACCCGCAGCAGAGGAAGCAGCAGGAGAGGTGGTAACCCTACGGTTACAAGCAGGAAGCAAAGCAGGACTCACAGCAAGACTGACAGCAAAATCCAAAGCCATACCCAAGAGAATACCAAGAGCAGCAGCACTGATTGTATGCCCACAGCTGTACCTCGTTCCTCCGGACCTCTTCCCGGGCCTCATTCCGAGCCTGTCGCCCACCCAGGCCTTACCGCAACTGCTCCATTTACCACAGGGTCTTCCAAAGCTGAGGCTCAGGTCTGTGCTCCTGCCGTGCCTCAGGCTGTCCTAGAGGGAGATTGCAAAGGTTCTTTGGTTTCCGAACCTAGGTCATCCGAGCATGAATCCCCACGTTCCCAACCTCAGCCTAGTTCGATTGCCGAACCTGCAGCTCCCTTGACCAAGCCTCATGGTTCTCGTGCTTCGGGCAGCCGAAGCGATCACTCAAGCAGTGAGGGGGGTCGTTCGGGCAGCAACAGAAGAAAGACTGTTTATCCTCCTGCTGCTCCAGTCAACCTCCCGTCTTCCCCATCTTCCTCTCCTGCTCCCCCTTCCTCACCTCCTCTCCCTCCCTCCCCTGACTTCACTTCCTCCCCTCCTCTCCCTCTTTCTCCCCACACTCCAGACGCTTATCCCTCTCCCTCACCTCTTCCCAACACTTCTCCCTCTTCTCTTTCCCTCGCTCCTCTTCCCTCTATCCCTTCCTCCCCTCCTTCCCCCACCCCATCATCGCCTCCTCCCCTGTCCCCACTGCCGCCGTTTTGGCCTGTCTCCCCCTCTTCCTCCCCTCTCTCTCCCTCTGCCTTCTCTTCCCCCTCTCCCTCCCCCTCTCCTTCCCCTTCCACCCCCCTCCCACCAACCTCCCCTATTGAAAGGAGAAAGGCAGCAGCTGCAGCCGCAGCAAGGCGGAAAGCCATTGCCTCTGGTTCGGCGCCTGCTGGTTCGGGTTATTCTGGTTCGGTCACAGGCTCGGTTACAGGTCCGGTTTCTGCTTCAACTTCACGTCCGGCCGAAGGAGGGAGGGAGGGAGAGAGGCGCATTGGCAGTAACGGCAGCAGCAGCAGTAGCAGTAGCAGTAGCAGTAGCAGCAGCAGGGAAAGCAGGGGCAGCAGCAGAAGGAAGATCAGGGAAAATAGGGATGAGAGTGGTGCTACCAGTGATGGTAGCAGTAGTGGCAGCAGCAGCTGCAACAGAGGCAGCAGCAGCGACAGCAGAAGCAAGAGTGGAGAAGCAGGACCAGGAGAAAAGGGAGGAGGGGATGGGGGAAATGCGGAGGGCAGGAACGAGGCGCGGAGGGAAGCAAAAACTGCAGATGCTGCTGTTGATGTGACAGCAACGGCAGCAGCAGCAACAGCAACAGCAACAGCAACAGCTGTAGCAGGAGCAGCATCAGTGGCAGCAGGTGCAGGTGCAGGCGCAGCAGCAGCGGCAGCGATGCCGCAAGTCCAAACCATGATAACGTCAGCATCTCCATCTCATGGCAGCATGATGACGTCAGCAGCACCATGTCACGGTGCCATGATGACGTCAGCATCGCCATCTGCAACATCGCCATCCATGCCGGCCGGGATGGTGGGAGCGGGGATGGTGGGTCTGGCCGGCATGACAGCTGGCATGGGCTGGCAGCAGAACCCCATGATGACGTCAGCAGAGCAACCCATGCTGACATCATCGGGCAACCTGGTGGCAACTGCCATGAAGCTTCCTCCTCCGCCTCCTGCATTTTTAGACGCCACCACGGGTACTGTAGTTTATAGTAATGGCAGTAATAATAAAAGTATTAACAATAATATCAACGGTGTACAGTACTGCAACGGTCAACAGGGGCTACAGGGATTACAGAGTAGTGATGTGCGGTTCAGTGCGGTGCAGAGCGGTGGCAGTGGTTTACAGCTCACAGGTCTGCAGCAGCGCAATGGGGGGATGATGCTGCCTGATGGATCGATGCAGTCAGCAGGGCACATGGGGATGATGACGTCAGCAGGCCAACACATGATGACGTCACCTGCTCATGCTCCTCCTAGACTCACTCATACCCACTCACTCTCCCCCTCTCTCCCACTCTCCCCTTCACACCCTCTCCCGCCCTCACACCCTCTTTCCCCTTCACACTCTCTCTCCTCCTCTCACCCCGATGCTCACACTCACTCACTATCCCCACCGCACCCCCTCTCCACATCACAGTACACCATGATGACGTCACCGTCTCACTCAATGCTGACGTCATCCGTGGCAGCATCAGGCATGGCTTACCCCTCAGCCAGCATACCATACGCATCCACTGGTGCTGTACCATCCATGTCCATGCCCTCTCAACAACCATCTATGGCTTCACAACAAGCCATGCCATCACAACAGCAATCCATGTCTATACCCTCTCAACAGCTACCCTTGGTCTCACAGCAATTCATGCAACAGCAAACTCTAGGCATGGCTGCTCCTCAACCCCATCACACACTCTCAACCTTCCCCACACACTCTCTAACCATCTCAATCCCCTCAACCCCATCACCTGCATCACCCACATCTCCCAATTCTCCTTCTCCCTTCAAGGCGCCTCATTCTCTCCAGACTCATCCCTCAGAGTCACTTCAGACTATAAGCCCATCCTTCCCACAGATGAATGTACATGGGAGTAACGGTGTGCATATCGCCTCCTCCCCTCAGGGGAGTAACGGTGTGCATATCGCCTCCTCCCCTCAGGGGAGTAACGGTGTGCATATCGCCTCCTCCCCTCAGGGGAGTAACGGTGTGCATATCGCCTCCTCCTCCCATCCGTCCTCTCACCTTTCCTCCCAGCCTTCCTCCCCCATGCATGCACATTCAGCTTCTAGCTCCCCCACCGCTTATGGCACCATGCATGCACATGCCATCAATAGCACCATAGCCAGCGCAGGCAGCAGCAACAACAGGGCCTTTAACAGCAGCATCCTGGCTAGCGCACCTAACAGTATGCTGGTTAGTGCTCCCACCAGCATGACCATGCTGACGTCAGCGCACCATGACATGCCCGCGATTATGACGTCATCGATGCAGGTTCAGCAGGATTCGGTGACGTCAGGAGGATACGGGGGTGGGACGGTGGTGGCTGTGGGGGGTGGAGAGAGGGAGGGGCAGCAGCAGCAGATTGTGCCTGGTGCTGAAATGGGTGAGAAGCAGCAGCAGCAGCAGCAGCAGGGGAGGGGGAGGGCAGCAACCACAACCGTCACTAGTATCAACCCAATGATCCCGCCTAGAATAATCGCTGCTATTTACTCGAAAATACCCGAGGGTATTTCCCCTGAGCTGCAACAGCAGTGGGTGGAGCAGCAGCAGCAGTCTTACTTGCTGCACCAGCAGCAGAAGCAGCAGCGACGGCAGCAGCAGGAGGAGCAACGGCAGCAGCAGGAGAGGGAAAGGCAGTTACAGGAAGAAATAATGCAACAGCGGAGAGCAGAGGAGAGGGAGAGGGAGAGGGAGAGGGAAATGGAGAGGGAAAGGGAGAGGGAGCGGGAGAGGGAAATGGAGAGGGAGAGGAGGGAGAGGGAAAGGGAGAGGGAGCGGGAGAGAAGGGAGAGGGAGAGGGAGCGGGAAAGGGAGCAGGAGAGGGAGAGGGAGAGGGAGAGGGAGATGGAAAGGGAGAGGAAGAGGGAAGCAGAGAGGGAGAGGGAGAGGCGGAGGAAGCAGATGCAGGAGCAGAAGCCACTAGCAGTGGTGATGCTGATGCAGTCCATGGGAGCACGCAAGAAGAACGAGGGCAGGGAAGGAGGAAGGGCGGGAGGAGGTGGGGGAGCAGCGATGGGAGCAGACGGATGGGATGGATCTCCTTCTGCCCGTCAACGTGGCCAGTGCAGGGACTCGGATTATGTAAGACTCTGCTTCTTTTCATCTCTCGACTTCTTTTGTGTTTGAGCTTCTTGGTTTTAATCTCAAAGGAATGATCCTAGAGGCAAGTAGGTTGGTCCTCTGTTTGACGCTGATGGTTCTTGGCAGGTTCCTTGAAAGTTCGCTGCACCTTCTCTTCAGCTTCCCTGGTTCTGCAGCTTCTCTGAAGCACACTGCATAGAAGTGGGCAGGAAGAGGGAAAGCTGACTCAAGAGGCACTCAAATGTCACTTTTGACAAAGGGAAGCAAGAGAGGAGGAGGGGGTGTTGATCAGGCCGCGCAATGGAAGGAGTATTCCCCCATTCCCCCTGGGTCTCAATTCCTTCATTTTACCCCTGCAATCTTTCACCCCTGGCAGCTACACCATTCCCCCATGCAGGTTGCCTGCTGTGCAAGCCTCTGCGGCGCTCCCAGTCCCAGCCACTGGGGCAGCTCGAGGGAAGCGCAGCAGCCCAGGCAATAGGGATATTGCGGACGTGGCAGGCAGGACATGGCGGCACGCCCACCCCACACACACTGCTGCTGCTGCTGCTTCTGCTGCTGCTGCCACCAGTTCCCCCATTCCCCTGTATGCCAATCTCCCCATTCCCCTGTGTCCCATTTCCCCCATGCCCCTCTGCCCGCCCTCAGGTTCCTTGCCACTCAAGCCTCTGTGGTGCTCCCAGCCGCCGGGGCAGCTCGAGGGAAGCACAGCAGGCCAGGCAGGGAGGATATAGCGGCAGCACGGCAGCATATGGCGGCGGCACGGCAGGATATGGCGGCAGCACGGCAGCACAGAGGGCGGTGCTGCTGAGGCAACAGTCAGAATCTGATTTGCTACGTCAGCACATGCAGCAGCAGCAGGTTTTGCATCAGCAAATGCAGCAGCAGCAACAATTGCACCAACAGCAGGTGTTACAGCAACAGATGGAGCAGCGGCAAATGCAGCAACAGCACATGCAGCAGCAGCAAATGCAGGAGCAACATCAGCAAATGCAGCAGCAGCAAATGCAGCAGCAGATGATGCAGCAGCAGCAAATGCCACAGCAGCACATGGTGTTACAAGGGCAAACGCCACAGCACGTGTTACACATGCAGCCGCAACAGCTGTTACCACAACAGCAGATGCTACACCCAACCCAACAGTTACCGCAACATCAAGTGTTACACCAAACTCAGTGGTCACCGCAACAGCAACCAGCCTATGAGGTCTCACACCATCCTCAGATGTTGTCACGCCATGGCATACCCGATTATGGGCTCCCGCAATACCAGTCATTGCATTTAACTGGCGACAGCTGGGCCAGATAAAGTCTCACAGATGCATCATCCTCATGCAACGGCATACCACAGTATGAGCTACCTCAATACCAGTCATTGTATTTTCCTGGCATCAGCCGGGCCAGATCAAGCGACACGTACCTGCACCTGTGCCTTGGTGCTCTGTTTCTCTTTGTTGTTTTGTACATGTGTATCCATCGATGTACTATACAAATAACATCAAATCATACTAATTAGCATACAACAGTACCCCAAATCATGGATCCCCGCCCCGAATGTGCTGCACCAATATTCGCCTCAAAGCTCAGTAACTTGAGTTGAGTCATCATCTCATACTATATCTAGGGGAACTGTGAGTGGACTTGGGATTAGCAACAAAACATAATGATTTGCCAGGCGCCTGGATAGTGTAAGCTACGGTAATATCAACTTGCCATTCCATGTCTTTCAAGACGCAGCCCATCGCCCATACGCTTGCCCTTGCATCAGCCAGGAGCAGCAAGGTGAGTGGAAAGTGGAGGGAATGGCTCAATAGGGTGAAGGACAGTTCAGGTACATGGATGGGGTGGGGTGGAGAGTATGAGGGAAGCAGTGCCAATGGTAAAGGAGGAGACAGAAACCCTGGCAGGCTGGTGAAATAAGGCTGGTGGGAAACAATGCAAGAATTTGTCCCCCCCCCCCCCACATTGAATTGAGGTTATCAGACAGCATAATTGCGCTGCCCCCAATGGCAACATAAAGGTGAAGACGACTCATCCCATAGTTACCAGTTGTCACCATCTTTTACACTTTCACCTTTTTGGGTCAACATGACTCCAATGCGCCTTGCACATGCTGCACCCGTCTGTCAGTTGTTAGAAGAACGCCCATTATGCATGTCGCACATACACTCCCTGCATGTCACACATACGCTTTTTGAATGTCACACACGCACTCCCCGCATATCACACTCCCTGCTTGTCACAAATACGCTTTGTGCATGTCGCACATACACTCCCTGCATCTCACCACTCTCTGCATCTCACACATACACTCCCTGCATGTCACACATGCAGTGTTCTTTGCCAAATGCAGAGCGTGCTGTCAGCATGCTCGCACACATGCAGAGCGTGCTGTCAGCATGCTGAATCCGCTCCTCTTCACATGCAGGGTGCAAGGGAGGGAGGAGATGACGCGCCTTAAACATTGTTTGTCCTGAGGTGAAACAAATAACAACAAAGAAAGAAGCAGCAGCGACCCGAGATTCAGGAACATGCCATTACTCGTTATGTTCGCAATGTCAAGTTGAGGGTGTGGGTGCAAGAAAGGAGGGAGGGATGAGGGAGGGAGGTTGAGAAACCAGGCGTGGGAAGGGGGGGCAGAAGCCAAAGGCGAGTTTGCACAGACAGTTTCGGTTCCAACCTCCCACCCCACCCCACCCCACCCCACCCCACTCCACCCCACCCCACCCCACCCCACCCCACCCTCTCCCCCCATCCCTCCACTCCCCATCCCCCTGTCCCTCCCAGGCAGCCATCGGGGGTGTGACCTGCAGGGGAGCACGGTTGGCGTTGGTGCGGATGGGTGCAGCTAGGACCACTCGTGCAGGGACCTTGAGCGGGGCCTTGAGCAGCACCTCGCGCAGCACCTCATGCAGACCACACCGCCACGAACGACGAGCTCAGCTCCGCCTTGCGCGGGCCTTGCGCGGGCCCTGCACCGCCAGCTCCGATGGCTTTGAGAAGAGCTGCTGGCTGTCCACAGCGCGCACGGGGGGAACGAACGACGAGCTCAGCTCCGCCTTGCGCCACTCCGACACGCACGGGGGGAAGGACTGCTGGCTGTCCACAGCGCGCACGGGGGGAAGAGGGGGGAGGAGCGGGGGAGAGGAGCGGGGGAGAGAGGGGGGAGGGCGGGGAGGGACGGGAGGGAAGGAGGGGAGAGAGGGGGGAACGGAGGAAGTTGGGGAGAGAGAGGGGAGAGAGCGGGGAATGGAGTAAGCTGCTGAACGTGCTGTCAGCATGCTGAATCCACTCCTCTTGAAACAAGCCATTGAAGAGACATTAACCATGAACGATGCGGAAAACACGTTAGATTCCAAAAAAAAAGGAAGACTCAATTTAAAAAGCGCAAGCTTTCCATGGCGAGATAAGGCGAAAGAGATAAACAACGCACCGCGCGTTCCCAGCTGTTGCTTTTGCTGAAACGTGCCGCAGAAAGCGCTAAGAACCTATCTCCATATGTTCACTGCGTGGCAATCGCTCATGCTCCTACGGTTTGTGCGTCGACAGAAACCTTTGTCGCATGGATCGTAACACCCTTCCGTTTGCTTGCTCGTTTGCCTGCTGACGGAAGCGCCCATGGGAGATACTCCCGCTACTTCCATATACTCGTGAAGGATTTCAGATCGTATCTTCAGAAAGAGATTGCTCGTGAAGGATTTCAGATCGTAGCTTTAGAAAGAGATTGCTCGTGAAGGATTTCAGATCGTAGCTTTAGAAAGAGATTGCTCGTGAAGGATTTCAGATTTATCTCATAACGTAACTCCAGCAAGAAGAATGATGTGGTCAGCTGAGTGGAAAATCGCTGGATCCAATCGAAACAGAGAAGGGATTTGTTGGAGCGAAGGGATGCGAAACAGATTGAAAGTTGTCGCCACATGTCGCAATGGGTAAAAGCAGGCGAGGCGATTCAATGGAAGCTCTGGCACGCTGCTGCACACAACCCGCACGCTCTCCCGCTTCCGATTTTAGATCTAGATATTGGCGTTCACATTTTACATTTGGCTTTCTTAGTACTGTCTCATTCCTTAGAACCGCAGCGACGAGTATCACGCCTCGTACCTTAGTGTTGTCTCGCTTCTGATATTTAGTACGTCATTTACGAACGTCACTCAAGCATCGTTGCGAATAGCGGTAGTAAGGTCGCGAATGCTTCCTGTACATTCCGGCATTTGGCAGTTAGTAGGTTGAGAGTGCTTTCGCCTAGAGGCGCAGACTTGGTTTTCGAACATAAATTTCCGTCGAACGAAAATACGATTCCTTATCAAGAACTTTCCACCGATTTTTCAGCAATCCCTAAGGCGCGCTGTCGCTTGTGACTCGCGCCGGTTACACAGGCTGGTAACTCGCGCTGGTCTCGTGCTGGTAAGTTGCAATCGCGCGAGTATCTCGCCCTGAAAAACTCGCGCTGGTAACTCACGCTGGTAACTCGCGCTGGTTACTCGCGCCAAGTGTCTGTGAAATATATCGGCTGAGGGCGAAGCCTAACAGGTTCCGTTTCTCCCTGCCCACCCCTTTCCGTCTCCCCCTTCCCTCCGTTCCTTCTCCCCACTCTCCTCGAATGTTGGGGGAACTTTCAGCAGCATTTCCTCCTCCCTCCCTTTCCCCTTCCCACCGTCCCCCCCTCCCCCCTCCCCCCCCCCCCCCCCCCCCCCCGTCCCCCCTCTCTCCCCTTATCGCCTTCGCGGACACTGTCCCTTACGCGATTGCAGGGTGCTTCAGCAGCCTCTCTTGGGGTTTCCCTGCCTCCCTCCCTCCCTCCCTCCCTCCCTCCCTCCCTCCCTCCCTCCCTCCCTCCCTCCCTCCCTCCCTCCCTCCCTCCCTCCCTTCCTCCCTCCCTCTCTCCCTTTCGCGGACACTGTCCCTACGCGATTGCAGTGTGTTTCAGCAGCATTTTAACCCCCTTCTTTCCCCCTCGCTCCTTCCACCCCGGAGAGCTTCAGTAGCATTTTTCAGGGTTTCCCCCCCTCTCCCTCCATCCTTTCAGCAGCATCTTTCAGGATTTCTTCGCCTTCCCCCTCCCTTCATCCTTTCAGCAGCATCTTTCAGGGTCCCTCCCGCCCCTTCTTTCTCCCTCCCTCCTTTCAGCAGCATCTTTCGGGGTCTCTCCCGCCCCTTCTTCCTCCCTTCATCCTTTCAGCAGCATCTTTCAGGGTCTCTCCCGCCCCTTCTTCCTCCCTTCATCCTTTCAGCAGCATCTTTCAGGGTCTCTCCCGCCCCTTCTTCCTCCCTCCCTCCTTTCAGCAGCATCTTTCAGGGTCTCTCCCGCCCCGTCTTCCTCCCTCCCTCTTTTCAGCAGCATCTTTCAGGGTTTCCCCGCCTTCCCTCCCTCCCTCACCCCTTTCAGCAGCATCCTTTAAAGTTTCCCCCGCCTTCCCCCGTTCTTCCTTCCCTTCCACCACATCTTTTGATCACGCTGAGGAGAGTGTATGTGGTTATGCTACTTTCTAGTCCTTTTCTCTTCCTCCTCCCCCCCCTCCCCCCAACCCCCATCCCCTCCCCTCCTTTCCCTTTCTCCCCACCCCCTGCTCCTTGTTCCCTCTTCCCACCTCATACTCGTTACAAGTGCCCTTCGCTCACCACGTTTCCCCCCCGAGTTCCGGCATAAGTGCCGGTAGCAGCAGTTGTGGAAGCAGGAGTGCAACAAGCAACTTCACTGGGTCGCAGAACAGGTTCTGTCTGAAGCAGCGTGGAGATTCATTCGTATATGTCCCAAATGTCACATATGCACTCCCTGCGTCTCACACATGCACTCCCTGCATGTCACACATGCACTCCCTGCGTGTCACACATGCACTCTCTGGATGTCACAGATACACTCCCTGCGTGTCACAGATGCAGTTTTGTTGCCCGGGCATTGCACATGACCATTCATGACTGTTACGCATGGACAAGTTGTGCGTGTTCATTGCTCATGGGTGGTGAGTGCATGACCAACAGTGACGTTGTGTTGTAATGCTCTATCAGGCTGTATCTCATTGTTCCCAGGGAGTTTAGTGCAAGGATGCTCACATACCTGCTATGGCGAAAGGGGATATTCGTCATGAGACTCCAAGTGTGTTATTTTCAGAGGTTGCACTAGAGATTCTGTTCGATGGAGGAATTGAGTTTTTTTTCTCAAAAGTGGTGAGCAATATATTGAACATTTAAAGGATTCAAAGTGCATTTGTAAGATGCTTTTTTTGTCCTAATCGGAGCACAGCGACCATGTACATAAATCGTCAGGAGTCAGAATCATCCAGACAGCGGCAACAACGGGTTTTGCGTGAAACGGGCGAACATTGCGTGATTCCAATGAAGGTTTTGAGTCGCAAGTCTCCACTAAGGTGGGGGCTTCATGCGTGGTTCCGCGACGACGAGAGGCGTGGATCGGAGAGGTGATATGAGGACGCGGTGAAAGTGGAGAATCGATCGCCTAAGGATCGTTTTTTAGCGCGGTTATAAAAGGTTGTGTACCTTTCGTGCCCAAAAAGCGGGGTTTTGTGCGGTGACCGAATCGATCTACCCCCGATCGAGCACTTTCACCGCGTCCTGAGATTCTTCTTGCGACTCTTGAATAGCCAATAAAAATGAGATCAGTTTCCCAGCCAACCAACGGCCACGTAGAATCACCAAAGCGCTGAGCAAAAGTGGCACCTACCTACTACGTGTACTGTACCTAGCTGGGCAACAACGCTTCACTTTTGCCAGCGCAGCACAGCTCAACCACATGCCTTCGAAATATGTCGATTTTACTGGATAAACAGTGGCCGCTCCCGCGCCAATTCGTTGACACTTCGCCGCTGGAATGCACCTTTTTTTGTGGTGGTCAGAAGCCCATCCACCTCATCGGTGCTCTTTCTTCGGAAACCCGTTGGCTACTCGTCTGACTCGATCAACTCGCCGATGGCACGCAACCTCCCTCCACTCAACAACCAGAGAACGATCACGCGCCGCACCAATCAAATCGGCACCCTCGCAGGCAGCTTCCCCACAACACGTCACTGCGGGAATGTCGCGGTTCCGCAAGTGAGTGACACATCACCAGCGAAAGTCAGCGTGGCGGTGGATTTTGTTTCGTGAACCGCATGTGGTGGTGGCCCTCGTAGTGGAGCTTCGCAACCACTTTCGCGAATGGCATGATGAGGAAGGCACAAGAACGCCACCTTGAGCTGTTTTACAATGACGTACTACATCGTATCAAACCGTACACAACCTTGCTGTCCACGGCTCCTCCTCCTTGTTTGACTGCGTTTTGCTTTTGCCTTCACTTTCCCCAAACCAAAGCAGAGTTTCTTGCATGGAGATTCTGGAGAAGTATATATAGCTCAACTCAAATCACTCACCTTGTCAAAAGCTCTTATCTTTTCCTGTCCGTTTTTGCTTTCACTCTTTACCGACTGGTGCTATTATTCGCTCTAGCTCCACAGTTCCACACATCAAGCTTGCGACATGGCCGCTGCTTCAATGACTCTCGCGCGCACCTGTATTCCATCGAGCGCAGCTCTCTCTAAATCCCTTCTCAGTGACAAATGCAACACCCCACCTGCACAACCCACCTCCTTCCGCCTTACTCCTAGAGCGGACGCCTCCCCGTCCTCACGATCCGTCGCCACGAACGCCATGGCGATAGCGATGCCGGCGCCGACTTCCTCCGCCTATTACTCTGGTTACCCGACTGAGTCTCTCCCACCGACCCCGGTCTTCCCGTCAAACCAGGCGATGTCGCAGTTTCTGCAGTCTTACGGTCGCATGCTGCAGCACGTTCAGGCCAACGGTCGCAACGAGCAAGCCGGCGACGCTCTGGTGTCCGGCGACTCTCTCGCAGCAGCGGGTGCGACGGTGGTCGAGCGCGTTCACCTTGGCCTCAACGCGCTACTCGGTCACCCCGTTCACGTGAGTAGTTTTTACAAAAGCCTGATGCCTGTGATTGGAGCCGTTTTCGCCATTTCCCGTGTAGACGAAAATTGCGAAGGCTGTCCTCCGAGACCTCATACTTCACTGGACGAACCAGCTTTGATCTTGTGTACCCGCAAAGACTTTTTCTGACAGATTCTTGTCGGTTTGTGTTTCTTGTTTTACTTTCAGGGTGTGCAAGGAGGACAGAGGTGGTGCGAGAAGGAGATGCAGGTCGAGCGGTGCTTAGCCGAACTCGAGAAGGACATCGACGGCATGCGATCGGCCCACGAGCGACCTCCACGTGCCGCTACTCTCACCCTCGCCACCGCTCACTGCTACGAAGCCGCTCGCCTCATTCGCACCCTTTGATTGGTTCGCTGATCCGAGCCTCGTTCCGCCTTTGAGTGGTTCGTCCGTTGTCTCCATCACGTTATCTGCTTGCTCGGACCTGCTCGCGTTCACAGCCTTCAGCCGCAGCAGTCAGATCCGTTGGCATCACGACCCCATTTGGGTGCTTTAGGCTCTCGCCGTTCATCGTTAATTTTAGACTAGGGGTGCTCGGCCTCCGTCGTTCCTGTTTCTGCCAGCGGTTTTCGTTCTTGTAACGAGGGTGCCTCGGGGCTTGTCCCGTGCTGGGGGGAGCAGCCATCACCTGACGCTGTGCGGTGTACATAATTTACAGGAATGATGGATTGGCTGATTAGTTTTAAGGCAGATATTGCGTGTGCTTTTCCACTCATTTTACATTATATGATTTTAGATGACCTTCCCACCATCCCTGGCCAAATCAGTATTTTAGAGGACTTGAATGAGCATATGCATAAGTTGCATAAATAGCTTACTGATAGGTTTCCAGCACGTTTTCTGTGCATGTATCGAATCTCCTAATTTGCAGTACAGTGATACATTCCATCCATCACAATCCTGGCCAATCGCTCGCTCACCGTGACGAGAAATGTACAATCGACTGCCACGAGTGTTGATTCCTGTTACATCCCAGTTGCACTAATTCGCAGTTTTCGCGTGTTTTGTGTACGACCAGACGCTTTCTTTCACCCGTGATCAGTCAGGCCAATTTTTTCACAGAACAACCTTGGCGTTGTTCTGCAGGCGTTTAGGGTTCCGCACCAATTTGACCGCGGTAGCCTTCCGTGCATTTTCTAGGCGCATTCATGCTGGTTGCGTTGCGCGGATGTTGCTGCCTCGCATAACGGTGCTGTTCGCCAGCACAATTATATCCAAAAACCACGGAAAACGACGGGATCAGGAAGGTGGGTCTCGCCTTCCTGATCCCGTCAGTTAGAGTTCGTTAACCTCCGTCAGCTTGGTCAGCCCGTGAAAAAATAGCCGAGCCTCACCTACCGTCCAAACCAACAAACAAAGTGGGCGTCTGGCGAACGCCCACTTTTCTCCACCAAATCTAACAGTTCGACGACATCTGGAAGCGGGGACGAAACTTCGTCCCCAGGCAAAATGCTTCCCCTAGCCAAGCCATCGTCATGCCGCGTTTTTCAACGCACAGGAAGGGGGGACTCTATTGCTGTTCGACGACGCATTGCTGTTCAGCGGGTAACCCTTGAACAAGCCTGCAGTTTAACAAAGGGGGGTTCGTATACCCCCCATTTTTCCCTCCCAAACACACCGTGGCGGGGGTTGTGTTTGAGCGGGGTGTGTTTTATTTGCGTTTTTAACCCACGTTGAGCAATTTTTGGTCAGCGGGCAGCACAAGGGTCATGGATGAGCGAATTTCGCGCCATTGGGGGGAAGGTGGGGATGGACCTTCTCGATGCGGTTGAGAAATTTCGCCTTTCGGGCGCTCGTAGTTTCTCGGGCGGCATTTCGCCCAAACCTCGGAGGAGGGTTCCGCCCCCGTTTCCATATGCGGTCGCGATGCTGATGCCATCGTTTTCTGTTGAAGAAACGATTTGCTGGCGAACAGCACCAACATGTGCGGAGGCTGATGCTAGCTCCCGAGGTAGAATTAGCACCGCACTAGTTGTGCGGCCATTTGCCCGGCGAAGCAACAACTTCGAACCTGCAGACGGTTAAATTCGTGCGCCCCAAAAGTGGCGTTCTGCAGGCTGATGCGTTGAATTTGGCGCAAACAGGCTCAGCTGGACCTTTCTTATCACCAAACCTTGATAGGCAGAAGACCACTTATCAACGAAGATTCTGCGGACCCAGTTTTTGGAATTTTAACGCCTACAGAACAGCGCCCTTGATGTTGTCCCAGTTCATTTCTGGGTTCCTAGAAACGCCTAGCATAGGGAACTCATCATTGATCAGGAAGGCGATCCGGCTAGCGAGCCGTTAGTGTTTAGTGCCCCGTCGCATCGACTTCAGTGGTGCTCTCTTTTCAATGCTAGGTGATACTGTAAGCTGTGGACCTACCCAACGTTAGATGGTTACAGTTCAGGGACAGAATGGTGACAGAATCAGCGACTCCTTAATTTCCGGTATTCATGGATGCTTCAGTTGTTAAATCCCTTACCTGGTTGTTGTCAGTTCCGTTCTTCATTAACCTATTGCTAGGGCTTTGCAATTAAGAGCCGACATAGCACCGCTACGTTAGGGGCGGCGCATAGGCACGTCATCCAGCCACGTCATCCTGTGGATTCGGCAGTCCGACATGTCCAACATTTGTCAGAAGAGCCGATTGGATTGTTGACCGTCGTCGGATCTCGATCACACTCTTTCCAGTCACCCCGTGCTCATCTCAATGTCGCGTCTACGAAGATTCGCTCCTCTCCTGTTGCTGATTGCAGTCCTGCTGCTGGACCACCAATCAGCAGCGTCCACGTGGCAAGAGCACGGAACGCTCGATGTTTGCGCGACCAAGCAAACATGCGAGGAACAAAACTTGAGATTTGCACCAGAGGGCAAGAGCGATATTTTTGCGGAGGGCGTAGCTGCTGCTTCTGACTCTGCTGTCCCCACTGACGCTGCTGCTACCGACGGTTCTGTTCCTCCTTTAGCTGATTCCAGCGATGCGCAAACGGGTCAGAAGCAGAGCAGAGCGGACGAGCCGGAATCTGAGGCTGGCGTGACTGAATTGGAGCAGGGTGTGACGCAATCGGAGGATGTGATAAGGGACGGAGAGTCGAGCACGCTGTCTGAAGTGAATGTGACTGCCATGAGGTCAGTCAGTCAGTCAGTCAGTCAGTCACGCTCTCACAGCATGATGGCTTGAAATTCTCTATCATGGTTTTATCTCCTGTTGCTCTGCCATCATTGACCTGATGCAGGTATGGCCCTCTGAGCTAAATGTTATTCTCACGAATTCAGTGATTCCACGAGCATGTCACCATAGGGATTCCAGTGCCGCGACTTTCCAAAGCATCGTATGTCTGTCCTCCTTTCGATTCAACCCCTTCTCCCAGGATCCTTTAGAATTGAACATGCATGCACCATGTTTCCTGACTGAAAGTGAGTTTCCTTCTATCTCCTTGCAGGCACCAAGTAGCGGAGATGTTCTATCATGCGTATGACGGTTACAAGCGATTCGCCTTTCCCCAAGACGAGCTGAAGCCTCTCAGGTGTTTCGCCTTGCATCTGCTGCATGTCTCTCTATCTCTCGCTCTCACTGTCAACATCTTTCTGCCCTGACCGCCATCCTCCTTTGCAGCAGCTTGGTCGCTTTAGCTTGTTACCTAAGTCAGTCTGGTCGTGTGGTGCAGGCGCATTTCTTACAAACTTTCAGGCTGGCTCTTTTCGTCCTCTATTACCTCTCTCCCCTCACCCATCCCTTGCCCCCATTGCTTCCCCATGTTTCCCTTGTTTCCTGATTGCCAGCTGCTCTGGGTCCAATCCCTATGGTGGCATGGCGATGACGCTCATGGAGAGCCTAGGCACGCTGCTGGTGAGGATTGGTGGCAGGTAGAGTGGGTCTCTGTGTGTCTGCAGTTGGCGGTAGCACACTTTCTCGCTTGCTCCTCTGCTCTGGATCCAACCCCTGTGGTGGCATGGCTATGGTGCGCATGGAGAGGCAAGGCACGCTGCTGGTGAGGAATAGAGTGGTGGTTGGCTAGTAGGTACTAGGTAGGGGTCGAATGCGTTGCTCACTTGCTCGCTTGCTCCAGTGCTCGCCAGCTGCTCCGGATCCAGTCCCTATGGTAACGGCGGCATGGCTCTGACGCTCACGGTGAGCCTGCTGGTGAGGTGGTGAGAGCACCATTGCCATGTTGACTAGATCACTGACGAGCAGCTGGCGAGCGCTCGATCCAGTCCCTATGGTAACAGCGGCATGGCTCTGATGCTCACGGTGAGCCTGCTGGTGAGGTGGTGAGAGCACCATTGCCATGTTGACTAGATCACTGACGAGCAGCTGGCGAGCGCTCGATCCAGTCCCTATGGTAACAGCGGCATGGCTCTGACGCTCCCTATGGAGAGCCCGCTGGTGAGGTGAAATAAGTGTTTGTTTTGAGAGGTCTCAAAACAACCCTTATTTCATGTGCTCCGGATCCAGTCCCTATGGTTATGGTGGCATGGGCGCCCCAACCAAACAGGAGCCATGGCTTTACGTGGCAGCAGCTTTTAGCAAAAAGATTGGTTTGTTTCAGATGAAGAATGGTAATGGTGGCATGGCTCTGACGCTCATGGAGAGAGTGAGGTGGTGGTGAGAGAGCACACAGGAAATGAGAGTGTTTTTGAGATGTCTCAAAAACGCTCATGGAGAGCCTGCTGCTGGTGAGGTGGTGGTGAGAGCACACGATCAATGCATCCGATTTTTCCGCCCATCCCCCCACCTCCCCCCTTTTGAGTCGACTCAGAAGTCAGTCGACTCAAAAGTCAGTCGACTCAAAAGTCAGTCAACTCAGAAGTCGGTTGACTCAAAAGTCGGTCGACTCAAAGGTCAGTCGACTCAAAAGTCGGTCGACTCAAAAGTCAGTCGACTCAGAATTCAGTCGACTCAGAATTCAGTCGACTCAGAATTCAGTCGATTCAGAATTCAGTCGATTCAGAAGTCAGTCGACTCAATAGTCAGTCGACTCAAAAGTCATAGAGAGCCTGCTAGTGAGGTGGTGAGAGCACAGGATCAATGCATGGAATTTTTTCGCACATCCCCCCACCTTCCCCCTTGCAGCTTCTCGGCAACGTATCAGAGTTCAGCTGGGGTGGGAGTACCTTTCTTACCATCTCTCCTGCTGATAGGCGATTCAGTACCTTCCAGCCTGCCTCTTCTGATAGTTGACTCTTCTCGCCTGCCTCCATCTGCCCCTGTCTGCCTGCCTCCCTCTCCCCCAGCTCTTGGGCAACGAATCAGAGTTCAACTGGGGCGTGGAGTACCTCTCTCACCACCTCTCCTTTCACAAGGCGATTCAACGCCCTGCCTCATCCCCCCTCCCTCTATGTTCTTCCATGCACCCCACCGGGCCCACCCCCACCTCCCCCCGCCTTGTAGCTCTTGGGCAACGTATCAGAGTTCAACTGGGGCGTGGAGTACCTCTCTCAGCATCTCTCCTTTGATCTGGATATACGCGTGTGTGTTCCATACTCGCCCATCCCTCTCCCTCCTCTCGCTGTCCTCTGTTTTCCTCCATTGCTGTCCCCTCCCCTCCCCTTTAACCCCTCAAACATCCCAATCTTTTTCTCTCACATTCTCTTCACGATTTATGGTTCTGTATCCGCTGTCTTTACTGCCTCCCTAGCATTGCTTGCTGACATGACTCTCTCCCCACCTCCCTCACTCACACCATCCTCCACTCTTCTGTCCAACCACATGAGTCTTGAGACGTCGTAGAAAACTATTTTTTTCCTTTGCTATTTCTTTGTCTCTTTTCCACCCTCTCCCGTGCAGCATTGTGTTTGAGGCCAACATAAGGGCGCAGGGAGCCTCCTCTCCACACGAGTGTTGAGTTTCTCAAAGCTCTCTCACCCCTGCCCCTACTCTTTCTCTCCTCTCCTCGCTCCCTATCGTTCACTCTCCCTCCCTCCCAGCAACGTGTTTGAGGCCAACATAAGGGCGCTAGGGAGCCTCCTATCCGCCCACATGCTTATCCTGCAAAGCCGCGACCCCGCGCTGCCACCTGTCCATCCCTCATTGGCCGGCGTGCATCTGGCACCTGGGTACAACGGCCGTCTTCTGGAGCTGGCTATTGATCTGGGCTTCAGGTGAGCCTCAGGTGGGATTCTGGACGTTCCAAGTGAGTTTCAGGTGGGTTTTGTTGTAGTCTCTCTCCCTCACTCTCCCTCATATTATTCAGAAACGCCCATCTCATACGCATGGCGAACATCCGGAGGGGAGTGCTGCCAGACGACGTCACCCAACTGTCGCCCTTCCCTTTCCTCTCCCTCCACCCTCTCCTCTTCCCACCCTCTATCACCCAGACTTCTCCCTGCTTTCTCATCAGGCACGCCCATCCCCTACGCATGGGTGAACCTCCGGAGGGGAGTGTTGCCAGTCGACATCACCCACACACACTGCCCTGTCCTCCCAATCTTCTCTCCCCTCCACCCCCTTGCTCTCCCAGACTTCTCCCTGCTTTCTCTTCAGGCACGCCCATCCCCTACGCGTGGGTGAACCTGCGAAGGGGAGTTCTTCCAGACGACGTGACACACACATGCACTGCTGGCGCCGGCACGCTGCTGCTGGAGTTCAGTGCGCTCTCAAACCTCTCCGGCATTCCCATCTTCCAGGTAAGGAAATCATAGACAAGAAGTGGACTCAGACCGAGCGAAGGGTATGAGAGCTCTCCCACATACGCACATTGAGGGTTTCCCACTCACGTGCACTGCCGGCGGTGGCACTCTGCTGCTGGAGTTCAGTGCGCTCTCAAACCTCTCCGGCATCCACATCTTCCAGGTAAGGACACCACAAGGAGTGGAATGGGATTGAGTGAGGCGTATGAAAGGTCTGTCCCATGCCCCCTTTGACCGGTCTCCAAGACACGTGCACTGCCGGCGCAGGCACTCTGCTGCTGGAGTTCAGTACAGTCTCAAACCTCTCAGGCATCCCCATATTCCAGGTGAGAACGTGAGGGGTATGTGGGCTGGGCTGTGCTTAATGGGGAACGTTACTAGGCCATAGGTCAAGCGAGGCCACACACCACACGTGCACTGCCGGCGCCGGCACTCTGCTGCTGGAGTTCAGTGCTCTCTCGAACCTCTCAGGCATCCTCATATTCCAGGTGAGGGAGAGAGATGGCAGGTGTTTTGAGTTGAGACATGTTATCTTAAAGCTCAGTCGCTATAAGTACTTGGAAGCCCGCACGGGGAGAGCCCGCACTGGAAAGCCCGCACTGGGAAAAGCCCGCACTGGGAAAAGCCCGCACTGGGAAAAGCCCGCACTGGGAAAGGCCCGCACTGGGAAAAGCCCGCACTGGGAAAAGCCCGCACTGGGAAAGCCCGCACTGGGAAAATCCCGCACTGGGAAAGCCCGCTATGTGCTCAGGCGCTATAAGTACTTGGATTCGGTTGGATTGGCTTCCATTCCATCCCTCCAGGAGAGGACAGCGATCGCGTGCGAGTCGAGTCAGCAGGAGCAACACTGATCCCGGCACTCACTTGCTTGCAGCTTCCTCGTTGTTGCACGTGTTTCATGAGAAATTAGGGAACAAGAATGAGCGCCTGCAGCAATCAGAAGGAGCAACGCTGATCCCAATACGCACTTGCGTATTGCTCATTGTCTTCTGTTCCATTCCGTTCCATCCCGGCAGGAGAATGCAGAGAAGGCAGCAGTGGAGGGCAACAAAATCAAAGAACACTCACTTGCTTCTTCCCCCTCACTGTCTCCATTCCGTTCCATTCCGTTCCATCCCTACAGGAGAAGGCAGAGGTTGCAGTGGTTGCTCTGTACAGGCGGAGGTCGCCTCTGAACCTTGTGGGCAACAGAATCAGCAGCCGGACGCTCACTTTCCTCTTCCTCGTTGCTTCCATTCCATTCCACTCCATCCCATTCGACAGGAGAAGGCAGAGGCAGCAGTGGTGGCTCTGTACAGGCGGAGGTCGCCCCTGAACCTTGTGGGCAATGGAATCAGCAGCACATCAGGTGGGCACAGGTGCTTGAGCACCTTTAGGTCTGCCCATTCCCTCCCCTCTCCCCCTCTCTCTCTCTCCGTTCTAAGGGGGTCCTTCTTTCCTTCCCCCTTCCCTCCTCCCTCATTCACTCCTTTCCTGTTTCCCTCCCTCCGTCATCCCCTGCGTGCACATGGCCCTCTTCTCCCTCGTCCCCTCCATCGTTCCCCTCATTCTCTCATCTCGTGCTACCACTATGGACACACTCCTTTCACTCTCTCCTCTCGCATTCTTTCCACTCTCACTCTCCTCTCCGACCTTCCCTCCCACTCACCCCTGGTCTCTTTCAGGAGTGTGGCTGCAGAGGGAATCCACAGCAGGAGCTGGCATTGACTCGTTCTTTGAGGTGAGTGTTGACCTTGATCTTCGAGATAATAAGAACACCCTGTTCTGCAATCAGTGAAAGTCTATCCCTTAAATGGTGAACACCCTCTCAAATGTGAAACCTGTGTATGCCTGACTGACTACTTTGGTGTCTTGGTCACCAAGACTGATTACCTTGGTGGCAGTGACTAGTGACCACTCGTTCCATCGTTCAATGACGCTTTCAGTCCCTCCCTTGGCTAACCACTAGATCCTTCCTACTCTGTTTGCCTTCCGTTTTTTACTCCTTCCTTCCCCGCTTGCAGTACCTTTCTTCTTGCCTTCCCGTTGTGCCTCCTTCCTTCCTTCCTTCCCCGCTCACAGCAAGGGGTTTACTTGACTTGACTTGACCACCTCCGTAAGGGCTATCTGCTACTGGGCAAGGGGAACCGCCGCTCCTGTTCTGAGGTTTAGGACGTCTCAAAACCCTGTTGCCCAAGGGCTATGTTTTTTTGCCTTCCTTCTCCCATCCGCCCCCTCCCTTCCTTTCCCACAGTACCTCCTCAAGGGCTACCTGCTGCTGGGAAAGAGCACTTTTCGCCGAATGTTTTCCAAGGTCTGTCAGATTGTGGCTATGTATGTTGTTGTGATCTCGTGTGAGAGCTAGTAGTGCCTGCATTGTGCAATATGTTTCCATTCTTTGGGAGCATCGCAACATCATGTTGTCTCATTTGCGGCGTATGCCACATCGCCGCCACTGTTACATGCGGCGTCACTCTGTTGCTTGCAGGTTTATTCTGGTGCAATGCGGTACATGGCGGTACGGGGGGAGTCCATGGTGCGCTGGCTGCTAGATGTGGGCATAGACAACGGGCATCTGGGCCGGCACTATGCCTCGTCCCTCCAAGCGTTCTGGCCCGCCATGCAGGTATGTATGCAGAAATGAGACAAGCAGGTGAGGAGATATACAAGTGCTTGTATGAGGGTATGGTGCGCTGGCTGCTAGACGTGGGCGTAGACAACGGGCATTTGGGCCGGCACTATGCCTCGTCCCTCCAGGCGTTCTGGCCTGCCATGTAGGTATGCAGTGAGTGCACTGAACACGTTGTACCACCAAGCATCTGGGATGCAGCACTGTGCCTGTGATGCAGGTATGCAGTGAGTGAGTGCACTCTTAAAACACGTTGTGCATATTACTACCTTCACATGCCACCGCCTTCAGATCATTGCTGCCCAGCAATTAGGTGACTTTTGAGTCTACTCAAAAGTAAACACGTTGTGCATGTTTTTTCCAAGTCGACTCAATAGTCACTTTGTATAAGACTTTGCCCATCCTCCACCTCTCACCAGCCACTCTCGTTCCCCCCCCCCCTTCTCATTCGCCTGCCACCGCCACCACGTTCTTGCTGCCAGGCATTATTTTTTAGTCGACTCAATTGTCACTTAGTACAAGACAGTGGCCATTCACCACCTCTCACCTGCCAGTCTCATTGACCCCCTCCATTCTTCCCCCCCCCCTTCTCATCCGCCTGCCACCGCCGCCAGGTTCTTGCCGGGCAGACCGCGGATGCCCGAGTCATCCACAGTGGCCTATGGGCAGTGTGGAAAAGGTTTTCCTTCCTGCCCGAGCTTTTCAGCGTGACTGCTTCAGCCGTTCATCCAGTGTATGTATGGATGCTTACATGTAACAGAGAGCGCATTTAGGTGTATGTGTAACAGTGGGCTTATTAATGTACGTACAAAGTTGTACGTGTAACAGTGCATGAATAAGGTGTACGTGCCAAGCAGTGTGCTATCTAGATGGAAAGGGTGCCGGCCACCGACGAACGGCAAGGCCGCCGGCCGCCGGCGAACGGCAAGGCCGCCGGCCGCCTACGAACGGCAAGGCGACAAACGGCAAGGCCGCCGGCCGCCGACGAACGGCAAGGCGACGAAGGGCAAGGCCGCTGGCCGCTGACGAACGGCAAGGCCGCCGGCCGCCAGCGAATGGCAAGGCCGCCGGCCCCCGACGAACGGCAAGGCGACGAACGGCAAGGCCGCCGGCCGCCGACGAACGGCAAGGCCCCCGGCCGCCGACCAACGGCAAGGCCGCCGGCCCCCGACGAACGGCAAGGCGACGAACGGCAAGGCCGCCGGCTGCCGGCGAACGGCTAGGCCGCCGGCCGCCGACGAACGGCAAGGCGACGAACGGCAAGGCCGCCGGCCGCCGACGAATGGCAAGGCCGCCGGCCGCCGACCAACGGCAAGGCGACGAACAGCAAGGCCGCCGGCCGCCGACGAACGGCTAGGCCGCCGGCCGCCGACGAACGGCAAGGCCTCCGGCCCCCGACGAACGGCAAGGCGACGAACGGCAAGGCCGCCGGCGAACGGCAAGGCCGCCGGCGAACGGCCAGGCCGGCGAACGGCCAGGCCGCCGGCCGCCGGCGAACGGCTAGGCCGCCGGTTGCTGACCAACGGCAAGGCCACCGGCCGCCGACCAGCGGCAAGGCCGCCGCCCGCCGGCGAACGGCAAGGCCATCGCCGGCCGACCAACGGCAAGGCCGCCGCCCGCCGACCAACGGCAAGGCCTCCGGCCCCCGACAAACGGCAAGGCGACGAACGGCAAGGCCGCTGGCGAACGGCAAGGCCGCTGGCGAACGGCAAGGCCGCCGTCCGCCGACCAACGGCAAGGCCGCCGGCCGCCGACCAACGGCAAGGCCGCCGGTCGCCGATGAACGGCAAGGCCGCCGGCCCGCGACGAACTGCAAGGCCTCCGGCCCCCGACGAACGGCAAGGCCGCCGGCCCGCGACGAACGGCAAGGCCGCCGGACGCCGACCAACGGCAAGGCCGCCGGCCGCCGACGAACGGCAAGGCCGCCGACGAACGGCAAGGCTGCCGGTTGCGGCCGCCGCCGGCCGACCAGCGGCAAGGCTGCCGCCGGCTGCCGACGAACGGCAAGGCCGCCGGCCGCCGACGACCGGCAAGGCCGCCGGCCCGCGACGAACGGCAAGGCCGCCGGCCGCCGACGAACGGCAAGGCCGCCGGCCGCCGACGAACGGCAAGGCCGTCGGCCGCCGACAAACAGCAAGGCCTCCGGCCCCCGACGAATGGCAAGGCGACGAACGGTAGGGCCGCCAGCGAACGGCAAGGCCGCTGGCTGACCAATGGTAAGGCCGCCGCCGGCCGGCGAACGGCAAGGCCGCCGCCGGCCGACCAACGGCAAGGCCGCCGCCCGCCGACCAACGGCAAGGCCCCCGACCGCCGACCAACGGCAAGGCCGCCGGCCGCCGACGAATGGCAAGGCCGCCGGCCCCCGACCAATGGCAAGGCCGACGGCCGCCGAAGAACGGTAAGGCCGCCGGCCGCCGACCGCCGACGAACTTCAAGGCCGCCGGCCGCCGACTAGCGGCAAGAATGCCGGTCGCCGACGAACGGCAAGGCCCCCAGTCGCCGACGAACGGCAAGGCCGCCGGCCGCCGACGAACGGCATGGCGATGAAGGGCAAGGCCGCCGGCCGCCGACAAACGACAAGGCCGCCGGCCGCCAACGAACGGCAAGGCTGCCGGCCGCCGACGAATGGCAAGGCCGCCGGCCCCCAACGAACGGCAAGGCGACAAACGGCAAGGCCGCCGGCCGCCGGCAAACGGCAAGGCCGCCGGCCGCCGACGAACGGCAAGGCCTCCGGCCCCCGACGAACGGCAAGGCGACGAACGTCAAGGCCACCGCCGGCCGACCAACGGCAAGGCCGCCGCCCGCTGACCAGCGGCAAGGCCTCCGGCCCCCGACGAACGGCAAGGCGATGAACGGCAAGGCGACGAACGGCAAGGCGACGAACGGCAAGGCCGCTGGCGAACGACATGGCCGCCGACCAACGGCAAGGCCGCCTGCCGCCGACCAATGGCAAGGCCGCCAGCCGCCGACCAACGGCAAGGCCGCCGGCCGCCAACCAACGGCAAGGCCGCCGGCCGCCGACTTACGGCAAGGCCGCCGGTCGCCGACGAACGGCAAGGCCGCCGGCCCACAACAAACACCAAGGCCGCCGGCCGTCGACGAACGGCAAGGTGACGAATGGCATGGCCGCCAGCCGCCGAACAGCAAGGCCGCCGACCGCCGACAAACGGCAATGTGATGAACGGCAAGGCCGCCGGCCAACGAATGGCAAGGCTGCCGGCCGCCGGCCACGGACGAACGGCAAGGCCGCCGGCCGCCGACGAATGGCAAGGCCGCCGGCCCCTGACGAACGGCAAGGCCGCCGGTTGCCGGCCGCCGACGAACGGCAAGGCCGCCGGCCGCTGACGAACGGCAAGGCCGCCGGCCGCCGACGAACGGCAAGGCCGCCAGACGCCGACGAATGGCAAGGCCGCCGACGAATGGCAAGGCCGCCGGCCGCCGACGAACGGCAAGGCGACGAACGGCAAGGCGACGAACGGCAAGGCGACGAACGGCAAGGCCGCCGGCCCCCGACGAACGGCAAGACCACCGGCCGCCGCCGAGAGGCCCCTCTTAGAGGAGAGGCGCCTCTTAGAGGAGACAACACACCAAGGAACAACACACCCAGGATAGAAAGGAATCCTTCCCGTTGTCATTTGCCTTGCCGCACCTTTCCCGAGGGTTCAGTGGTGAGAAAAAGGTCGATGGCATAGGGGGCCTTGTCTGTGATGCGTCCGTTTTGCCAAGCAGTGCAGTGCAGTGCGCAAAGATATCCCTTTGAGGAGTGGCGCCATGCCATGCTTACTACTACAAAGGTGTACCATATCATGTGCGTGTAACGGTTCAGGAGCTAAACAGCACTTAGAAGGAGATGCCGTGGCAGAAAAATTGCGCCCATTCATGCCATGCCCCCATGCCTTTCTTTCATTATGTGTGCACAGGGAAAGGGGATACCCACTGCGGCCTGAGATGGCAGAGAGTGCTTACTTCCTCTTCAAGGTATGAAATACTTGGGATGGGAGAGGTCGAGATTCACGCCCCTTACTAGGAAGAGGAGCGAAACAGGAAGTGTTGGGTGCAGAGAGAGAGGGGATACCCACTGCGCCCTGAGATGGCAGAGAGTGCGTACTTCCTCTTCCAGGTATGAAATTCTGGAATTCCAAGAATTCCTAATCCTTGGAATGGAGAACATTTCCTTCTTACTGGAGCAAGTTTTGAGTGGACTCAAAAAGTCACCAATCTTGTCAACTCGGCGGCCTAGGCTGAGCTGATTTATTCTTTCCACCTTTCTAATTCCCACCTGACAAAAGAGCTGTTGCTAGAAGCGAGCAGCATTGGGCTGTGCTAGTTGCTACAAAGGGGTTGTGTCTTGCACCAGAGATGGCCGAGGGTGTTTTTGAGTCAACTCAAAGGGGCTGTGTCTTGCACCAGAGATGGCCGAGGTTGCATGGGCAATCATATGTAGCTGGAATGCAAGCCCTCCCATTCCACTAACCATCCCCTGATCGCCGTGACTCACACCCATCCAGGCCACAGGCAACCACACGTACCTGGAGATCGGGAGGGATATTGCTGCAGCCCTCAACACAGTCACACGCACAGGTACTTTCTTGATAAAATCGAGCAACAGAGTGTGGGTTTGCAAGCGTTGGCGACATGCAGATGCATTTTCTAGTAGACTTCAGAAGCCACTACTGATGCGCCTTACATGTTGTCTCCTTTGTTCCATTCCATGTGCATTTCAGGTTGTGGGTTTGCAAGTGTTGGCGACGTGCAGACACATCGCCTTGACGACCACATGGAGTCATTTCTGCTCTCTGAAACACTTAAGTAAGCATTGCAGTGATTGCTTTTGTGGCGCCTCAAAAGTCATTTCTGCTCTCGGAAACACGTATGTGCTGCAGTGATTGCTACTTTTTGAGGTTCTTAAGTGACCATAAACTGTTGTAAGAGAATCATGACAGCCATATGGAGTCGTTCCTACTCTAAAAACACTTACATAAGTGCTGCAGAAAGAGCTTTTACAGTATCAACTGGCGATAGCGTGATCTGATTCAATTTGATCTAATCTGATATTGCTGCTTTTCCTCCACCAGGTGCCTCTACCTCCTCTTCTCCCCTCACATTGACATCGCCGCCCGGTTCGTGTTCTTCACAGAAGGTCATCATCCCCTCTCACCCGAAGCGGGTGTTCATGTCAACTCAAAACACATTTATATCACTGCCTGTTGTTGTCACTGCTGATATCACTGCTTGTTGTCTCCCACCCACCAGGTACCTCTACCTCCTCTTCTCACCTCACATCGACACCGCCACCTGAGGCGCCTCACTAGCTATTGCAGGATCCGGTCTGATTTGATCTGATAGCACTGCTTGTTCTTTCCCTCCCACCAGGTACCTCTACCTCCTCTTCTCCCCTCACATCGACACCGCCACCTGAGGCGCCTCACTAGCTATTGCAGGATCCGGTCTGATTTGATCTGATAGCACTGCTTGTTCTTTCCCTCCCACCAGGTACCTCTACCTCCTCTTCTCCCCTCACATCGACATCTCCGCCCGGTTTGTATTCTCTACCGAGGGCCATCTCCTCTCCCTGAACCCCGTGTGCTTTGAGTTGAGTCATCTCAAACAACACTTGATGTTACTCCTTGTTGTCTCCCTCCCACCAGGTACCTCTACCTCCTCTTCTCCCCTCACATCGACATCGCCGCCCGGTTTGTATTCTCTACCGAGGGCCATCTCCTCTCCCTGAACCCCGTGTGCTTTGAGTTGAGTCATCTCAAACAACACTTGATGTTACTCCTTGTTGTCTCCCTCCCACCAGGTACCTCTACCTCCTCTTCTCCCCTCACATCGACATCGCCGCCCGGTTTGTATTCTCTACCGAGGGCCATCTCCTCTCCCTGAACCCCGTGTGCTTTGAGTTGAGTCATCTCAAACAACACTTGATGTTACTCCTTGTTGTCTCCCTCCCACCAGGTACCTCTACCTCCTCTTCTCCCCTCACATCGACATCGCCGCCCGGTTTGTATTCTCTACCGAGGGCCATCTCCTCTCCCTGAACCCCGTGTGCTTTGAGTTGAGTCATCTCAAACAACACTTGATGTTACTCCTTGTTGTCTCCCTCCCACCAGGTACCTCTACCTCCTCTTCTCCCCTCACATCGACATCGCCGCCCGGTTCGTTTTCTCCACAGAAGGTCATCTCCTGTCGCTGAACCTTCCCAGAATCTTCCGTGTCGTCTGCCCGTCCGAAGACCACCCTGACATGTCGCCAGCTGGCGACTGCCGAGTGGTTGCTGCCACTGCTGACATGGATGCTGACGTGGACACTGATGTGGATGCTGACATGTCGCAATCCGCCTTGCAGGCTCCAAACGAGGCACAGAAACCCCCGGATGAATCACAAAGACCACAGTCACAACCCCCCTTGCTCGAGAAGCAACAGCCCTCGTTTGAGTCACGCAAACCCTCGTCTGAATCACGCAAGCCCTCGTTTGAGGCACGCGTGTGTGAGGACTCTCTTTCCGCCCTGGGCTCTCTAGTAGATCCGGACTTGGCTTTAAGGCGACAGCTGGTTTGTGAGGCAGTGGTGGGGACGTTTGGGAGGGAGGAGCATGGAGGAAAGGGGTGGTATGGTGCATGGGAGGACGAGGATGAGGCGAGTGGGGAGGGGGAAGGAGGCGAGGAGGAAGAACGAGAGAAGGGAGAGGAGGAAGAAAGGAGGGATGAGGTTGGGGAAAGGACGGAGGGAGAGGGTGGGGTTGGGAGATTGAGAGATGGAGCAGGGAGAGCAGGCGAAAAGGGAGATGACAAGAGTGGGATGGAAAGTGGAGGGGTGGAGGGTGGAGAATTGAAGAGTGGTGTGCGGGTGAGTGGAGTGGCTAGTAATGTGGAGGGAGAGAGAGTGCCAGCTATAAGTGAGAAGGGGAGCGTGGAGGGTTCAAGGGAGAAGGAAGCGGAGACAAGGGAGGAAGGTTTGAAGGAGATGGAAGAAAGGGAGACAAGGGAGAGGAGAGAGCGGAGAATGGGGAGGGACGAGAGAAAGCGGAGATTAGAGAGAGCTAGGGAAAGAGAGAGGAGGAAGGAAGTGGCCGAGAAAAACTTAGACGAGCGGCAGAGGGACATGCAACGAGAACGAGAGTTGAGACGACTCAGAACGCAAGCAGCAGGGCTGCGGCTGATGCAGGGGAGGAGGGACGAGAGATGGAGGAGCCCTCTAGAGGAGGAGGTGTCTCGACTTGCTTCCTTCATCAGATTCCAGGAGCGGCAGAGGGAGCAGCAACTAGCGGCAGCCGCCGTCGCAGCAGCAGCAGCAGCAGCAGCAGCAGGGGGAGAGGAGGGAGCAGAGGGAGCAGGGCGAGAGGGTGTGGGTGAACAGGGGCAGTGTCCTGCAGGAGACCTGGACAATATTTTTCCCGATGCTGCTGCCGCTGCCGCTGCTGCTGGTGCTGGTGCGGGTGGTACTGGTGATGCTGCTATGGGTGGAAGGCGGTTGGGAGGGGTGGTGTCGCGAGTCATTGGTAACCAGCGTCTGCTGTGCTATTTCATGGTGGATGCTTCACACGGCCCCTCCTGCTTTGCCTGGAACGCCCTCCCTGCTGCCTTCCCCTACCTTCAGGGTTTCCAGACCTTAACAGTGAACCTTTATATCCGTAAGTGCTGTGGGTGGTTGGGGTGCGGTTGGGAGGGGTGGTGTCGCGAGCTATGGGCAACAAGCGTCTGCTGTGTTATTTCATGGTCGACCCATCACACGGCCCCTCCTGCTTTGTTTGGAACGCCCTCCCTGCCGCTTTCCCCTACCTTCAGGGTTTCCAGACCTTAACAGTGAACCTTTATATCCGTAAGTGCTGTGTGTGGGGTCCGGTTGGGAGGGGTGGTGGTGGGTGGGTGCTTAGAACGCCCTCCCTGCCGCTTTCCCCTACCTTCAGGGTTTCCAGACCTTAACAGTGAACCTCTACATCCGTGAGTGCTGTGGGTGCGGTGCGGTTGGGATGGGTGGTGGTGGTTGACTGCTTAGAACGCCCTCCCAGCCGCCTTCCCCTACCTCTCTGGCTTTCAAACGCGAACAGTCAACTTCTTTATCCGTAAGTGCTGTGTGTGGGGTGCGGTTGGGAAGGGTGGTGGTGGTTGGGTGCTTAGAACGCCCTCCCTGCTGCCTTCCCCTACCTCTCCGGTTTCAGACGCTAACAGCCAACCTCCATATCCGTGAGTGCTGTGCATAGGTTGGGTGCGGTCGGGAGGGGTACTGTGCAGTGAGTCATGGCCAACCAGTGCAAGGTCCCAGCAGAGCCCACCTGCCCTGGCCCCACCCCTCTCCCCCATCCCTCTCCAATTCCCCTGGAGCACAAGGTCCCAGCAGAACCCACCTGTGTGGTGTGCCTGCTTGTATGGTTGTGTCCCCCCATGCTTCCCCTTTGCTCCCTGCCCACATCCCTCTCCCCCCATCCCTCACCAATTCCCCTGGAGCACAAGGTCACAACAGAGCCCCTCTGTGTGTGCGGTGTGCATGCACTTAGTTGGTTGGTTTTGATTCTTTTCAGCCCAGAGTGCATCCCCCCCTTCCCCTGCCTTCCCCTTCCCTCTTCCCCATCGTTTCCCCCAGAGCACGTGCAAGCCGCGCCGCGCTCCCCTGTGTGGTGCACTTGGCTGGATTCCCCCAACCCAGCACACGTGTTCCTGTTCCACTTTGCTTTTTCCCCCCTTCCGCTTACATTTCCCCCTATTTCTCTCTGTTTCTCTCAGAGCACAAGGTCCCAGCAGCGCCCCCCTGTGTGGTGCGCCTGGTTAACTTCCCCCCACCCGAGAATGAGGGTTCCTCCGGACATCAAACGAATGTGACTGTGCGAGAGGGTGAGGAAGAGGGAGGGGAAGAAGAGAGAGGGGTGAGAAAGAACGGAGAGAGTGCGGAGGTGGGTGAGGGGGAGAGGGTAGCTGATGGGGGAGGTGAGGGGAGCGGTGGCGGAAGAGGGGAAGGGGCGTGGGAAACGGAAAAGGGGAGGAGGGGAGGAGGAGAGGGGAGGGGGGGAAGAGGGAAGGGGCAGGAGCTTGTGGATACTGTGAGTGTAGACCTGCCTGCAGGGGCTGCTGAGTTTGGCCCTCTCCTTGGGAATGGTGATGATGGGGGTGATGGTGGTGATGGTGGGAATTATGGTGGTGGTGGTGATGGTGATGATGGTGATGGTGGGAGTTATGGTGGTGGTGGTGGTGGTGGTGGTGATGGTGATGCTGGTGATGACGATGGTTATGGTGATGGTGACGATTTTTGTTTGAATGATGATGCTGCTGATGATGATGTTTATGATGATGCTGATGAAGGTAGTGATCTTGATGGGTATGGGGATACTGATGCCGATGCTGCTGCCGATGCTGCTGCTGATGCTGGTGCCGGTGCTGATGTGGATGCTGCCAGTCCCAGTCTGAACGAGAGACAAGAAGCAGCAGGGACAGATGCCGCTGCAAAGAGGGGCACGTCAGGAAACGCAGACACCACAACAGCACATGCAGCAGCAGCAGCGGCAACCAGCACTGAAGCCCCTTCTTCCACCACTGATCCACATTCTCCTTCCAGCTCCATTCTCGGAATCCTCGCAGAAGCATCCCCTATACAAGCATGTGTGGACCGCTTGTCGAATCCTGGCGAGGTGAAGGGGCGGGTGGTGGTGGTGATGCGTGGGGGGTGTTCCTTCCAACAGAAGGTGGTAGCAGCACAGAGAGCAGGTGCTGCTGCTGTGATTGTTGTGAACCATGTTATGGGGGGGGGCGCCGCTCAATATGGCCCCTGATGTTCCCCATTCTGATGCTGCCACGCCCGATGGTGGGGTGGCAGATTCAGATGTAGTCACGTCTGGTGAGGAAACAGCAGCGCGTGATGGTGTGTCTTTGGGGAAAAGCAACCCTTCATCAGGAGACGTATCCGAAAAAGGATCGGAAGCAGCGGCAGAAGGGACAGGTTCGGATGCAGTCACGTCTGGTGAGGAAACAGCAGCGTGTGATGGAGTGTCACCAGGGAAAGGCAACCCTTCACCAGGAGACATATCCGAAGAAGGATCGGAAGCAGCGGCAGAGGGATTAGCAGCAGGAGATGAATCCTCATCAGCAGCAGAAGGATTAGCAAGAGGAAAAGGATCAGCAGCAGGAGAAACACCAGGGGTAGGGGATTCTGATCCGGCAGTACGAATCCCTTCGGTTAGTCTAGGCAATGCAGATGGCGCTCTGCTATTGGCTGTCATGCGAGGGCAGATGAGTGTGAGAGAGGCTGCTAGGCGGAAGGCAGAGGGCGCTGAGGGGGAGAGGGAGGGGGAAAGTGAGGGAGGGAGTGAGGGAGAGAGTGAAGATGGGAGTGAGGGAGTGCGTGAGGTGGAGAGTGAGAGAGAGAGCGAGGTCAATTCTGGGATTGTGCAAGACGGGACGGAAGGGGAGAACGAGTCTGGCTGTGAAGGGGTGGGTGGGGAAGAGTTTTCGGGCAGGAATAAAAAAGAGGAATGCAAGGATCAAAGGGATCAAGAGGGTTCAAAAGCACATGGTAGTGGGGTGGAAGACGAAGGGGGAGGGGATGGACTAAGCAGATTGGATGATGGACGAGGACCGAAGGTGTGGGTGAAGCTGTTTTGCCCGAAGAAAAGGACGGAGGATGATCAGCCCGTTTTGTTTGATGTGGACGTCAGCGTGCCACCGCAATCACCATTGCAAGTAAGTACATCAAGCCCAAACTGTAAACATGTGTATTCAGTTCAAACAGACGAGGGTCGGCCTGTTTTGTTTGATGTGGACGTCAGCATGCCACCACAATTGTCGTTGCAGGTCAGTCTATCCTGCTGAAGAAAATGCTCTTGGTGCAGGGATGTATATTCATGGGTGCATTTACGGTATTGGAATTTGTAATGAAAGTGTTTGCCCTTTTCCATTCCCACCTTATTCCTAATTATTGTATTGCAGATGCAGCAAGCTGTGAATGCACTGATCATTCTGCTCAAAGGGGGGCACCTGAATCGGCTCTTGACCTTTGCATAAAAGCTAGTGTTTCAGGAGTTCAAGCATAGCTGAAGTTGCTGAGTGAAGCCACATTTTTGCAACAGCTTTGTATAACGCACAAGCATTTCTAACTAAAATGCACTGCTCTGCCTTGTAATGATTCAGTTGGCCTGCGGCAGGCCTGGTCAAGGTCGTCGGCATCTCACTATTTCCACGAGAATTCTCAGAAGCTTCGGCAAGGACGTTCGGTTTTAGGTTAGAGGCTCGGCAAAAGGCAGATTTGCGAATGCCGTTCAACAGTGCCACGTCTCGACAAACAAAAGCGTTGAAACGCACGCCGCGCACGCGTGCACGGTGGTAACCAATCTGCATCCAGACCAGACGTTTCTCCGCGAACCAGACCGAACCGCTAAGATCACACTAACCAATCCCCCTCACTCTCCCCCCCACCTCCCCTCACTTCCCAAACCAGGACCCATCTCTGTCCAGGCCCCGACCTGCGGAGGGTCATCCCCAACCAAACCTTAGTGCGAGCAGGTTGCCTCCCGCCGACATTTCTCATTCGTTTCCGTACCTGATGAACAGTAGTGGGCCGTGCAATCGCTGCTGCCTGGCTTGACCATTCTGGCGATCAACCATTGGTCATCGCACTTAAATGTTGCTGTCACAATTATGGACTCGTCGCATACTGTCGCATATTCCTCAGGGTTTGGGAGTGCAAATCTTGACGGTTGAGTGACTCCGTCAAGCACCCCAGCTCAGCACGTAGGAAGGAGATGTGTCCGCCTCGAGCCTGTTTCTACAGTCTCTCGGAGTCCCCAAGCCGAACTCGAGCCCACAAGCTTGTGGGCGGTCACCGCACGGAAACCCCGCGTTTTGCATACGAAAGGTACACAACCTTTTATAACTGCGCTAAAAAACGAACCTTGGGCGATCGATTCTCCACTTTCACCGCGTACTGAAGGGGCGCGGCTGTGCGGTTCGCCTAACCTCGGCCAGGCCTAGACCCTCCAAACCGAAGCAGATCCTCATTGTCGTCGTCATGCTTCCCTGCGGGCTCCCCCACCTCGCCATCGCCAACCTCGATGTTGCCGCGGTGGAGCTGGGCTACGAACTTACCAGCCGCTGGTAACCAGCCAGCCTTCTGCTTCGCCCTTCCCTTCCCCTCTCCATCCTCCCTCAATCTACGCCTCTGCTGGAAATGAATGTTTCTCTCCTTTTTGAACTTTCACCGCACTGCACCATACCATTGGCTTACTGAAATGTGACACAACGTGCAAAACCCATCTCAAAGTTCGAACTTCATTGGCCTTCCTCAATATTAGCGAAGCGAAGACACCCTCTTTCATGGACGAAATCCATTCATGGCTGCTCAGTTCCTCGTGTTATCAAAACTGACAACCTGCACTGCAGTGGTACTAATGTGACATGACGTAACGTGACTCTGATCGCCAGTGATAGAGTAACCCGACGGATAGTAGACTTCTAGTTCCTTTCGAGCAAATGGCTTGTGAAGCTGTCAGCTTCGGGATGATCGTCTAAACAATCCTGAGTTAGTGTCAGAGACAATATAAGTCCGTTTCTGATGTTCCCGAGGATTTGAGTTGTCACCGTTAACGCATTCCAGGTAGATTCATTTCGGTGTCCTGCAGATGGCGCTAGCATATGTTAGTTTTGCCTTGAGCACGCGCAGAGACTATCAGAAAAGGTAGACAGAGTCACGTTTGGAACGAGAGTGAGTGATAGCGAGAGTAAGTTCGTATATTGAGTACTCTATCTACAACATTATACAGTCATTATCCGTCGACGGTTCAACGCCTCGCTGTAGGATACGCGATGTGGTCAGAATCGTAGCAGCGAACTTTCCGCTCGCGACTCGTCACGCTGACGATGAAACGCTCCGCCACGAACGACCTTTTAGCGCGTACCACCATTTCCGCATTGCGTTTCAACTCCGCGACGAAGGGAAAATGGATGATGCGAGTAATAGTCCGCGACTGGTAGCGACACGGCGATTTCGTATGACTCGCCGACTATCGTGCGACGGCGATCCGGAACCTAGCGTCAGACTTCACGGTGGTAACGAGCCGATAGATCAATGCGATCCGCATCAGCCGTACGATCCACGTCATTCATACGGCCCACGCCAGCACACTATCTATAGACCTCCAACGAAGAGATACCGGCGACCCGCCGCGAAGATCTTGAGAATATGGCTCGCCTCGCTGCTTATAGTCAGCCTGCTCTCGCCGGCGAATCTACCGGCCGCCGGCGAAGGTAACGGCCTTCCGCTCGCTTCAAAAACGTCAACTCAGATTCACCACTTCTCTCCGTTGATTTTGCTTGTCCTCGCCTGCGTTGACATCATCCTCGGTATAAGCTTGAACGTCTTCTCACGAATAAGCTCCTGCATTGTGTCTTGCTGCGTTGCACGAGACGCCTGCTGCTAATGAAAATGCCGTTCGTCTGGCTTCTGTGTCGACTAATAAGACTATCTGGTTAGATGCGGTCCGATGCGGTGATAGCCGGCCGGGGAATGCACACCGTGTAATGGTGTAACCACGTGTCTATCACATCGCATGAACGTGACGTTTGAGTCGGCTCAAGTGTCACCTCGTCATTGCAACCTTGTTTCAGTCACATCACATTACATCACACATCATACCATATCACATCACATCGCATTGCCTTCCTTTGCCTTGTGGTCCGGTGCGCTTGCGTTTGCGTGACGTAATGCAGAGGTCCGGTGGTGCGTGGTGGAAGGTAGTTTCTCCTCTCTCTGCAAGAACCTCCTCTTACAGTCACACCCCGGCGGCGACGACAACACCTGTGACTCGGACCAATCCCACCCACCGTGCTGGAAGTGGTGTGTTCCACCTTCCACCTACCCTGCACAACAGCATTCCATCTTTAGACGTCTCAAAAATCGTACGCTTAGGCACTTCAGAAGTGTTTTTTAGGCTCGCCTCGGCCTTCTCCCCTCTCCGCCGTTTCTTTTGAGCTGACAAAAGTCCAGGGAATCCGTTTTTCTATCCGTTATTCCCTTCCCTCACCCTCCCTCCCTCCTCCCCCTCTCCGTCCCCCGAACACCAGCGTTCCGCGCGCCCTCGACCAGCACTGCTGGCGAGCGCTGCTGCTCCCCCACGCCGCCCCTGGCGCTGCTGACGTTGCGCTTTTGTCTCCGCCGTTGGATCTTCTACAATCGGATCTCGCAGATGGCTTGCAGCAGACGCAGCAGCAGCAGCAGCAGAAGGAACAACGAGTGCCAAGATATCAGCAGCAACAACGGGAAAAGCAGCGGGAGCAGCAGGGAGAGGAGGTACAGATAGCTAGAGGGAATGCAGGTGGGCAGCAGGGGCAGATGCAGTGGCAAAAGCCGTGGCAACAAAGAGTAGAGGATCCAGTGGATCAGGAACAGACGCAGCTGAAATCGAAGCATGGGCAGCAGGAACAGCAGCAGCAGAGGCAGCAAGAACAGCAGCAACAGCAGCAGCAGCAGCAGCAGCAGAAGCAGAAGCAGACACAGAGTAAGGCTCGACGGAGGAAAGCAAGGGGTGCCAATCGACTAGCAGCAACGGCTGCTGGTGCTGGTGCTGCTGCTGCCGCTGCCAGATACGGCAACATAACGAGCGGGTCAGTAGGGGTGATTGTGACAGGCAGTATGTGCGACAGAATGCCAGACCTGCTGGCTCGGGTGGGGCTTGGGACGGAGGCGGAGGAGGTCTGGAAGCAGCAGGCTCGGCAGCAGGGGAAAGACTTGGTCGGGAACATGCGTATGTGCTCTGGAGAAGGGGTTATCTCGTGCTTAAATCTGCTGCATGAGACGGAGCAGGCGACCAAAGAGGAGGGAGTGGATAGCAGTAGCAGCGGTGGCAGCAGCGGTGGCAGCAGCAGCAGCAGCGGTGGCAGCAGCAGCAGCAGCAGCAGCAGCGACAGCGGCAGCAGCAGAAGGGGGAAGCGGCCAGTGGTGGCACTCCTGTGGCTGGCAGGCAGCCACGTGGCGGAGCGTGATTGGCAGGAGCTTCTGGCGGAGGTGAATGAGAGCGGGTCGCTGCGGCTGCTGTGTGCTGATGGCTCATGCTCCGATATCCGCCTGGACTCGCTCTGCTGGTATGCTACCCTCTGCCGTGACTGCATGTGACGGTGCTTGCTTCTCCCCATCTCTCTACCCCTGCTGCTGTGTGCTGATGGCTCGTGCTCCGATATTCGCCTGGACTCACTATGCTGGTACGTTAGCCACGACTCCATGGGCTGGAATGTTAGGTGACGTGACGGTACTTGTGTGTCTCCCCTTCCCTCACCCCCGCTGCGGCTGCTGTGTGCTGATGGCTCGTGATCTGACATCCGCCTGGACTCACTACGCTGGTATGTTCTTACTCTCGCTGCTTGTATGTGCTTCCCCCTCTCCATCTTCCCGCGCTGCTGTGTGCTGATGGCTCGTGATCTGACATTCGCCTGGACTCACTACGCTGGTATGTTCTTACTCTCGCTGCTTGTATGTGCTTCCCCCTCTCCATCTTCCCGCGCTGCTGTGTGCTGATGGCTCGTGATCTGACATTCGCCTGGACTCACTACGCTGGTATGTTCTTACTCTCGCTGCTTGTATGTGCTTCCCCCTCTCCATCTTCCCGCGCTGCTGTGTGCTGATGGCTCGTGATCTGACATCCGCCTGGACTGCTAACGTACCAGCAGCATGTGCTGATGGGACTCACTATGCTGGTACGTTAGCCTTGAACTCCCTGTGCTGCTATCTGCTTCTCGCTCCCTTGACCCCGCTGCTCCTGTTCCGATGGCTCGTGCTCCGATATACGCCTGGCCTCGCTCTGCTGGTGTGCGCTCGGGTATAAGCCTTGACTCTGTCTAAATGAGAGCGGGTCGCTGCGCCTGCTCTGTGCCGATGGCTCGTGCTCCGATATACGCCTGGCCTCGCTCTGCTGGTATTGAGTCGAGTTTTGAGTCGACTGAAAACTCGGCCTCGCCCTGCTGGTAAGCTCCTTCAATCGCCTCCTCCTTTCTTGCCCCTCCCTCCCTCCCTCCCTCCCTCCCTCCCTCCCTCCCTCCCTCCCTCCCTCCCTCCCTCCCTCCCTCCCTCCCTCCCTCCCTCCCTCACTCCCTCCCTCTCTTCCTCCCTCCCTCCCTCCCTCCCTCTCTCCCTCCCTCCCTCCCTCCCTCCCTCCCTCCCTCCCTCCCTCCCTCCCTCCCTCCCTCCCTCCCTCCCTCCCTCCCTCCCTCCCTCCTGCTGCCTCTGCCACTCCCCCCCCCCCCCCACCCACCTCATTCCCACCCCATCCCTTGCCCAACCCCCATCCCGCCTCCACCTTTCATCTCTTCCCTTCTCCCCCCCAACCAACAGGCTGCTGCCACCTGGCTCTCTCTGGCTGCGTCAGCACCGCACTGATGACGTGGCATGGCTTGCAGGGCTCATGGCGCGCCACGTCCTCATGCACACGTGGAACATCTCCCTCCCGTTGGCGCAACCTCTTTCCCCTCCTCCTCCTCCGCCTCCTCCTCCTGTTGCTTCTCAGCCCTCACTCACTCATCCTTCATCCTCCCATTCCTCAGATGCTCTCTCCAACTCACCCTCATCTCCCCTCCGTCACTCATCATTACCACTCTCTAGTCCCGATGGTTCCACATCAAAGCCATTAGCCACGTCAGGCCAGCCATTAGCCACGTCAGGCCAGCCACTAGCCACGTCAGGCCAGCCATTAACCACGTCAGGTCAGCCACTAGCCACGTCAGGCGCAGTCTCAGCACCTGGAGATTCATCCGAGCTGGAGCAGAGGGAGACGCAAGAGAATACGCAGTGGTCGGGATGGGTGCAGCTCTTCTCACATCTGTCAAGAAAGGTGTGCTATCACCCACTCTTGTTCTCCCACTTATTCTTCCACCATCGTCGTTTCTCTCACACGAACTCCTCTGACTGACTTCCTCTGCTGTATCCCATCTCCCCTCTTCATGTCCCTCACTCCCTTACTCATTCCCTCACTCACTCCTACCCGTGGCCGCTTGCTCCCCTCTTGCTCTATACCCCCCTTTATCCAGGTCACCTTTCACATGCACTGAGTCCTCCTCTACATGCGCCAAGGGTGGTAGCCAATCACTGCCTGCCAACTCCCCCTCACACTCTCATCACTCTCTCACTCACTCTCATACTCCCCTCTTGCTCTCCTTCCCCCTTTTTTCAGGTCACCTTTCACATGCACCGGGTCCTCCTCCACATCAGCCACTCACTGCCTGCCACGTCACATGCTGCTGCCACATCACACACTGCTGCCACGTCACACACTGCTGCCACGTCACACACTGCTGCCACGTCACATACTGATGCGCCTGCCACGTCAGCTCCCGAAGCTGCAACCACCACTGCCGCTGTCACGAGTTTGCTGACTCCGCGGCTTCTCTCCCTCATCCCATTCTCAACAGCTTCCTCATCCTCGCTTGTAAGTGGCTCTTGCAGTGCAGTGTGGTGCAGTGCAGTGCAGTGCGGTGCAGGGCAGTGCAGTGCATTGTATTGCAGTGCATTCAAGTAGCTGCTTGCTCCGCGTCTGCTCTCCCTCATGCCGTTCGCATACGCTTCCTCACCCCTTCTCTCCTCTCCTCTTCCTCTTTCTCATTTTCCATGCATGCTTCTTACATCCATTCACTCATGCATGCATCATACATCCATTCATTCATGCCATGCCTCTGTTGTTCCAGGAACTGGCATCAACACCATCGTCACACACCCTTCCTCCATCCCCTCCATCCCTTCCCTCCCCTCCCCTTCCTCCCTCCCCTCCCTCTCCTCCTCTTCCTCCCTCTCCTCCCTCCCCCACCTCTCCTCCCTCTCCACCTCCTTCCCCTCCTGCGACTCCCTCGCCCCCCTTTCCTCCTCCTCATCTTCCTCCCCCTCCTCTCCCTCCTTCCTCTACCCCTTCTCCCCTCCCTCCACCCCAGCCCCCGCCACCACCACCACCACCGGCTCCAGGTCAGCTCCTCTCCACCCCTTTCACACCCTCTCCACCACTCTCACATCATCTCCACCCTTTTCACATCTTCGTGCGAGCTGTGTCCCACAGACTGATGTGTATCTCTCGTTTTGTTTTGGTGTCAATGATGGTTCATTACATATATGTTCCTATTCGCTCGCATTCATAGACTGTCTTAGCCCCATTACGAATATCTCGTTTCAGTGCGATAATTCATTCAAACATAGTCTCTATTTCGCCTTCACAGGCAAGCCGTGATTGCAATTCGTCTCTGCATCCTGCTAATCACCGTCCCCTTTCTTTCCCTTTTTCTCTGTTTCTCTTCCCCTGCTCTGTATGTTTTCCTGTTGTTGCCGTCCCTCTTCCCCATCTTCCCCATCTTCCCCGTCCTCCCATCCTCCACGCCACACCTTATCGCCATTCCTCCGCTCCTCAGTCCCCTCTCCTCCTAGCCCCCCGGGCCCCCCTCCCCCACCTCCTCTTCCGCCTCCCGCACCCCCCCCGACCCACTACCCCTTACTGCCCCCATTTGGGGATCTCAACTCCCCTGCATCCCCCCCTCCCTCCCCCCCTTCACCACCATCTCCCCCCGTTCCTCCTCCCTCCCCTCCCCTGCCTTCCCCCCCTCCTTCCCCCCTTGCCCCTCCTTCCCCTCCCTTTTCTCCTCCCTTTCCGCCCCCATCACCTCCCTCCCCCTTTCTCTCCTCCCCTCTGTCCCCCCCTCTTGGTGATATGAACTCCCCCACCTCCCCTCCCCCTTCCCCTCCCCGACCCCCCTCCCCCCCTGCTCCTCCCCCTGTCCCCCCTTCTCCTCCAGCCCCCCCTTCTCCCTCTCCAGATCTCGCCCCTCCCCCTCCAAACCTCGCTCCCCCTCTACCCCTCCCCCCCACAGCCGCGCTCCCCCCCTCCTCTCCGCCTTCCCCTTCGCCCTCAGCGCCCCCTCCCCAAGAACCCCCTGCGCTTCCTTCCCCTCCCCCTCCTCCCCCTTCCCCCTCCCCGTCCCCTCCCCTATCCCCCCGCCCCCCTCGCATTCCGCCTAGCCCACCCCCCGTCTCTCCCCCTTCCCCTGCCTCTCCCCCGCCTCCCTTCCCCTCCCCCCCTGCGCGCACACACCCCCCACCTGCCAACTCTAACGATATGGGTAATGCCACAGAGCCTCCCCCTCCTTCACTCCCTAATCCCCCCCCTCCCTCACTCCCTAATCCCCCCCCTCCTCCTACTCTTCTCCCCCCTCCTCCTGCCCCTGCTCCCCCACCCTCCCCATCCCCTCCACCCCACTCTCCCCCATTTCCCCCCACCCCCCCGTCCGTCTCACCCCCCTCACCTCCCCCCTCTCCTCCTTACACCCTCGGTCCTATCCTCCCTGCTCCCGTTCTCTCCCCTCCCCAACCCCCTCCCTACCCCCCTCCCCAACCCCCTCCGCACCCCCCTCCTCCTTTCCCTCCTCCAGGCTTCCCCCCTTCTCCCCCCATTTCTCTCCTCCCTCCCTCGCCTCCAAAAAAGCCTTCCCCCCCTCTCTCTCCTCCCTCCCCCCCCTCCTCTCGTACCCTCACCACCCCTCGCAAAGCCACCTGCCAACTCTCCCGCAACAGAACCCCCGCCAGTCAAACCACCACCGCTACAACCGTCACCTGAAAAACCGCCTGCTCCAGCACCAAAAGCACCTGAAATACCACCTGCTCCAGCGCCAAAAGCACCTGAAAAACCACCTGCGCCAGCACCAGCAGCACCGCCGCCACACCCGGCGTTCCTACCCCACCCCAACTCCTCCCACGCCCCTGTCACCATCTGGAGCCCTCCCCCCTCGCCTGTGCTGCCGCCCCCTTCGCCTGTGCTTCCGCCCCCTTCGCCCGTGCTGCCGCCCCCGTCGCTTCCGCTGCCGCCCCCACCGCCGGATAGCAGAAGTGAGTTTTCGTCTTATCTCCTACGACTTGTTAGATCATTACTTATTTTTATCAGGTGACAGGGGAGTGACTCGCTGTCATCGTTCTGTTTTTTTTTTTCCCCTACTTCATTGATTCACCAATACCAGTCTCTTATTTTCTCTCTTCCCCACGTCTCTAGTTCCTCTCTTCTTCTTCTTCTGAACATGTCATTTCTCACGTCACGTCACATGTTCTGCATACCACTTGCTTCTTTCCTCCTGTTCTCACTCCACTCTCCCACCTCTCTCCACTCTCTCCTTCTCCCTCTTCCCCCCTTTCCCACCAGATTGTCCCCCCTGCCCAAACACCTACGTCCTCCTCCCCTCCCCCACCCCCTCCTCCGCCTCCCCCGCCGTCCCCCCCTCCGCCCCTCCGCCCTGCACCTGCGGTCTCCCCATGACCGTGGTCATGAAGCTCTATTGCGGCTTCGATTCCTTCCTCCTCAACCTCCCGGCCTTCACTGCGCAGACTGCCACTTCACTCGTACTACAGAAGGAACAAGTGGAGGTGAGTCTCAGCTGAGTGCAAAATCATTCTCTATTCACGCTCACGCCATGCGGTCTCCCCATGCTGGTCGTTATGAAGCTCTATTGCGGCTTCGACTCCTTCCTCCTCAACCTCCCCGCCTTCACTGCCCAGACGGCCGCCTCGCTCACACTTGTGAAAGAGCAAGTGGAGGTGAGTCAGCGGGTGTGCGGTTGGGCTGAGTGGGTTATTCACCCTGCGGCCTCCCTTCCCATGGTGGTGGTCATGAAGCTCTATTGCGGCTTCGATTCCTTCCTCCTCAACCTCCCCGCTTTCACCGCCCAGTCGGCAACCTCCCTCGCACTGCAGCAAGAGCAGGTGGAGGTGAGTCAGTCAGCGGGTGTGCGGTTGGGGTGAGTGAGTGTGAGGATGAATGCAAACTTCCCCCTTGTTCATTGAGGTGGTTTTTGAGGCGCCTCAAAAAGGATGAATGCAAACTTCCCCCTTGTTCTCATCTGCGCTCTCCCCATGCTGGTCGTCATGAAGCTCTATTGCGGCTTCGATTCCTTCCTCCTCAACCTCCCAGCCTTCACTGCCCAGACGGCTACCTCCCTTGTGCTGCAGAGGGAACAAGTGGAGGTGAGTCTCAGCTGAATGCAAGCTCATTCTCTGTTCACACCTTCGGCCTCCCCATGCTGGTCGTCATGAAGCTCTATTGCGGCTTCGATTCCTTCCTCCTAAACCTCCCCGCCTTCACTGCCCAGACGGCTACCTCCCTTGTGCTGCAGAGGGAACAGGTGGAGGTGAGTGAGTGTGTGGTTGTGCTGTGGAGGCTATACCATGACCCCTCCCCATGCTGGTGGTCATGAAGCTCTATTGCGGCTTCGACTCCTTCCTCCTCAACCTCCCGGCCTTCACTGCTCAGACGGCTACCTTGCTCACGCTTGAGAAGGAGCAAGTGGAGGTGAGTCAGTCTGAGGGTTTGCAGTTGGGGTGAGTGAGTGTGAGGCTGAGTGCAAACTCCCGCCCTATTCGCACCTGCGGTCTCCCTCCCCATGGTGGTCGTCATGAAGCTCTATTGCGGCTTCGACTCCTTCCTCCTCAACCTCCCGGCCTTCACTGCCCAGACGGCTACCTTGCTCACGCTTGAGAAGGAGCAAGTGGAGGTGAGTCAGTCTGAGGGTTTGCAGTTGGGGTGAGTGAGTGTGAGGCTGAGTGCAAACTCCCGCCCTATTTGCACCTGTGGTCTCCCTCCCCATGGTGGTCGTCATGAAGCTCTATTGCGGCTTCGATTCCTTCCTCCTCAACCTCCCGGCCTTCATTGCCCAGACAGCAACCTCCCTCGTGCTGCATCAGAAACAAGTATGAGCAGTTAAATAACCGTGACCCGTGCTGCTCTGGATTTGAGAACCCACCGCCTGCTGCTCCACACCCCCTCCCCCTCCCCCTCCTCCGTGATCCTGCTGCCCTCTTCACCCTCCGTGAAGATGGTACTGTGTGTGTACCTCTTCACCCTCTTCCCCTTCCTTCTCCCACATTTGTAACCCGGTTACCACATCTCTGCTGCAGGTGTGGACAGTCAACTATGACCCTGATCCTGCCCCTCTTCCCCCACTTGTAACCCGGTTACCACATGCCGTGCAGGTGTGGGCAGTGAACTATGACCCTGATCCTGCTGCTCTGGATGTCACTGTCTATCTCCTACCCCTCGCCTCCTCCTCTTCCCCCTTTGCCGCTGCTGCTGCTGCTGCTGCTGCCACTGCCTCAATCGCTTCTGCTGCTGATGCTGCAAGTGCCACTGGTGCCCAAGGGGCGACGATAAGTGGTGGAATGGGTGTCGAAGCGAGACAAATCAAATCACCATCAGCAGCAGCAGCTACAGAAGCAGCGACAACTGCAACCTCCTCCTCCTCCTCACCCTCCTCCCATTCTCATCAGTCCTCGTCGTCGGGTAAAATCTCTCGTCTCCTGCAGTCCTCCTCCTCCTCCTCCTCCCGCCCGCCACCTGCCACAGCCGCCCGGCAGCAGCCAATCACGGACCGGCTGAGTGCAGCAGAGGTGGATCGCATCCGACGGCTGCTGTTGAGCGGATCGCTGGTGCTCGACCGGCAGCTGTTTGGGGCGTATGAGGTCATTCTGGTGCTCAAACCAGGTGAGGGGAGGATGAAGGGAAACAGAGAGGAAGGCTGCTTTGGTGGGTTGCATGCAGTGGCTGCTGTTGAGTGGATCGTTGGTGCTGGACCGGCAGCTGTTTGGGGCGTATGTGGTCAAATTGGTGTAGTAAGTCGATTTCTGAGTCGACTCAAAAATCAACCCAGGTGATTGATATAGTGATGACTTATTTGTGGGGTTCGTGCATCTTGGATATCATCTGACGGTTGCTGTTGATCGGATCGTTGGTGCTGGACCGGCAGCTGTTTGGGGCGTATGAGGTCATTCTGGTGCTCAACCCAGGTGAGAGTGATAGAGGGCTGATCAGTTGTGGGGAGGGGTCATCACCTGTTGAGTGGATCGTTGGTGCTGGACTGGCAGTTGTTAGGGGCGTATGAGGTCATTCTGGTGCTCAACCCAGGTGAGAGTGATAGAGGGCTGATCAGTTGTGGGGAGGGGTCATCACCTGTTGAGTGGATCGTTGGTGCTGGACTGGCAGTTGTTAGGGGCGTATGAGGTCATTCTGGTGCTCAACCCAGGTGAGAGTGATAGAGGGCTGATCAGTTGTGGGGAGGGGTCATCACCTGTTGAGTGGATCGTTGGTGCTGGACTGGCTGTTGTTAGGGGCGTATGAGGTCATTCTGGTGCTCAACCCAGGTGAGTGGTCCCCACTTATGGGTAATGAAGGGATTCTGACCCCTTTCTTATCAACCCATGCCCCCCTCGCTCCCACCCACTTTGTTCCCGTCTCCCCCTCTCTCCCCCACTTCTCCCCGCCCTCATTCCCCCCTGTAACCCCCCCAGGTGAACGCCCGCCTCTGCCCCCGCCTCTGCTTCCCCCCTCCACCTCTCCCGCCCCTCCTACCTCCTCCTCCGCCTCCTCCTCCTCCCCGTTCTCCCCCTCGCCTCCCTCCACTCCACCCCCTCCTGCCCCCGGGGGCATGCCTTATTGGAAGGTCATGCTTATGATCGTTCTCCCTGCGTTGATCCTCGCGATTATTACTCTCTGTGTGGCGGTGTGGTGCGTGAGGAGGAGGCCTTGGGAGAAGGCAGGGAAGGGTGTTGGGAAATTAGTGGGGAGTTGGAAAGGGAACGGGAAAGGGGGACGAGGAGAGAGGAGAGGAGGGAGGGGAGGAGGGAGGGAGGAGGGAGGGAGGGGGGGAGAAGGGTGGATGGAGGGCGGGGCGGAGAGGATAGGGTGGGAACGTGGGGGAAGGTCGGGGCAGCAGGAGGGGGGGGAGGAGTGGGAAGAGCGGAGAGAGAGAGGACGAGGAGGTGTTGTTGGGCGGGTGGGTAGACGCCAGGAGAGGGAAGAGGTGCAGGCGTGGGCTGAAGGGGAGAGTGATGACGACCATTACACGCCGCTTGCATCAGGGGCAGAGAGGCAGTGGACCGGTGGAGGAGTGGCAGCAGCCGGAGCAGCCGGAGCAGCCGGAGCAGCTGGAGCAGGAGCAGGGATTGCAACTGGTTTAGGGGTAGCAGCAGCAGGAGCATTTGCAGAAAGAGAAGCAGGAGGAGGAGGAGTAGGCAGATTAGGAGGAGCAGGAGGAGTAGGAGGAGGAGTAGCAGCAGGCAGGGGAAAAGGAGCCCTAAGAGAAGGGTCCTCTAGAGGAGCCTCTATGCAAGCCCTAGCCCCTTTTGCTGAAGCAACCTTCTCATTCTCCCTCTCAGAACTCCACACAGCCACCAGTGGTTTCCACCCGAGCAACCTGATTGGCCAAGGCGGATCCAGCCAGGTGTTCCGGGGGTGCTTGCCGGGCGGCAAACTGGTAGCCGTGAAAAGATTCGATTCGCCGCCCGGGGCGGAGAGGGATTTTATTACGGAGGCGCGGCTTCTGAGCCGGCTGAACCACAAGAACGTGGTGAAGCTTCTGGGAACGTGCGACGAGGGCGGCGTGCGTTGTCTTGTCTTCCAGCTAGCCGAAAAGGGAAGCTTGAGGGAGCACCTCCACTCCTCCACCCTCCCCACCTCCACCCTCCCCTCCTCCAGCCTCCACCCCCCCACCCTCCCCTCCTCCCACTCCGCCCTCTCCCCTACTCCCACCATTCTAGACTGGACTACAAGGCTGAAAATAGCACTGGGGGCGGCCCAGGGGTTAGCTTACCTGCATGAGGACTCCAGTCCGCAGATTATCCACCGCGATTTAAAGACGTCGAATATCCTGCTGGATGCTGATTGGACGGCTAGGATTGCGGATCTGGGTCTGGCGAGAGTGGTGAGGGAGGTGGGGGGTGGCGGGCGGGGTGGGGGTGGGAGGGGAGGTGGGGAGGGGGCGGCGGGAGAGGAGGGAGAGAAGGGGGAGGAGGGAGCAGAGGCAGAAGAGGGAAGTGGGGAGGTGGGAGGAGGAGGAGGAGGCGAAGGTGGGGGCAAGGGAGGTTTGGAGTCCCACATGTGCGGCACATTCGGGTACATGGCGCCTGAGTATGCACTCACAGGGCGAGTGGCGACCAAGAGTGACGTGTTCAGCTTCGGTGTCGTGCTGCTGGAAGTGCTCTCCGGCCGCCCTGCCCTCGTGCCTCTGGATCAATTTCAGACGGCTGGTGATGCAGCAGCAGCAGCTGTGGAGGAGAGTGCAGGGGTTGTAAACGGTGCAGATGGTGCTGTAGGAGCTGTTGCAGAGGGAGCTGGGGCGGCAGCAGCTGAGGAGGAGAGTGCAGCAGTTTTGGAAGGTGCAGGTGCAGCAGCAGCAGGAGCTGCAGGAACTGGAGGGCCAAGGCCGGGTGTATCGAGCATCGTGGTGTGGGCCAGGCCCCTCCTCTCCTCGTACGTGCATGCATGCCTAGTTATGAATCTATCTTATTCCTCTAATTTTATTAGCTACAAACAGCTCTCCTCTCCTCTCCTCTCCTCTCCTCTCCTCTCCTCGCACATGCCTGCATGCATGCCTGGTTATAAATCTATCTTATTCCCCTCGTTTTATTCGCTACAAGCAGCTCTCCTCTTCTCTCCTCTCCTCTTCTCTCCTCTCCTCTTCTCTCCTCTCCTCTTCTCTCCTCTCCTCTTCTCTCCTCTCCTCTTCTCTCCTCTCCTCTCCTCTCCTCTCCTCTTCTCTCCTCTCCTCTCCTCTTCTCTCCTCTCCTCTTCTCTCCTCTCCTCTTCTCTCCTCTCCTCTTCTCTCCTCTCCTCTTCTCTCCTCTCCTCTTCTCTCCTCTCCTCTTCTCTCCTCTCCTCTTCTCTCCTCTCCTCTCCTCTCCTCTCCTCTCCTCTCCTCTTCTCTCCTCTCCTCTCCTCTCCTCTCCTCTCCTCTCCTCTTCTCTCCTCTCCTCTCCTCTCCTCTCCTCTCCTCTCCTCTCCTCTCCTCTCCTCTCCTCTTCTCTCCTCGCACATCTCTGCATGCATGCCTGTGCTGTAGGCGTTCTTGCAAATCCTCAATCTGATGCAAATCCAATCCCATGCCATGCCATGCCATGCCATGCCGTCCCACCCTCTCCCACCAACATCAAGCAAGGCCTGCCTTGCCAGCTTGCCGACCCTATCAATATAGAAGTTGCGAGTAATGAGACGACTTTTGGGGCGCCTCAAATCCCATCCCATCCCATGCCATCCCATGCCGTCCCACCCTGTCCCACCAACATCAAGCAAGGCCTGCGCCAGCTTGCCGACCCTCGTGTGGGCGACTTTTGAGTCGACTCAAAAGTCATCTCTCCCACCAACATCGAGCAGGGCCTGCGCCAGCTTTCCGACCCTCGTGTGGGCGGTACGGCACGGCAGCTATTCACTCGATTCCAGTCAGCTTTTCTTATCTTATCCCATCCATGTAGTGTTGGGACGTCTCAAAAGTCCCATCTCATCCCACCCCAACAGAAAGCAAGGCCTGCGCTACTTCGCCGACCCCCGTCTGGGCGGCAGCTATCCACTCGACTCCAGTCAGCAATTCGTCTCAAGACTCCCATCCCATCCCATCCCATCCCATCCCATCCCATCCCATCCCATCCCATCCCATCCCATCCCATCCCATCCCATCCCATCCCATCCCATCCCATCCCATCCCATCCCATCATATCCCACCCTCTCCCTCCAACAGAAAGCAAGGCCTGCGACACTTCGCCGACCCCCGTCTGGGCGGCAGCTATCCGCTGGAGGCCATGGCGCGGGCGGCAGCCATAGCCATGAGGTGCACAGAAAGCGAGCCTTCAGCACGACCATCAATGGGGGACGTGGTCCAAGCGCTCCGAGCCATCGCGTTCGAGCACTCTCCCATGACCAGGTGCGTGTGCTGGGGCACCGCACCCCTTCCTCTTCCTCTTCTCACGATCAATCAACCCCCTCTGCAACCCCTGCGCTGGAGGCCATGGCACGAGGTCGTTTTTGAGGCGCCTCAAAAACAACCCCTGCGCTGGAGGCCATGGCGCGGGCGGCAGCCATAGCCATGAGGTGCACTGAAAGCGAGCCTTCAGCGCGGCCATCAACGGGGGAAGTGTTGCAAGCCCTCCGTGCCATTGCCTTCGAGCACTCGCCCATGACCAGGTGCGTGTGCTGGGGCCACCATACCCCTTCCTCTTCCTCTTCCTCTTCCCACGGTGACCTTCCTCTGCACCTTCTCCACTGGAAGCCATGGCGCAGGCGGCAGCCAAAGCCATGCGATGCACGCAGGGTGAGCCGTCAGCGCGGTGACTTTTGAGTCAACTCAAAAGTCACCTCGTTAGCACGGCCAGCCATGGGGGATGTCATTCAAGCCCTCTGCTCCCATGGCTGGCCGTGCATGGCTATGGCTCATTCAAGCCCTCTGCTCTGCTCCGTCTCCTTCGCTCTTGGAGTTCCTACCCGTCCACTTGAAGCGCACAAGTCGACTCACATGCCTCATCTCCTATCTTCTCAACTTGTCCCCCTTTTTCCCCTTTCCTCCTTTTTGAGGCGCCTCAAAAGAAGCTTACAAGCCGACTCAGGGTGCATTCCTGGTTGGTGGCAGGGCAACTGTTCACATCGAGTTGGTGGCAAGTGTACCCAAAAATTCAGTGGGCCAGACAATGCGCTTCCCACCAACAGTGCGATGAACAGTTGCCCTGCCACCAACCAGGACAAGTCGACTCACATGCCTCATCTCCTATCTTCTCAACTTGTCCCCCTTTTTCCCCGTTCCTCCTTACCTGCCCCCATCGCCAGGATGCTTTTGAGACGTCTCAAAAGTCGCCAGGATGCTGCTTGCCCCTGTGCCTGTGCCTAGCTCCAATTCATCCTCTTCTCTACCTTCTCATGCTCCATATGGTCAGACCGACTCACATCTGTCCTCTCCTTCTCGCCCCTCTGTTCCACTCGCCTCCCCTCCTCTTCCCCTCTCTTCTCCCCCTCTCCAGGACGCTTCTTGCCCCTGTACCTTACTCCACTTCCTCCTCCCATGCCTCCCCCGCCTCCTCCTCCTCCTCAGCCTCCTACCAACAATACCACCAGCAGCAGCACTACCATCAGTCACAACAGCCACTCGAGCAGGCATCAAGCACACGACAGAACAACCACCACCGCCACCGCAGCCACCAGCAACAGCACCAGCCCCAATCCCGGCACCCGCAACATCAGGAGCAGCAGCAGCAGTATCAGCACCAGTACCCTTCACCCAGTCCCCTGCCCTATCCATCCTTCCTCACTCCCAATCCCTTCTTTCTCCCATCCACCAACCCATCCTCCACCGCTGCTACAGCTGCTGCTGGTGCTGTGGTTGGTGCTAGTGTTTCTGGTGCTAGTGGTGTTGGCATTTCCCCCTCCACCCCTCTCTCTCGCCCCATTCACATATCCATGTCAGCTCCTCTCCTTCCCATCACTTCTCCACACCAACCCCTCCACCATCCTCTCCCTCAGTCCTATTTCCCCCCTCCCCAAAACGCCCCTACCCCTTCACCCATCCCCCCCTTGATGCTGCCCCCCAGTCATTCTCATTCCGCCTCTCTCCACCCCTCCGGGCCCCCTTTAACCTCACCGCAACACCTCTCAACCGCTCACCAACCCCTCACCTCCCAACAGCCTATCACCGCTCTCCACCTCTCCGCACCACTGCACCGACTCCCCCACCGCTCCACACCCCAACCCATCCCAGGCGAAGCCTCAGCGTCAAGTTCGGATATGCCGAACCTGGCAACCCGGTCTGGTTCGGCCGGACCAGGTTGGGCCTGGCCGAACGCAACAGAAGCCACTACCAGAGAAGTTAGCTGGCAGGGTGCTGCCTTTGAGTCGCCTCAGGAACAGATCAACTACACCACTAGAGACTCTAGTGCACAAACCCCCCCTGCCTCGTTTGTACAAAACTCTACTCGATTTTCCCAGAACTCTGCCCCGTCTGCCCAGACGCCTACCTCTTTTGCACGGAACCCTGCTATAGTGGTCATTGGCAGCTCGTACGGACAAGTACCACGGCCTTCTCACACTGCCCGTCAGAACTCGCATGGAGTAGTACCGGCCCAGTTGCTGTTTGCTCCTCCTGAGCAATTTAGAGCAAGAACTGTGGCTGAGGCACCAGTAGTGTTGGACGGACGAGGAGAGGGTGGAGGATGGGGAGAGGGAGCAGCAGCAGCAGGAGGAGGAGGAGGAGGAGGAGGAGGAGGAGAAGGAGAAGGGAGGGAAACAGCAGCAAGAGGAACAGTTGTGCACCCTCATGCACAACAGCTAGGAGCAGCAAACAACCCTCCCAACAGAGCCACTCGCTTGCACTCCCACTCCTCCTCTCGCCCCACTCACTCCCACTCCATCCAGTTCCCGCTCTCCACTCCACACTCTCTCCCCCGCTTCCCCCCCTCTCCCTCTCACTCGCCTCACTCCCAGCTCTCTCACTCGCTCCCCTCTCCCTCCGCCTCCCCTTACCTTACTCAACCTTACACTACAGCCGCCCCCCCTGCCGGCCCCCCTGCTGCCTCCCCCTATGTCTCCCCTTCCGCCTCCCCAGATGCCTCCCCCTATGCTTCCCCCTACGCCACCCCCTCTGCTGCACCCTCCTCCCCCTCTGCTGCTCCGTCCTCCCCCCTGCATCTGGGTGACCTCTCCCCCCAGTCAAGAGGCGGCATTCCGAGGCTGCTCAGGATGAGCATTCGAGGACTCGACTACAGGTACGGGCCAGGCCTTGACTGCAGGTATGGGCCAAGCCTTGACTACAGGTACGGGCCAAGTCTCGACTACAGGTACGGTACAAGCATCACGTACAGGTACGGGCCTAGCTTTGGAAACAGGTACGTACCGAATCTTCACTACAGATTCGGTTGATTGCAGGTACAATCAAATCCATGTTCAATATTGCAGGTCTGATCGATTCGAAATCCTTGCCGGTCTCTCTTTCAATATCACAGGTCTGAGCTCATCGGAACTCCAAGTATGGCAGGTCTCTCTTGTGTCTCTTGTTTCACTTGTCCCGTCTTTCTCCTCACATAGATGATCTGGCTCTTCATCCCACTTCATCTGGCTCTTCATCCCACTACATCTGGCTCTTCATCCCACTTCATCTGGCTCTTCATCCCACTTCATCTGGCTCTTCATCCCACTTCATCTGGCTCTTCATCCCACTTCATCTGGCTCTTCATCCCACTTCATCTGGCTCTTCATCCCACTACATCTGGCTCTTCATCCCACTTCATCTGGCTCTTCATCCCACTACATCTGGCTCTTCATCCCACTTCATCTGGCTCTTCATCCCACTTCATCTGGCTCTTCATCCCACTTCATCTGGCTCTTCATCCCACTTCATCTGGCTCTTCATCCCACTTCATCTGGCTCTTCATCCCACTACATCTGGCTCTTCATCCCACTTCATCTGGCTCTTCATCCCACTACATCTGGCTCTTCATCCCACTTCATCTGGCTCTTCATCCCACTTCATCTGGCTCTTCATCCCACTTCATCTGGCTCTTCATCCCACTTCATCTGGCTCTTCATCCCACTTCATCTGGCTCTTCATCCCACTACATCTGGCTCTTCATCCCACTTCATCTGGCTCTTCATCCCACTACATCTGGCTCTTCATCCCACTTCATCTGGCTCTTCATCCCACTTCATCTGGCTCTTCATCCCACTTCATCTGGCTCTTCATCCCACTTCATCTGGCTCTTCATCCCACTACATCTGGCTCTTCATCCCACTTCATCTGGCTCTTCATCCCACTACATCTGGCTCTTCATCCCACTTCATCTGGCTCTTCATCCCACTTCATCTGGCTCTTCATCCCACTTCATCTGGCTCTTCATCCCACTACATCTGGCTCTTCATCCCACTTCATCTGGCTCTTCATCCCACTACATCTGGCTCTTCATCCCACTACATCTGGCTCTTCATCCCACTACATCTGGCTCTTCATCCCACTACATCTGGCTCTTCATCCCACTACATCTGGCTCTTCATCCCACTACATCTGACACTTGTTCTCTCACTTGTCTCTCGTCTCTCTCCTCCGTCTTCCCGCCCTCCCCTCTCTCTCGTTTGTCGCGCTTCTCTCTCTTGGCAGTGGTGACATGGCTCTCGATGCCTCCTCTGCATCGCTCCCACACAGCCAGCCTCCCTCACAGGCAAGTCGCCTGCTCTATCACCACCTTTCCCTCTTCCCCTCCTCCCCTCTTCCTCTCAAACCCCCTACTTCCCTGCCTCCTCCTCTCGTGATGCCTCTTCTGCATCTCTCCCATACAGCCAATTTCCCTCACAGGCAAGTCGGCCGCTCAATCTATTGCATCGCACCTTGTTACTCCTGTTTTCTTCCCTCCTTGCCCTCCTTGCCCTCCTTCCGCGTTCCCTCCTCCCCTCTTCCCTTTTTTCTCTCTTTTCCGTTCCGCTCTTCCCCCCAGTTCCAAATCCCCCCAGTTCTTCTATTAACGAATCCCACCAGATATTCTATGATGCATAGCACCCCTCAAACCCACGAATCCTGTTTGTCAACCCACCAATGCAGGAATTTTCCGGGCAATTCTCGCCTGATCACCCCAGTCACAGCACTGGTAACAGAGAGGGCAACCACACCAGGACCAGCAGTATCAGCAGAGAAGGAGATTATTACAGCGGCAATAGAGAGGGAGAGTATAGCAGCAGCAGCAGAAATCCAGGCGCCAGCAGCAGTAACAGCAGGCGTTTTCTAGGCTCAACCATGGGGCCACAAGCAGGAGAAGCACACAGTTAACACTCAGGTGACCCTGTTACAACACCTGTAACAGATCTGGTTACCAGCGACGACGATCACCAACCCCTGCTGAGAAGGTTGTGATGACCTGGCAACCAGGCGACCCGGGAGATTGAAGGACCAGCTGACTAGCTGACCTGGCAACCAGATAATAAGCTGACGTGACGGTCCAGCGACCTGGCGACAAGCTGACCTTACAATCTGGTGATGTGGTGACCAGCTGATCTGGCAACCAGACAAACTTAAGAGCCTGGTTACAAACAAAGACGAAGGCAAAAGCTGCAAGCGAAACTGCGATGCATGTTGCAAGCATGAGTGGAAATTTTACATGTATATGAGTGTAGTTCCATATAGATGTAGAACTGTGACAACAAATAGCATCCAGATCATAGGGATGCTACCTCATGAACTTGGTTTGAGGTTTGAGTTGGTGTACAAGTGTTGAAACTTCGGATTTGACGTACAAGCCTCTATTGACTAGTTGAACAAAGAATCTGTTATTAAGCTCAGAATCAAACTAAGACCCAGATCATGCATTACAATTACAGAGCTTAGCACTACGGATTACATGGTGTAGTTTACTGACAAGATACACACTGCTTTATAATCATTTCACAAACAAGCAGGAACGAACACACAGACAGAGCTGCAGAGACTGATAGAAACTGTGGCAAATATGCCCAAACCCTAACACCGCTACAGAAATACACGTCCTTTTGAAGCAGCAGCTGCCTAGCAAAAACACAAGCTGCTAACACCGTATAATAACCTTGGAAAAGCCTCAAATGTCATTATTGATCTTGGTCAACGCGAACACTGTAGTCATCAGGTCTTGATCTTGGGAGCACAGAAGTGGTAATCAAGGGAGGACAGAGCCCTGCCAGGAGCGTCGGCTGCTCCTGCCACGAGCGCCCTGCTGGTTGCCACCACGAGCTCATTCAGCCTCTTGCTCTCCGCCTTGAGCGCCCTCACCTGCTCAACACGCTGTGTGGTTTCCTGTTGGTCAAATCGCACACAAGAGTGGGGGCAGGGAGATTTGGAAGAAAAGGGGTAAAGTAAAGCCTTTTTCTTTCCGCCTTGAGAGCCTGCACCTGCTCAACGCGCTGTGTGGTTTCCTGAAATGTGACATGGTGGGTTGAAAGGGAGATTAAGCTGGGACCTGAGAGGGCATTCAGCCTCTTGCTCTCCGCCTTGAGCGCCCGCACCTGCTCAACGCGCTGCGATGTATCCTGTCATGTGAGGCAGTGGTTTGACAGGGGGAGTGGGGGATGGATAGGAAGAATCATCAGCCACTTGGATCGTCTCTGCCCCGCATGCACACACCTCAGCTTCCCACTGTCATCGCTGATTTTGACTAATGACTCAATCCAGGAGCCCACCTCTTGAGTGTTAATTCAAACGTTTTCTCAAACTCCATTTTTCTGGCACCCACCCACACCACTCCTCACCTCAATCTGCTGTGCCAGTTTCTTCTCAGTTCCCTCCAGCATCATCCATCCCCAACTCCTATCAACCCTCTCTCTCTCTCACACCACTCCAGCAGGACTTAAGCATTCCTCTCACCTCTATCTGCTGTGCCAGCTTCTTCTCAGTCTCTTCCAACTTCACCCGTCCACGGCTCATCTCCCCTCTCAATGCTGCCACCTCCTGCTCTGCCTGCTGCCGTGCCGCCTTCTCAGTCATCAACAGCTGCAGCCCAGCGCCAGTGCCATCAGCACCGTCCCCTGATTCAGAAGCGATTAGCAAAGCCTCCTCCAGGTGCCCCTTCTCCTCCTGCGCCTCCCTCAGCTGCTGCTCCAGCCGCTGCACCACTGCAGGCAGGAGGGTTGGGTGGATGGGGAAGGTGGGGAGGGAGGGGAGGGGAAAGAGGGAGTAGGAGAGGAGAAAGCGTAAGCAGCGCCCCAGTGCCAGTGCCATCAGCACCGTCCCCTGATTCAGAAGCGATTAGCAAAGCCTCCTCCAGGTGCCCCTTCTCCTCCTGCGCCTCCCTCAGCTGCTGCTCCAGCCGCTGCACCACTGCAGGCAGGGAGGGTTGGGTGGATGGGGAAGGTGGGGAGGGAGGGGAGGGGAAAGAGGGAGTAGGAGAGGAGAAAGCGTAAGCAGCGCCCCAGTGCCAGTGCCATCAGCACCGTCCCCTGATTCAGAAGCGATTAGCAAAGCCTCCTCCAGGTGCCCCTTCTCCTCCTGCGCCTCCCTCAGCTGCTGCTCCAGCCGCTGCACCACTGCAGGCAGGAGGGTTGGGTGGATGGGGAAGGTGGGGAGGGAGGGGAGGGGAAAGAGGGAGTAGGAGAGGAGAAAGCGTAAGCAGCGCCCCAGTGCCAGTGCCATCAGCACCGTCCCCTGATTCAGAAGCGACTAGCAGAGCCTCCTCCTGCTGCCCCTTCGCCTCCTGCGCCTCCCTCAGCTGCTGCTCCAGCCGCTGCACCACTGCACACGTGGGAGAGGTAGGGGAAAGAAAGGGGGGCTGGGTAGGAGGAGGGGAGGAAGGTAGGAGAGAGGGTAGGGGAAAGAGGGAGAATGGAGAGGAGAAGTCAGGTGATCTTGGCCTTTGTGCCACTGCACCGCCGCTGCACTTCAAAATAAGAGTTCTAAGATATCGTTAAGGCGTCTGAAAGTCAGGCTGGCTTGCGGTGTTTAAGTTTTTTGGGGAGAAAAACAAGCTAAATAAAATTAAAGAATAAAAAATAAAAAAAGAGGTGTAAAGCTTACTTTCTCGGGCCGATGCCAGCTCTTTGGCCATATCATCCCGTTCCATCGTAAGGCACTCCGTGGCCTTGGAGAGATTCTGCAGACGGTAGTAGCAATGTGAGAAGGCAACACCACACAAAGGCAGCACACATGCAAGATACGGGTGACAGACAGGGCATGAGAATGTATGAGAGAGAGAGCGAGGGGAAGAGGGGGGGTGGCAGACCTGCACGTGGGTGAGAGCCACAGAGGTGAAAGCACCAAGGAGCTCCTTCACTTCACTGCCATCCTCCCAATCCTCACTGCCCTCTTCCTCCCCATCCCCACTGCCCTCACCATCCACAAGTCCCCCCTCATTGCCCTTCTCCCCACTATCGCTCTCCTTTGAAGCCTCTTCAGCCATCAGCTCTTGCCCTGCGTCGCCTGCTCCCTCCTTCAGCAAACCACATGGATCACCACAGGACTGCACGGAACCTTCACTCTCCCCGCGCTGCCTAATCAGCATCCCAGAAAACGAGCCTGAGCTGTCGCTTGTCTCGTCTCTCCCCTCCCCCACCCCATGCTCCTGTATTGCTTCCATCCACTGGCTTTCTGTACCACGCTGGTCCAGCTGGTCTTTTGTGCTGCGTTCCAAACCCAACTCCTTGTACCCAAGACAGTCTGATTCTTGCTTTTCCAGGCGTTCTGGCACATGAAATCCGATACCCAGCCCCTCCTTGCATAATTCCTGCTGCCACAGCCGTTCAGGCTCATGAGATTCCATGCCATGCATGTCCTCGCTGCCTTGTCGTTCCTGAGTAAGTGTGTGTATATCAGTGCAACATCCCCTCCCAATTTCTATGACTACAACACTACTAATGTATTAGTCCCGCCTACTGTACTACTGCGTACCTCGGTGAAGGTCTGCTGTGCCTCCTCCATTCGCTGCGTCGCTTCCGCTTCAGCCTGCTCCAACCTGCAGTGACGCATGGGGGAGAATGGATGGACGAGGATGCATGATTAGCGGGCACGCAGATCGACTCTACCACATCCTTACCATCCCCCCCTTAGCCAACTCACTGGGCAGCCCACTCCTCTTCCACTGCACCACCCTCTCCGCCAGCTTCTGCTCCATCTCCTCCCTCTCCGCCTGCAGCGCCCTTTTGGGTAACACCCTAAGCAGCCATCCCCACCACACACTCTCACGCACCTATCCCATTCTCCCCATCCCTGGCCCATCAGACTCACTTGGCAGCCCACTCCTCTTCCACTGCAGCAACCCCGTCAGCCAGCTTCTGCTCCATCTCCTCCCTCTCCGCCTGCAGCGTCTCCACCAGTTCTTTCTGCTCCTCCAGACTCGCCTTGGCCTGCGACAGCTGCTCCTCCTGCGAATAGACCACCACCTGGACAAGCAGACGGGGGAAGAAACGGCACGTAGGGATGTGCATTTCAGTGGCAAGCTGTCCTGACAACTCGCTTTCGCCTGCGACAGCTGCTCCTCCTGCGAATACACCACCACCTGGACAAGGAAATCGGGGAAAGAAACAAAAGGGGAGGGTGTGCGCTTGGGTGTGGGGAACCTCTAGCGAGTGTACGTGGTCGTGTGGAGAGAAAGGGTGAGAGGAGAGAGGCGAGTGCTGGCCTCTAGGGAGTGCACGCGGTCGTCATGCTCGTCGATCGTCTCTTGATTCTGGGACATCAAGCTGAGGTGCCTTCCGAGTCAAACTCTACTAGTCAGCTCAGTGGGAGGTGGGGTACCTCTAGGGAGTGCACGCAGTCGTCATGCTCGTCAATGGTCTCTTAATACTGGAACATCAAACCGAGGTGACTTTCGAGTCAAACTTTGAGAGTCCCCTCAATGTAGTACCTCAATGTAAGGTGGGGTACCTCTAGGGAGTGCACGCGGTCGTCATGCTCGTCGATGGTCTCCTGCAGCGTGCGAGTGAGGATGCGGTACTCCTCCTCCTCGTTCACCATCGCCTTCGTCTTCACCTCCATCGCCTGGCGGTGCAGATGAGGGGAGAGAGCAGGGGCAGAGAGCGGGAAGCAGAGAGCAAGGGCAAAAAGGTCTTTAATTGACTGTCTCATGGAAGGTGCGAGTGAGGATGCGGTACTCCTCCTCGTTCACCATCGCCTTCGTCTTCACCTCCATCGCCTGGTGGTGCAGACAAAGAGGAGGGCAAAGAGCAGGGGTAGAGAACAGGGGCAGAGAGCAGGGGAAGGGAGCAGGGGAAGGGAGCAGGGGAAGGAGCGGGAAGCAGAGAGCAAGGTCACACAAGGTCTTTCAGTGGCTGTTTCATGCAGGGTGCGAGTGAGGATGCGGTACTCCTCCTCCTCGTTCACCATCGCCTTCGTCTTCACCTCCATCGCCTGGTGTCCAAGACATTGAGAAGCAGCGCAGAAGGGGGGGAGAACGAGGAGGAGCACAGGGCGGGCCAGACAGAGAGCAGGGACAGAGAGCAGGGGCACAAGGAGCAGGGCTTAACCGGATAGGAGTGTGCCTAACGCAGAGGGAAGATAGCTAGGAGGAAAGTAGCGAATAATAGACAGGCAAACAGCAGGGGGGAGAGCATACCCGAGAGCCGAAGAGTAGCGAGGAGAGGGACCTCGTTGAGATGGTGGACGGTGGGCGCCACGTTGATCACCAGCGATGTCTTGGCGTTGCCTGGAAGTAGTGGGGGGGCGAAAAGGGGGGGAGGGAGAGGGTAGCAGGGTAGCAGGGAAAAGGGAGTAGAGCATGTTACGAGATGGTGGCCGGTGGGCGCCACGCTGATGATGAACGAGGTCTTGGCGTTTTCTGTGGGGGGTCAACAAGGTAGTTGAGGGGGGGAGGGAGAGGGTGGCAGGGGAAAGGGAGTAGAGGAGAGGGACTCGTTGAGATGGTGGACGGTGGGGCGCCACGTTGATGATCAACGAGGTCTTGGCGTTTCCTGTGGTGGGGTCAACAAGGTCGTGGAGGGGGGTGAGATTTGAGTCCCTGAATGACTCACGGGTAGAGACGTCATTTTTGAGACGTCTCAAAGATAACCTCTCTACATGTGGCTTCCTGTGGTGGGGTCAAGTAGGTAGTGGAGGGGGGTGGAAGTCCCTGAATGACTCACGGTGCGCGTGGGGTGTGTGCCCGGGCATTGCTGCTACAGCCAGGTACTAGCATGTAGAGATACCACGAAGAGAACCTGATGGTGCAAGGATGGTACAGATTCCTACCTCCCAGTAAACTCCTGCGGCAGGCGTTGAGCGTCGAGTCCCTGAACGGCACACGGTGCGCATGGGGGCTTGCCCGGGCAGTGCTGCTACAGAAAGATATTCACTTGGTCGTTTCCAGAGGGATGGTACCGATTCTTACCTCCCAGCGACTCCTGCAGCAGGCGCGTGAGCTTCGAGTCCCTGAATGGCACATGGTGCGCGTGGGGGTCTGCTCGGGCGTTGATGCACTTCCCTGCAACGGATGAAGAGACAAGGATGGTTTGTGAGCACAAGGAGACAGCCATCGGATGGTTGTGAGATGTGTCCAGAAAGGATGGCTGTGAGCGGCAAGGCAGGGGCACAAGGAAAAGCAGGGAGACGTGGTTTGCCAAGCGGAAAGGGGTTATGGAACGTCTCAAAGCTGGACAGAGGAGGGCAGAGGGAGGCAGAGGGAGGGCAGGAGAGAGCAGGGAAAGGAGGGGAACGCAGTGTGGCACCTACCTAGTACGGTCAGGGACAGGTTGACGCTCTTGGCTTCGCTGGCTCTGAGACCCTCCGACCCTGAACACACCAGGCGAGCAACAAGCAGCAATCAATACGCGGGGCATAGATGCGTACAGATTTGCGAGGCAGAAAATGAAAGATTCACATCAGGTAGAAGAGTATTGTCGCATACAAGACATGTGTACGAGACTAAGTAACCCGGTACACACGCACCTGACTTCTTGAGCCGCTCTGAGCCTGCAAGGTCCACCAGAAAGAGCTTCCCCACCAGAATCCTGGGTTCGCGGAGATAGGCCGTGGAGCAGAGGTGGACGGAAGGAAGGAGAAGAGTGGGGGGGAGATGGGTTGAGTGTGAGGAAGGAGAGTGGGTGGGAAGAGTGGTGGGGAGAGTAAGGGAAGGAAATGGAGGAGGGGTTGAGATGCTGCGCACGCACAACAACTCACACATCAATGTCAGTGGCAGCGCACGCATCAACATCAACACAAAGTGCGCACTCACTTGTCCTTCTTCTCTGGCTTGCGGTGCTCGTCGCTCCCGTGCCCCGCTGTAAGCAGTTGCAGGCCCAGAATGCGCCTCAGAGTCGCTGCTCTCCGCTTCCTTCCGCCGCTTCTTCTCCACTGTGATGATCGCGATGGCGTGGCTGCGCGACGAGTGCGCGTTCTGACCAGCGGAAGGGCAAAGAAGAGGGAAGGGGCGAAGCAAGGAACACGGGAAACAGACGAGGGAGACGATACAGACGGGACGCAAAGCAAAAAGTAACATTCAGGCGCTAGAAATGAGGCGCTAGTTGAAGGGCCGAACCTGGCACATCTTTCAATGTCGTTTGCGGGGCTATGTAACGCAGAGAGTCAGCACGAAAACTCGAGCGATCGTATCTCGTGGAGTAACCCTGACCCTCGCAAACGAGCAATAAGTAAGTTTCATTGTCACGAAACAGACTGCACAGGAGAACAGAATCTCCTGTCCTTATAACCGAGTCGGGTCGGGTCTCGTGACCCACCATCTTTGTGAAGGCGACGGTGCGGTTCCTCTCGCCCACAGCCAGCAGCTTGAGGCAATCTTCCACGCACGTCACCTCCACCTCCTCCACCCCCGAGATGTACACCCCGTTCTCGCTCTCCCGTATTTGCATGTTGGAGCTCGATGGACGCAGCAGATCTTGAATCTGGGAGCGGGGAGATGGGGGGGGGGGAGGGGAGAGAGGGGAATAGGGAACGAACGTGAAAAGGGCGACAGGCCGTGCATCACTCGCTCTCCCGTATTTGCATGTTGGAGCTCGATGGACGCAGCAGATCTTGAATCTGCAGAACCGAGCCGAACGGAGCGAAACATGGAAAGGAACAGGGAGTGGGGTGGGAGGGGGGAGAGGGGAGGGAGAGGGGAGGGTCGAGGGAAAGGGGTGGGATGGGGTGGGTGGAGGAGGAGACGAACGTGAGGAGGACAAAAAGCGCGTAAGTTTCGCTTACACATCGACCATAACAACTACCTCTCATTTACAATATTCACGACGATAATGATCGACGATCATACCATCTCCATGTAGATCTGAATGTACGACATCGACACCCTGTATGTGTGGGTCGGGTCCGTTCGCGCCATCACGAGCAACCTCTGAGAAGATCTCGCAAATCACATGACAATAATGATCGACGGTCATACCATTTCCATGTAGATTTGAATGTACGACATCGACACCCTGTATGTGTGGGTCGGGTCCGCTCGCGCCATCACGAAGACTTCAGCAGCTGCTCGCGGGATGATCCCTAGGTGCGGAGGCTTGGTGCTCGAGAGCGTGTACGTCTTTCCCGCACCGGTCTGACCGTACGCCATAACCGTGCCGTTGTAACCGTTCAGCACATCCTGTAACGAAAGCACAAAAGGGGTAACTTCAGAGTCGACTCAATAACCGGACTGACCGTCGCCATGACCGTGCCGTTGAGACCGTTGGCGGTGAGAGCGGAATGGAGGGTTTAAAGAGAGCGACGAGAGCGACGAGAGGGACGAGAGCGCATGGAGACAACGAAAGAAGCAAACAAGATATCCAGAACATTTGACCGTTGTACGAACCGCGACGACGGGCTTCGCGGCGACTTGATACACGTCCGCTTGAGTGGCCGTTGGAGGGAGAACGGAGTCGAATTCAAACTCCATCTGCTCCAGCTGACCGTTGCTCCTGTTGCACACCAACCATCACACAACGCGGGTGACAAGAGTGGGTCCCGATGAATAGATGAATAAACTAAAAAATAAGAAGGTTCACAATAGGGCAAGTGAGTATAGACGCAGAGGTTCTACTGTCCTGATCTCGTTCGCAAAGCCAAAGTATTCTAACGACAGATCGGTCGAGGCGGGAACAATTCACAGAAGAGGATTTTGACGGAGTGCTGCCTGTTAAGGCCAACGGTGCTGTCGTGGGGAGACGAATCCATTCCAAGCTCTCCAATGCTTAGTTTCAAGACGACTAAGAAACACAGCACATGGATCGGACGGACGTTAACTATGAAGGACAACGGTGCTGTCGTCGGGAAATATTCGCATCGGGATTATTTGATCGCTAGTCTTTGAGGCGCCTAACAAACGCATGTACCTGACGGAAGCTACTGTGAAGGACAACGGTGCTGTCGTCAGGGGAAATGTCCATCGCGAACTCCCATTGCTGGGCTGCCTCTCTGCAGTAGGAGGCCGTACTCGAATCGTCACTCGCACTCGTTCTACGCGCAAAACACGGGAAATAATTTTGATTGTTACATGCTGGCAAGAGCTCGGAAGTACCGAGAAACTTAAAGCGTCTATGAAGGTCAATGAGATGAACGGACTTGAAGGTCAATGGGAAGAAAGCACCAGGCTACATGCTCTTAGAGCAGAAAAAACTGAGCGGGAAGGCTATACAATAGAAACACTAACGATAGGACGGCAACCTCGCTCTCCTATGACGGTATACGGTGGTACATCGCTAAACAATGACGTAATAAATTCTCTATATTTCCGCTCCAAACTCTCCTGACACGCGTATCGTCCCACGGTATCCTATCCTGGCCATTCGAACTTCTCGCAACATGTCTGTCGGTGTTGTCTATCGGCATGTTCTCACAACAGATTCTCCTTGAGTGGCATCATCAAGCAGAGACCCCGTCTCTGCTGTCTCGCCCGCATCCTTTCTCTCCTTTCCCACCGGCTCTTCCTCGTCTTCTCTGAGAATCCTGAGAGGTATTCGAGCTTCGAGCTCTCACCAAGTGAATGAGAACCCTTTTCGCCATCTACGGTCGTCATAACCTAATGTAGTACTTATTTATTGCTACGATAATATCTGGGTCCCGTTCAGCTGTTGACAAATAAACGCCTCGCCTATAAATCCGATCAATCTCTCTGTTCTGTTATACAAGGCTGGGTGCGCTGCAGGCGTCGTTATCTGGAATCAACTATAAATTGCAGACGAGACCAAGACACACGTCCAGCGGTAAAAATCGAGGTCTACTAAAATCTCAGGAAGAAAAGGGACTGAAAGCGCTCCGTCCGTCAATCCTCCGGTTACTCTGTCAGCTCAAACGGAGCAGTATGAAGAAGAAACATTCACCACAGATCATCAGCATTCATGAAGCACCAGGATGGCTTCTTCGCCTGCTGGTCACAAACAGCCTGATACAGCTGCCAGGAGATGGGTCTGCAGCCTGATAGCAGGCAGGATGCTCAAGGCAAGCCAAGAGCAAGCTACCAGTGTGTGGCACCTTGGAACGTCACAGATGCCTGAAGTCATTCATCATGGTCATTGGGAATGTCATTGTTGTCATGGTGCCAGAAACATGATCATTTGGAGGCTCGGGGCCGAGGAACCGAAGCTGGAGTATCGAAGCGTGAAAGGTTCAAGTCAAAGCGGTTCGGTACACAAGCATCAATAGGCTTGGGAAGTGTGGGGGAGAACCAGGGCGGGAGCGGCGGAGGAACAGCATGTGCTCCCTTCCCCTCCCCTCCCTCCCCTCCCCTCCCCCCCCCCTCCCCTCGCCATTGTGTAGTCATTTGCCCCTGCATGGGGATACAGTAGTACATTTCTCACGCGCGCATCTCCCCGCTGACCACAACGAATAGTCGGAATCTGAATACCACGCTGAGAGGCTTGGTGCGGTCCGGCTAACGCAGGTCAGTGACGAAATTCCAAATTGATGAGGGCGTTGCTGGAATAGCGCGACTCGATGGCTGGATGTGTCGGGCTTCATCGGCGTACCCGAGTGCTGTGATTGGCTTACGGGAACTGCTCAATGGAAGAAGAATTTGATTGGATGATTGCCCTCCAATTTGCATTATGGGACCCCATATAATTCAGTGCAATAAGACGGATGGGCTGGTCTCATCAGCTCACAACCACACTTCCAGCGTTTCCCCTCAGCTCTGGCAAAAAAAGAGACTTCTCACAGTTCCTCTTCACCATTTACTTCTACAAGCCACAACTCTAAAACCACACAGTGCGCAATTTGACCCTTTCTACTACTCCACCTGTTGATTTAGCCTCGTGCTAGTGAGATTTCGTCAGTATGCTGCTCGGGTTTCTCCTGGTGCTGGTCTTGTCTTGCGGACCGCGTGACAGCGAAGGAGCGAGTCGGGGGCGGCTTCTAACTGATGGCGAGCACGGTCAAAGTAAGTCACGATCATTTCTCCCGCCGTCCTTCACCACGTTCAGCCCCGACGAACGTGTTAACCTTGCCTCTTCCGTGCCTCACGACTATTACGTTCCATTCCGCGTCCCCCGAGATTTAACTTGTATATAAATTTTACCCCAATTCTCTTCCCGATCCCCTTGGGCGGCCGGAGTCGCACTCCAGTCGTCGTTCGAGCAGGCTCTCTCCGCTCCTGGCGACTCGGGCGACGCGCAATTCCCCTTGCTCTTTGAAGACGCTACCCTTCCGCGCAAACTGCAGCAGCAGGGGCAGCAGATTCCGACGCTGAGGCAGATCGGCAGACAGATGCTGACAACCCTGAAGCAGCAGCAGCAGCGGAAGAAGCCGAGGCCGAAGACGCAGCAGATCGCCTCCGATACAAGGTAGATGGCTGTTGTTGTTTTATTAGTAATCCCTATCAATGTTATTTCTCTCCATGCATATGTTTTTTTGAGACGTTTTTTTCAATCATGCCATGTTTCTTGAAATGCTGCTCGTTCCCCTCCGCCGCCGTCTCGTCATCCCGCCAGCAAGAATTTCTGGCCTGGGGTGACGGGAGAGTCAGCACGCAAGCAGATGCTGGCCTCTGTGCCCCCACACTGTAGCTTTGCCGTCGTTCGAGTGGGGCTGTGATGACCACAGTGTATCATATATGCATTTTTTTGGTGTAACGCTGTTTGATTCCTTCCGTTCGCAGCAAAACCTCCT